GGCATCAACCAGCGGGCGCTGATGGCGGACTCGACGCCCGGCAATATCGGACGATGTACTCGTTATCAGTAGATTACTTGTTATCTATACTCTGATCTACTATACCATCTAATCTACTCTACGTCCGTAGGCCCTCGTACTTAGGGGAGGGACGTCCTTCTTCATTAGGGAAGAGCACGAATTATTGCTAGAATTATTAGTAGCGGGCGGCATGTGGGTGTTCAAGTCAAAGTAACCCGAGGTACCCCAGGGGGTGCATCGGGTTTAGTAATCATTGATGGTGTGATGTTCAGGTGCGTTGGGCATCCTCGGGAGAACTGCAGGAAGACGCCGTGCGTTCGAAGCCTCGGGTCGCGCCCGTGGCTCACTACGCTCGTCCCGTGGCTAGCGCCGCGCATCGTGGCCGACTTATCACGGTCGCGACTTTCTGACTAACAGTCAGAAAGCCGCTCAGACTGATGAACAAGTGCTGATGGACGTCCTCTGTTAGATGCATGGCCGACCTCGAGGCTCGCGCTGCTCGCCCTGGACGCTGCGGTGCGGGGGCCCGGGGTGCACAGTCGATGGACGGGGGAGGTTATGAGCGCTCTGCTCTAGCCGTCGTAACCGCGCTTGCTCATATAGATCGTCATAGGTCGACGTCATAGGCCGCCTGGTTGCCATCTCGAGATGGGAGGAGGAGGAAGGATGTTGTGCCTGCGGAGCAAGCACACGGACCTGTCAAGCACACTACTGTTCTGCCGGCACAGAGCGGCAGAGGTGTTCGCGCGCGCGGAATGCTCCTGTGGCCGAACACGCACGGCGGTCGGAGCCGCGAATTCCGTCTCAGATAGCGCGGCGGGGAAGGCGGGATTCGTGTGGGATGGCGCGCGGGCCACAGAGGGCCGACAGGGTGCGCATTAGCCTACATTGTTAGCTTAGCTTAGCTAGGTAGATCCATTCCTCGCAGCTCCTAAAGCGAGCTCCTGTAATATAGCTAGTCAAAGCGGCTGATGGTGTGCGAGGGAGCGCGGGAGGCGACCAGCGGCAGTCCATAACTTTCCTTATATCGCGTCGGCAAGCACAGACGCCCAGCTCCAGCTGCTCAACCCGTGTTGCATGCTCCTTGGCCGCTAACGACGACCAGCGACCCGCTCGTTTTCATCCACCGTCGTCCTCTTCGTGCTATTCACGATCTGGTTCACTTGCGCAGCGCTATATTCTCTCTTTTTCTCGTCCCGGCGCCGTGTGCATGGCGCGTCCGCTGAGCTTCCTTGTCATCTCTCCCGCCTCGTCGCTCTGAGGATCTCCCAGGCCCGAACGAACACCATCTTCCAACCGGCACCCACCCTACAGCGGCCTGCTATATCGCGCCGTCACGCTTGTGCGAACAGGAGCGCGTCAGGATCCGCTGACTTGCATGCTCGCGCTCGTGGTTCGTCTTTACCTCACCCGCGACCCCCATTTCCCTTCCGAGGCCGTCTTCCCCTCCCTATCTCAATACTAGAACACTCCGCTGGGGCATTCTGGGTACGGTTATCGATTCATCTCACCCCGAACCCTTCACCCATCCGGCGCGCGCGTTCCCATGCTCACCCGTTTCTGTCCACCAGAACTGCCCCGAGTCCGCCTCCGCCCTGTCCTGCCGTCTATTCGTGCGTGAGTCTGCCGTAATCTCGCTCATTCTGAGGCACGAAATCTGACAGCCCGCCGCGTCCGTGTCGCTGCGCCCCGCGGTAGTTAGCGGTGTCGGCGAAACGTTCTTCTCGACGAACACGACGAACCCGTTGTTCACATGGCGGCAGCCGTTGCCAAACTCAACATATCTATATCCAAGCCCCTCTCCATGGTCTCCCAAAAGCACGCCGATCCGGGTGCCCCGCTGGGCACAGGCGCGGCATCTTCTTCCCGGCTCCAATCGCACACGTCGGAAGCCCAGCCGAAGACATTCAGTCGCCTGCGCTCTTCGCTCGAACAGAGCCTGCGGACCGCGACAAAGTCCAAGGCGAAATCTCCGGCAGCAGTTGACGAGTCAGGCGTGCTCTCTCCCGGAGCGGGCAAGGGCAAGGGGAGGGCGTCCGAGGACGATGCCCCGAAGGAGAAGGAGAAGGCCAGATCGAGGATGCTATCTAAGGTTTCGTTCCGCCGGCCGGGGAGGGATGTGTCGACGCCTTCGCCCGTCCCCGCCGTTCCGCCCTTGGCCAGCGAACAGAGCCAGGGTGCGCGCGCAGTGCGGGATCGGGACAAACCAAAGGACAAGGACAAAGTTCGTCTCGCGGGCCACACCAGCTTCTTGACGCCCTCGTTGCGGCAAGCCTCCATGTCTTCCCCCACATTGCATCTATCCGCGCAGCCCATCCCTTCCTCCTTCACACAACCCTTCGCTCTCCCCAGCGGCTCGACCTCCAATGTTGCTGCTCTCGTATCACCACCTCGAGACCGTACACGAAGGTCGAGCGCCCAGCCTGCAGTAAGTCCAAAGGATATCAGTGGTCCGACTCCCTTGGCCCCCCGGCGAGACCTACGCTCCAATGGCACTTCCTCACCAACCCCCAGGGATAGCAGCGAGATGCAGCGGCCATCCAAACAGTCTCGGCCACCTCCACTCTCCTTTGCCTCGTCACCCACCGCTCCTTCGTTACACTCCCGCGAGCTCCAGTCGCGCTCTCCACCACCACCAGAGACCCCGACGCGCAGGTCGAGGGAAGCAACGAGATCACCTGATCTGTCGCCCCCAAGCTCGCCGTCGCCTCGAGGATTCGGTGTGAGCTCCTCGAGAAGGGCTGCAGCGAGTGCCAGCCATTTGCCATTAGGTCTAGGCTCACCCCCGTCTTCCCCCACGACGCCTCGCGCGACGAGTCCCACACTGGCTCGCTCATCTTCACGCACCCCCACGACGCATCGCAATATTCCCTCCGCAGCTTCCACATCGCATCTGCCCCTCAATTCCGCATCACCTTCGAATCGACGGCCGTCCTTGGACAGCGCTCGACCGAACATCCCGCCATCACCGTCGCCTTCCCGCGCGGCGTCTCCCGTCACCCCTGCCCGTACGCGAGCCGTATCCCCCACGCAACGCAACTACTCGCCTAGCTATGGCCAGAACCGCCTGTACAACGCGTCGACCACGTCGCTCGCTGCGCCCGCGAATCCGGAGCACCGGGAGCTCATACGATCGGCGACGGCTTTCCTGTGCCGAGAGATGCTGAAGCCGCCAGCGCAGTTCGGCAAATCCGGCTTGGAGCCGAAGGACTGGGAAGAGGTCGAGGTGCGGCTGAGGGCGCTGGCGCGCGTTGAGCGGATATGGACGAGAAGCGGGGCGGTCGCGAGCTCATCGCAGGTGAATGTTTCGGCCCTGGGAAACGGCGTCGCGTCGGGAAGCGAGGAGAAGGAAAGGCGGCTGTTTGGGGAGGCGCTGAGGGATGGCTATGTGCTCTGCCAGTGCGTACGCCGTGTCTTGTCGTGTTTGTTTGAGTGCTCATCACGGCGTATGTCCATTTTGCAGGTGCCTGAACAAGCTCTTCCCGAACTCCATCGCTCGAGTTGATCGGCGAGAGGACGGGTTCGTGCGGACGTCGAATGTCACGAAGTTCCTGGCGGCGTGTTCTACCGTCGGGCTGGGCTCGGACAAGCTCTTCCACCGCGACGACCTAATCGAGGCGACGAGTGAGTGCCTTGCGCGGGTTGCGAAAACGGTCATCGCGCTCTCGCAGCTGGCCGAGTTTCCTCCTGCACCGTCGAACGCGATCCTAGGTGGGTCGCGGATGGGCATGAGTCCATATGGCCAGAACACCCGCGCCGCCGCGTCAACGCCGAACCTCAGCATGTCGCAGTTACAGCGCTCGACGTCGCCAGTCGGACCTAGCTCGCCTGGACAGAGGAAAAGGTGGAGTCCCCATCAGCATTTACCGACTGTGCGCTCCGACAGCCCGAACGAGGACTCCAGCGACGGCAAGACCGTGAACAACGACGATGTCTTCGGCAGCAAACCTTCCACCCCTGTTCCAAGCAGCGTTGACCGAGATGAGGTCCCACCGATGGTCATGACCCCTCCTCCGCGCTCACCCCTTCGTGTCCGTCCTGTCGTCGAGCGCATATCCATTGCCGACTCGACCCGCGCTTCTGTCGGCGACTCCGTCATGGGGTCTATGGCCGAGTCTTTCGAAGTGCCTGCGGCGATGAGGCAGTCCCAGGCCTCTAGCAACATGACCGACTCCACTAACTTCTCCACCGCCTTCTCGAGCCTTTTGGATCCCCCACGGAGTCCAACGAGCGTCAACAATAAGTTCGGCACGATTCGGACGGTCACGACGGAGGCGACCTCCGAGTCGCCGTCGATGACGCGCACCGAGGGCAGCTCGATCGCCCCTTCGTTCAAGGAGGAGGGTCGATATCGTGGCATGGACTCACCTACACGTCCGTCGCGCGAGCGTCGGCCGAGCGAGACCGCTATTGTGGACTTGTCCAGGGTCGTCGAAGAGTCCGAGGACGGTCTGGCGAGTACGCGGGGTGCGAGGTCCAAGGGAGAGAAGCAAAGTCCAGAGCGAGCGCGCTCACCTCTCAGGACAGCCCCTGTCCCCATAAAGCTGGGGAAGGGGAAGTGGCCCGACGACTTTCTCGGCTTGGACACGTTCCAGGCGCCGAAGTCCTCCCTCCTCGACGACGACGATTCCTTCTCTCTCAGCGCATCTGTCCACACGCCACTCTCCATCTCGCCTCCGCGCAGCAAGCTCGTGATCGCTGCATCGCGCTCCCCTAACGAGAGTGTCGAGTCGTTGCCTCAGTTCTCGCCGCGCCGCCCAACACACCGCGCGCGGCACAGCGTCGACACGCCCGGGCTGCTTCCGAAGGACGCCCTGCTGCGGCGCGACTCGAGTCCGGATGCAGGCGCGTCGCCGTCCCGACGGGTGGTGCTCCGGCGCAGCAGCTCGAAGGCCGCGGGCAACCGGAATGGCATCTACATCCCCCACAAAGAGGGCTCGGCGTCGCCAGACGACAGCGACGCGGCGGTGCCGTTCCCGCGTTCGGTGTCGGGCGAGCACTCGTCGACGCCGCCGGGGGCTGGGTTCGTGTTCCCGTCGGCGTCGCCCAATGACTCGAAGACGGACGTGAGTAGCGTGCTTGGGGTTGACCGCCCACGGTTGCCACGGGGGCGGTTCCAGAGCGAGATCGACGCTGCGAGCTCGAGGAGGAAGCCGAGGCCGAACTCGTACGATGAGCTGGGTGCGAAGCCGAGGAGGTCACGGTTCGAGAGCATGGTGAACCTGGGCGTCGCCTCGAGCAATGCGAGCGCGAGCGATCTTATGTCGCGCGATTCGCTGGATGGTAGTGGCGTACGGCAGACGTTGATAGTGCGGGAGGATGGCAAGGCACCGACGCAGTTCGTGAGTGGCTGATTCAGTTTTACGTCTGCATTCCGCGCTCGGCGGGCTTACCGCTTTCTGTTTACAGCAACTGGGGAACTGCATTGGCCGTGGGCAATTCGGCGCTGTGTACAGGGCGCTGAATTTGAACACCGGGCAGATGGTGGCGGTCAAGCGGATTAGGCTAGAGGGCCTGAAGGAGGACGAGATTTCCCAGCTCATGAGGGAGGTCGATCTCGTCAAGAGCCTCTCGCACCCGAGCATTGTCAAGTACGAGGGCATGGCCCGGGACGACACCTCGCTCAACATCGTTCTCGAGTGAGTGTCCCGAGCGCTCCCTGTGGCAGCAGGTGGAATGACACTGATTTGGCGCCTAGGTACGCGGAGAACGGCTCCTTGGGTCAGACCTTGAAGGCGTTCGGGAAGCTCAACGAGCGCCTCGTCGCAAACTATGTCGTCAAGATCCTCGAGGGTCTGCACTACCTACACCAGAACGACGTCGTGCACTGCGACCTGAAGGCGGCAAACATTCTGACGACGAAGAACGGCAATGTCAAACTGTCGGACTTTGGCGTCTCGCTGAACCTGAGGGCGATGGAGCGGGAGATGAAGGACGTCGCCGGCACGCCGAACTGGATGGCGCCCGAGGTCATCGAGCTCAAGGGCGCGTCGACAAAGTCGGACATCTGGTCGCTCGCCTGCACCGTCATCGAGTTGCTCACTGGTCGGCCTCCGTACGCCGACATCGCCAACAGCATGTCTGGTATGTCTCTACATGTTGTCGCGAGGTGCTGCCGCTAACAACGCACTTACTAGTTATGTTCCGCATCGTGGAGGACGAACGGCCGCCGCTGCCTGAGGAATGTTCTGAGAACCTGCAGAGCTTCTTGAAGTGGTGTTTCAATAAGGACCCTACTAAGCGACCGAACGCTGAACAGCTTTGTGAGCATGAGTGGCTCAAGAAGCACTCTGCGGCTCACAAAGTGAGTTGGGTCCCCCCTGTACGTCGTGTAGAAGAGCGCTCATGTTCGTTGCCCGATTCTAGGAACTGCGGCCCCAAGACAGTATTCCGTTTTTGCGCCGCGTCAGCGCCGACATGCAGAAGTCGAAGGCTATCCGCTACCTAGCGGACTTGGAGATGCCTGACTCTGACCGGTCGTCCGCGGATCAACGCCCGAGCCCTCTCGACCTGCCCGGCTCCCCGCCACGGCGAAGGCTATCGAACGACCCAGAGCCAATCTCACCCCGGGAACACTCCTTCGTCAAAACGACCTTCGGGAAACGTACGTAATGTGGTCGTAGTGCCCAATTCATTCGCTGACTTCGAATCCAGCGGTCATCTGCAGGGTCTGTCTTCAGAGTGTCAAGAAGAGCGCCGTGCTCTGCGAACAGTGCAGTCTCATTGCCCACGCACGATGCTCAGGAAACGCCCCGCCGACTTGCGACCTGCGATCCCAGCTGCTGCTGTACGCGCAGTACGCGGAGAATGGCAGCTCCTCCCCCATGGACATTCTCGCTGCCGCAGCGCAAGGCGGACCGCCCACTAGCCCTACCAGTCAGACGTCCGACGACGGCTTCTCACGGCGAACAAGTATGGATTCCGTTCAACCCCACACCCCGGGACAGCAAGGCCATCTAGCCCATCCCCCCACGGCATTCAAAGTCTTCGCCGCATTCAAGCGCTCAAAGTCGTCGCTGACCATAGACCAAGACCACCAGTCCACGACCTCGCTCTCGCCAACCCCACCAGTTCCCCAGCCCGTCCGCCAAGTCTCAAACAAGCGCTCGGTGCTGCACCGCAAGAGCACGCGCGACAGTAAAGACCGTCCACAGTCCATCTCGAGCAACAGCACGTCGCCGAACTCGGCGAGCATGCGCAGCGCAGTCACCGCGGCGGAGAGCATGTCGAGCAACAGGCACAGCAGCCACATGTCGGGCGACAAGTCGGACAGGCTGTCGCGCATGACATCGTTCTCGGCGGTCTCTGCGGCGTCTGGTGCGGAGACTGAGCGGGACGAGCCTCGGCTCGTAGGCGGGCTGCCGCCCCCGACTCACCGCGAGAAGCGGCGCGACCGAGACAGCGGGGGGTGTTCCGTACAATGATCACCGCTGCGCCCGCTCATCCCTCCTTCGTGCATTGCTATCCTTCCGCTCGATTTTTCCGTATTATTCTGAGTCCATCTGTCTGACGCATCCTCCCATTCACGCATGACCATATCCCTCGCCCATGTACACCAGCCAGTCTTTCTTGATACCTTCCACGCATACAGTTCTCCCCCTCCCCCCATCCCTCATCCTTCCCGGTTCTGGACTAGGCTCGTTGAACTTTTTTTATTGCATTTAGTGCTTATACGCGCTCTTAATCCCCCTCCTCTCCTACGCACCCATGTATGTCGGCGCCCGAGCGCGCTCATTGCCCTCCGTATACACCTCCCTCCCCTATCTGACACCCTCGTCGCTCTACGTAGTAGTCTGTCCTTGCTGTCCGCTACGTTTTGCAATCTAGTCGTTATGAATTATGGATTTTAGCTGCTTGAGACTCTGAGTCGTGTGCTACCGAGATGTTGTGGGAAAGTCGGAATTAGGAAGCGCCCTCGTATGTTCCACGATCCCGCGGGTCGAGGACCTCTCCTTTGAACCTCCCACACTCACTGCAAACCTACTGTATAGCTATATGCTTCTCCATCGCCCCAACGGAAAGCTCTAGGCTAGGTGGAGCGCTGCAAGTCCGCGACGGAGGGCGTCCGTGCCTTATGGATTTGCTCCAGAGCCCGCAAACAACCTCGCAACCGTCCCACAATTGCATGTGCGAGCATGTGCTGTGTCGGCCGGCTGATCCCCTGCGGGCGCAGTACTCATATGTCGACCAAAACATGCTCTCTGTGGCCTCGTTCTGACTATCGCCTCGGCTAGGCGGTACTCCGACGGGGTGGCTTCCTGCGGGAATATCTGGCCTCATGACGGGCTTCTTGAAGACGAAGAACGTCGCATGACGGGCCTATGTTCGCGATATCCTGCGTGGTACGCCGGCCACTCTTGCGAAGAGCGTAGCCCTCGGGCTTTCTTCCTCATGAACCCTCCCACCTCTAGCAGCGGACCCATGCGGGACCTTTATCAGCGCAGGTCATCCTGTGGTATTGTGGCAGCATCCCGCACTCCACGAACGCATGGCCTCCGTGTGTTTTCATCTTGATCTCCTTCACGGCTCGCTTCTCGCTCGTCGGCCCTCTGAGCGCGTTCTGGCCTGTCAGGATAGGCTCGCCAGGACGGTATCGTGCCGGTACCGGCAGGCTCGGGAACCCATCGTTCCTCGATGCGGGGTACATCTTCGGCTGCTTCTTCCACCCGCATCCACGTCTCCGAGTCCGGTGGAATGCATGGTTCACTAACAATGCTCCTTCTTGATCGAGCTCTATCAGGCCGCTCGCTTGACTACCAGTCCCGCTGTCCCAAAATTACACGCTAGGCGGACCGCATGGTATGCAGAGCGCCCTTTCAGCGTTCCTCGTGGTATCTGCAGCGCGAGAAGAACCCTCGCGCATGGAGGACGGAGTAGTAGCCGTCGAGGACGATATATAATGTCTGGCGATGGCGGGTCTAGCTCTTCAGGCTCTGAGCTCTCAGCGCACACCCACCCTCCATCGTCGACGACAGCCCCGAGTTCCTATTAGCAAGATGTTCGCCCTCTCTTTCTTCTACGTGCTGTCGTCGATGCTCCTCTTCCGAGGCGTGCTCTCTGCCCCTGCATGTGAGCTGAGCTTGGAGTCGCGCTCCACCTCCTCCACCTCCCTTTCCAAGCGTGCTGTACCTGCCGCTCCCCGTTTCGTGGTCTACAGCGACAAGTTCGTCTCCGGCCTGACCGGCCCACCTCCCGTGTCTGAAATCGCGGTGCGCATCACAAGCCTCTATAGCATCCGAATAACGCTCATAAAATCTTCTAGGGTTTCAACGTCTTGTGCGAAACCTTCAGGCTTCTTCTCTGTACCGGAACCGTGCGCTGATACTATTGTCTACCTAGCGCTCTGTCGTTCCTGCTCCTCTCGGGGCCCGCGGACAAGGCGGTCGAGTGGACATGGCTGACCGCAGACCAGCGTGCTACCGTCAAGTCGCAGTACGCTGACGCGGGGGTCAGCCTTGTCGTCTCCGCGTTCGGCTCCACGGACGCGCCAACGTCCTCCGGGGCGGACCCCGTGGGCACGGCGAACACGATGGCGGCGTGGGTGAAGCAGTTCGGCCTCGACGGTATCGACGTGGACTACGAGGTACACTTGTGCCTCGCCATCTGGGAATCGCCGGGCTGACTTTGGTCAGGACTTCAACGCGATGGACGCGAGCGACGGGAAGGCGGAGGCGTGGATCGCGAGCTTTACCCAACAGCTGCGCACGCAGCTCCCGAAGGGACAGTTCATTCTCTCTCACGCGCGTAGGTTTTCATGATCGCCGGTCGTGTGTGGATAACAGCTGACGGTGACTTCGGGACAGCGGTTGCTCCTTGGTTTGTTCACACCCGATCGTGGATCGTGGTGCTCGACCCGGTGTTCATATTCGGTTTTTCAGGTTCTCCGTTAACAATTTGTTCTCGGCTGGGGCCTATCTAAAGGTCGACCAGACGGTCGGAGACCTCATTGACTGGGTAAGTCAATCATTCATATCGGAGATGAAAACATGAGGCTCATGCACGACGCAGTACAATGTCCAGGTACGCAACCTTGTTTAAGGGTGTCTCGTCTTTGGCTGAATCAGACTCGCTGCTCGTCCTTAGTTCTATAACCGTAAGTCCCCAAAATCAAGCCTGACATGTGCACAACTATATTCATACCTGCTGCTCAGAGGGAACCACTGAGTACACCACCTGCGACAACCTGCTGAACACGGCGGGCGGAGACTGGCCCGGCTCTGCTCTCTTCGAGATCGCCGCAGCAGGCGTCGACCTCAACAAGCTTGTCATTGGCAAGCCCGGCAACAACGCGGGCGATGCGGACAGCGGCTTCATTGCCCCCGCTACGCTCGCGGGCTGCGTTGCGCAAGCAAAGGCCAAGGGATGGGGTGAGGCTCTGCTATCTCCACGCGCCTCCGAACTCTCGCTTACAGGTCTTCTTCTCTTGCAGATGCGGGCGTCATGTCCTGGGAGGTGCGTCCAGCTTCTATCTCTCTATCCTTGGGATCTCCGAGGGATTTGATAGCTGATGGATTGCGTGCTGTTCCTCCTAGTTCCCGGACGCGGCCGCATCGTGGATTCAGACTGTCCGCGCGCAGGCGTTCCCCGTCTGAATGGGCCCTGCTAGATATATACCCGCCGGTTTGGGGACGAGGCGCGAGCCTTAACATTAACGATTGTTATGACCCAGGGAAGCTGTGCTTCAGAGGCGTAGATTCGGATATCCTTATGCCTTCTGTAACAGTGACACGATTATGTGGTCCGGCGTTGACCAATTCAAACAATATTTTGTATCGGGATCTTCCAAACCTTTGTCATGAATTCATTGGCGCCTCTACTAGCGCCAGATAAGCAGGGCGCTACACCGCGGCACCGCTCTCTCCTCCGAGTTTACTCACAACCACCATCGCTGTTTGGTACCTCGAGGCTCGAAACCCTCGGTCGCGCGAGTAAAATTGCAGAGTCTCGCAAGTCTGCATCCGTGCATCCTTCTTGCGACTCTTTGATTGCCGCCAGGACGAACGCATGCGCCTCGCTCACATGTCGCACTAACGAAGAAGCAGAGCCCGACATGGTTCACGATTCTATGTTATCAGGTGCGATACGCTCGTCCTATTTTGTCCTCTCTTTAGCTGAAGACGTGGTCAGCTGCGATTCGCCATCAGACATAGGTTTAGACATACTCCACTCTGTACGCATCCTTCTCTCGGAGGGCTATATAGGAGGCAGAGTAGCAGTATCGCCGCCAGTGGATGCACAGAGCTTTCCGTCCACAGGTATCTTGCCATCCTTGACAAAGATACTCGTATCGCGGTGTGTATTTAGAGCAAGGTTCTACTCAGCGCGAAATCTCAACTGATGCCGCTATCGGGAAGCCTTGCCTAGAGAGCCCCCCATTCGGAAGCCCCGATCTCTATCCCCTCAATGGCAGCGCTCTCGAATCAATTGTCTGTTCCATCTGATTCCGTCGGGGACATCCCGCTGGACACTCGCCTTTGACCATTCTCCGACTGCTCTGAATCTCCTCGAGCGCAGACCACTAATCTAACATCCCGGAACGCATGGCCGTCGCCGCTTCTTGCGCCCGCGTGTCCTGGTTATGTCTCTCGGATTGGATGTCTCGGTGTCTCCCTCTGTAACCCATGCGCTACACTGGACATCTGCCTATCTAGCTCGGTACTTGGCGCTGCGATGACCCCGCACGCGGGCTGGATGACAGGCTGGACGGCCGCGCGAGCAGCCCAGATGTGGTATGCAGAGCCTGTGACGGACCCGGCCCGCGTGCCACCACGCCGTCCTTGTGGCGGATACGGCGGCGGGACGTGATCGCAGACCAGTTGCAATGCAGATCGCGCGGACACTGCGTTTGCGGGGACGCCCGGGCCCGCATGGCGCGTCTGGCGGCGACATATGCTCTTCGGGATCGTCGTGGTCATGGCCTGGGGCTGAGACGTATAAATGCAGCCCGTCTCGCGGGGCGGCTGACTCGAAGAGAACTCGCTGTTCGCTCTCTGGCACCACATGCTCGCTACTGTTCTTCGTCGCTTTGCCGCCCTCGCAGTGGCCTGCTTTGTGCTCCAGCTCACCACTGCTGTTGCGAGCCCGACGCCGTTTGACAGACTTGATGTGCAGGCCCGCGATGTGCTTGCGGACCTCACACCGAGGTCCTACGACGAGCGTGGACTTGTCGCACGTGCTACGCCGGCTGCGCCTCACTTTGTGGTCTACGGCGACAAGTACGCTCCTGGAACAACCGGCCCTCCTGATGCATCGACGATCAAGGGGTTCAACGTCTTGTATGTCCCGTCTTCAATTTCAATAAATTTCAGCATCTGCTGCACGGACTGACTCCAGTGGTATTGTCGCAGCTTGCTCTCGTTCCTCTTGACGGAAGGCGCCTGGGACAAGGCATATGAATGGACGACGCTGACGGCCGACCAGCGCGCCGCCGTGAAGTCGCAGTACGCCGCGGCGGGTATCAAGCTGATGGTATCCGTGTTCGGTTCGACGGACGTGCCCACCTCCTCAAGGAACGACCCCGTCGGGACCGCGAACACGATCGCGGCCTGGGTGAAGCAGTGGGGCTTGGACGGTGTCGACGTCGACTACGAGGTACGGGACGCCGTCTACGGCTACATTTTGAACGCAGCTGACGAGCCGGGGCCTTGTGACTCTACTAGGACTTCAACGCGATGGATGCGGGAACGGCCGAGGCCTGGCTGATCTCGTTCACGACACAGTTGCGTGCACAGCTCCCGGCGGGGAACTTTATCATCACACATGCGCGTATGTACGTTCTGTGCTCGAATACCATCATGCAGCTGACCTTGGCGGCCAGCCGTTGCTCCTTGGTACGGATCCCGTGCTCCAGCTTCCCATACTTAATTGCCAACGTCCATGTCGTCTTCAGGTTTACGCCGAACAAGTGGCCGGGTGGAGGATACCTCAAGGTTCATCAACAAGTCGGCAGTTTGATTGACTGGGTAAGCCAACGAGGCATATCCAATGCAGAATGTGAAGGTCACTAACCAGAAAACTACATGTACACAGTACAATGTCCAGTTCTATAACCGTACGAACTTCTACCATATTTATAGCGACCGCGCCGCTAACCGCCACAATCTTGCAGAGGGCACGTCAGAATACACGACCTGTGCGGGTCTCCTGACGACGTCGTCGTCGACCTGGCCCAACTCGGCGCTCTTCCAGATCGTCGCGTCCGGCGTCCCGGCGAGCAAGCTCGTGATCGGGAAGCCGGCGAATTCGGGCGATGCGACCAACGGGTACATCGCGCCGGCGACGCTCGCTGGGTGCATCTCGCAGGCTAAATCGCAGGGCTGGAGTGAGTGGCATGAATTATCAGGTTGTCGGTGTGCAGAGGTCTGATTGCTCGACGTTGAATAGATGCTGGAGTGTCTGTCTGGGAGGTGAGTTCGAAATCGGTCATGGACGCTTGGCAAATCTCAATTTGTTAACACTCTGGTTTCTAGTTCCCGGATGCCGCGGCGTCGTGGATCCAGACTGTCCGAGCGTCGTCGTGGCCCGTCTGAACCGGCAACTCAGCTATCGCCCCCCTTTCATCGTTTCTGAAATCCGCGGATTTTGTGGTCTTAGAGCTCTGGGTTACTCCTGCTCACATTTATGTCGCTCGCGTTGCTGATGTTAAATTTTTGGAGTCTGTTAGAGGAAGGTTTATCAAATGTACAAGTAGCTTTATGTTTTTCCCCAGGTTGTTCAGTGTTCTTATGTCGCTTTTCATATACTATATATCAGGATTGTGCGCCTTCATACACCACGTATCGACGTTCGGCTGGAAAGAAATCAAATTTGCCAATCAGGGCGCTGTGTCGGGCGCCAGAAAGGTGTGCCTGACGCCCTGTATCGGGCCCGAGCTTCTCCGTACTAGCTTCTCTCCGAACCAGCTTGTTTCAAGACCTACGGCTGTGATGTTCAGCCGTTCAACGGACCTCCGACATGCAAAATAAAGCAGCAAGACGTGCTGTAACATGCATCGGTGGGTGGGCAAACACCATAACCTTCATACTGAGACTAACGGAAATATTTGAAGCAGCCGCTGCTTTCCCGGACTGCGTTGCACGACGGGATCGACGTGCACATCATCCTGATGCGCGCTCTTGTGAGGTCGCCGCCCGCACGGGGTACTCATTTTTACCTCACTATTGCCCGGAAAGCTGTCCATGTGGATTCCCGCTTTCGTTAGATCGGTCCATACCATTGCTCGAAACGCGCTAGTAGCCGTTGCGCCCGTGGCGGTCCCCCGCGGCGTCATGTTTCCAGATAAACAACGTATCGTCACCTATATATTGTGAAAGCGGTTGCCATCGTCGCCCGAGCAAACCTTGCCCTCCCGGACATTTTCGCTTGGCTGTGGCCGTGTGTTCAACGTCCTTGCTGACGCCGAGCATGTCCTCCGACGCCGACGCCGCTGCTCAGCTCGTCCTGCTCTACCAGGCTGCGTGAGTGTAGTCCGTAATTCCATCTTGAGTGATGGCTGATGTTAAATCCATGCGACAGAGATTCGAATTTGTATTGGACCAGCTGTGCTTTCGGTACGTTCGAAACGCATGTCTATGAAGGCTAATGCCCCGCTAACTGATGATGTACATATGTAGCACTCCTGTTCTACGACTACATCCTCACGTTCCGCCATGAAGTCCGCTTTGTGTGGGGTCGTAAATTCTCGGCCGCGGCGGCGTTATTCCTTGTCAATCGATACTTCATCATCCTGCTCTATCTCGTGGATATCGTTACACTATTCCCAATATCAACGAAGGTGAGTCCGTCTATCTTGACCTGGAGTGTGGGGTGCAGAACTAACCGTTTTTCGCCAGACGTATGTTCATAATGAAGTATGAGAAAACACTGGACAGACCATTCTTAATCAATCTCCAGATGTCCGGGAATTGGACGCTTCATCACCGTGCTCGAAGTCATTCCATACATTATATGGTCCAGTGCGTTTGCTATATTTGCTCCTATCATCTCAATTGTCGACCCTTTTTCAAGCTTTCTCTGCCCTCCGAGCATATGCGCTCAGCAGCCGCACCACTTTAATAGGCATCGTTGTCTTCATCCTCTCGCTGGTGCCTGCAGGAGTGAACGCTGTGAGTAGCGTTCCTACATGTCTGCGCCGGACCCTAAAAGGTTATGGTCACACACTACAGTATTTTTTCTCCACGTTCGTCTTCATCAATCTCGACCCGCCGTCAAATTGCACCGCGCTGTCGGATATAACTCCCGAGCTGAGCAAAACGTACGTTCATCTCCTCCTGATCACTGTCGTATTCACTGCGCGGTGTACTGAAAGCCATGCACAGTTGTACGCATGACGCTCTGTATCCTCATGATTGTGAACGGGTCCTTGAATGAGCACCGCACAGTGACGATTGTATCGCGTGCGACGCTGATGGCCGCAGACGTCCTGGTTATCGCGGTCACATGGGCGAATACCTACCGTCTCAGGAAGGCGTCGCACGACGCGAGGGTTGACGGGTCCTTCAGCGGACTCTTACTTCGTGATGGTGAGTAGCTTTGCGCCTTTTGGCGGATACACCTGAGTTGACTCTTCGATAGGAACGATCTACTTCGTGTGAGCACCGCGCTGCCATGTATGAGTTACGGGTGTCTGACAGGTCCATAGCGTGCTCATTGCTATGAACGTCGTGCACATGACGCTTAACACGGTGAAGGTACGATTTCTGCTCCGCGTCCACCACTCGCACGCGAATCTCACTAACGACTTTGTCCACAGCCCAACAATATCGTGCAGCAGGCCAGCTATGTGACGATCCTCGAGAACCCGTACGTCTTCTCACCTGCTCAATTTTACTAGTTGGCTCAGTCCTAATCTCCACCCAAAGCATCACTTCCATCCTCATCTCACGCTTCATCCTCAACCTCCGTGCGGTCGACCATCGCGGCGTCGAAGGCGGGGACGCGTCCGACACACTCCTCAGCAGCCCCCATCCCCGAGGCGCGGCATCGACGATGCGCTTCGTGAGCGTAGCAAGCACCCTAAAGGTGCTCGGGGCATCGCTGGGAGACGAGCTTGATGAGGAGGCGATCGCGGTAGGAGGGGGTGAGGATGCAGCGAGGGTCAAATGCAGTTTGGACCCTGAGAAGGCTCACGTTGGTGAGAGTGAGACGACTGAGGCATTGCGGGAGGCTCGCCCGCCATCCCTAACAGCGCAAAGTCTGAAGGCGCGAGATCAGGGTCCTGCGCCGAGACTATTCGCGGAGGCGGGGCCTTCTACGGTCTAAACATGTAAACGTATGGTAAAAAGGTATCTCTCGCGAAGCATAATGCGTGTAGTCGTATAAATTGTCGTGCGAGCGCGCCCTTCTCGAGCATGTAGCTAGACCAGTTCGAGTTCACGCAATGCGCTGAGAGACCTCTGGGAAGAGGTATCGCCACTTGATGCATGTTCACCATCGTAGGTGCGTGATCCTGGGCGCTGTCGGTCAAGTCTTCCTTCCACCGCTCTCAGTAGAGCATCAGTTCGCGTGTTGACCCCAGATAGATTCATCATGTTGCAATCGTCGCACATAACTATAGTATATCATAAGAAGTCGTAAATTCCCTTTCCGCGTGATCGTGCTGTCTTCCTCCGTCAAAGGTCATCTTGTTCGTCATCGCACTGGCAGAGCAGGCATCGAAGATAAGACCGAGAACCAGTGTCGCCTACTTGAAGGACTTGCCCTTGGCGGCCTTGATCCAGGCAGCGTCCGCCTCGGGGAACTATACACGTCCACCAGCCATGAGTATTCATTCACTTCGACCCCATCCTGCGAGAAGAGCTCACCTCGAACGCCATGATACCGGCACTCCATCCCTTAGCGTGCGCCTGGTCGACGCACGTGCCGAGCGTCGCAGGAGCGATGAAACCGTTGGTGGCGTCGGCGGCGCTGCCAGGCTTGCCGATGACGAGCTTCTTCAGGTCGACGCCGTTGGCCGCGATCTCGAAGAGCGATGATTTGAGGAAGGGCGAGCCGGACTTGTTAATCAGGCCCTCACAGTCGGTGTAGAGGCCCTCTGCGTAGCGAGTGAGTACTAACACTTTGGTGAGGGTATCTGGTACTCGCGGTTGTAAAACTGGATGTTGTACCAGTCGATCAGCGACCCAACGTTCTTGTTCACAGTCAGGTACGCCCCAGCCTTAAACTGCGCGTTCGGGGACAGCCACGGCGCGAGCGGCGCATGGCTCAGGATGAACTGGCCCTTCGGCAGCTTCTTGCGCAGCGTCGTCGTGAACGTAGACACCCACGCCTCCGCCTTCCCGTCTCCCTTGTTCATCGCGTCCAGGTCCTCGTAGTCGACGTCGATCCCGTCGAGCTGGTTCGTGAGCACGAACTGCGCCATCGTGTTCGCGGTGGAGGTCGGGTCGGCCCCGGACGTGGTGGGCTTGTCCGTCTCGCCGAACGCGGACACGATGATGTTGATGCCGGCTTTCTTGTATGCGGCCTTTGTGGACGTGCGCTTTGCGGCCGGGAGAGCAGCGTATGCCGCCGCCTGGTCGGCAGGGCCCTTCAAGGTGAGGAACGAGAGGGCGACGACGTTCCAACCCTATATAGTAGCGTGAATGAGCAACGAAACAGACCCTAGTGGGCGAGAAACACTCACGGCGAGCTGGGAAGCCGGGGGCAGCACATCTGCAGACACGAACTTGTCCGTGTATATGACAAACGCCGGGCTGGGGGCTTTCACGGCGCGCGCCTCGAGATGCGAGCCGTCGTTGGCAACGGGGACAGCAATGACACTGGTCACAGAAGCCAGTGCCAGCGCGATGTAGACGGAAGAGATCATGCGGGTGAAGGAAAACATCGCCGGGATGTATGTTGAAAAGAAAGTGGGAATGAAAAGAAAAGAAGCCGACTAGCGGTCTTGAGAACGAATAAGCAGACGAAGGCGATGGTGAACCTGGGGGCTGGTCTTTCGATATGCCTTCGCTATGGCTTAAGTATCGTGTTCGTCGTAAGCGTATCGCCAGGGGCAATGTGGTCCGATGACCGTTCGGACTGTGGCCGTTCCCCTGCCGCCCACGGAGAATGCAGGCAGTGAGCACGCCGCGCACGCAGTGTTGTGGATCCGGTGATTCCGCGCAGTAGCAGTGGTGCGAGGGTAACGTTACATGTTACACCCACCAGATTCTGTATGCTCCACATTTCGTAGTATGCCGGTAGTGCATCCTCTAACACTCGAAATCCTATGAAGACGGTTAGGTCAATAGATGCAATGCGAGCGACGATATACTGGAGCATTTGCGGGCGTACCGCTCACATTGTTAAAGTTTGACCTGCCCATCGCAAACAAGTCGAGACAGGCGCAGTCCTGGGGTAGCCTGTTCTTGACCGCCGTTTGCATCACCGGTGTGGCTTGAAGATGGAAACGACCTGCCCAACGACTGATCCTCCTGCGCTGTTCAGCCACAGCCTGAATGACGCGTATACATCAGATGTATGTATACGGTAGAGTCCACATGCCCCTCCACATACGAATAGGTGTGGTGTTTTCGAACCCGAGCGGCCCGCTTGTTCCCCAGTGCGCATCGCTCGTGCGCCGGTCAATGCTGTGAATCTGAAATGTATGCACGCTAGCGCTATGCCAGGGGCGTTAGGCGAGTATCACTTTACCGCTGTTGCTAAGTTGGAGCCTGAGGACGGTCTGATTGAGCGCTAAGCATTGCTCTTTCTTGCGTTGTTCACAATAGCAAGCGTGCTTGATACATCACATCCGCTCACGATCATATAAGTGGGCCCTAGCAAGATTGTCAAGGGCTGAAATAGGTTTGGAAAGTGACTGGCGTGTGAGTAGTGAGCTCCGGAGCGAGCTCAAAGTCATCATACCGTGAAACCCAAGTAGGTAGAGGCGGTGAAGTTCCCCCACAGCATTCTGGCAGATCGGAGCCTCGGATGATTACCGGGATGAGTAGCAAGCCCATTATAGGACGGTGCGACACGGTGGTGAATGTGCTGCTTGAATGAGGATGAATATGAGACCTCCGACAAAAGTTTCGATGTAACATAGACATCACGTACCTCAAAGAGTAACTTAGATCAGCAAGGGGCAGGACTTGCGGCATGTAGGAGTAAAAGTCACCGCAAGCGTTGATCAGCTTATGGTTTAAGATTATACTGGCGAAGAAGTGGGCTAAAGATTCGAAACTTCATGACTCTGCGCAGTGATAGACACAATGAGTCAACTTTCTTCAAATCGTCTTGAGGTGGTCGATCGGGGCTCCTTATATCCGTTCCAAAAAGTACCAATCCTATAATCTTGTATTATGGTCCTTCTAAAAGGAAATTGGTCAAAACATCATAGACGCAATCTTGCCTACATTGACGTACCATCCTTACAATGGAAAACTCCGTGCCTGAAGGGTCCATGACATGCACGCTGAAGTGTCGGTATGAAAGTTAGACAGTCTTCAAGCCAAACCACGACATAGGCCAGCCGTAGAGCAGCTATAACCCCTCGCCACGTTGGCCTCCGGGCGACGGGTTATGCCTAGAGCAATGAGGGGGGCAATCAGACTGCTAGTAGACTGTGGTCTTGCGAAGTCCGATATTTGTGGTAGGCTTCTCGACAGTGCGGAGATCACAGCTTCAGTAGCAGAGCATCAAACATTATCGCGTGCATGCTGCGCGCGATTTTTTCGGCGGACGAAGCAGAATTGAAAGTGGGATGGTCGTGGTCCGTGATCAAGCAGGCTGCAGCGGCAACATACCAGCGGACCGCGATAGCGCGTTGGGCGCCTATAGCAACTCAGCCGCGTCGCGTCGAGGCGACCGCCCTCCTCCGTCCTCACACAACTGCCACCACTCGTTCCGTGTCCCCTTTCCTAGGCCTAGCGTTCGAGCGACCGTGATTTGGAACAGCCTCTCTTGGATTGGGCTGTGAAGGAAACAATACTGGTGCTAGCGATACAGCTGTCTGGCAACCCTCCCTGACAAGGCTCCTCCGACGCGCTGTGGCCTAGCTGTTTGACACACAACCCCGAGCTGCTTAAGAGCCCTGCAAATCCACAATGTCGCAGCTAGGACGCGTTTCCAAAGCCAGTGCACTGAGGCTATGTCGGCCGACACGCGTTGCCCCTGCAGGCCGTTTGCACTTGTCCACCGCTTCCTCGGTCGGCGGGAGCCAGTCGAGCGTCAACCCCGACGAGATTGCTCATTTCTCCAGGCTGTCACAGCAATGGTGGGACGAGCGGGGAGAATTCGGGCTGCTGCATAAGATGAACCCGGTCCGCATGCAGTTCATCCGTAATAAGATGGTGAGTGGGACGTGCATCCCATCCGAAACATGGCCTCACGAGACGCAAGCTAGAAATCCAGTGGGAAGAAGACGAGAGCAGAGTCAACGAGGCGCAGCCTCTCAGTGGCTTGGACGTCGTGGATGTTGGCTGTGGGGGCGGTCTGCTCTCCGAAGTAGGTCCGGATATCCCACTTGGTGCTCCCTCGTCACTGAACGTTGTGTAGACATTGGCAAGACTAGGCGGAAGGACACTAGGCATAGACGCTTCCTCGTCTAACATTGGCATAGCATCTCTGCATGCTGCGGCGGACCCAGCTTTGGCCCCGTCAACTTCTTCCGCTGGGAACAGCGGAAGGGGTGGCCTCACGTTCAAGCATACTTCCGTAGAGGATCTTCTTGCAGAGCGGGGCCCCGCATCCTTCGACGTCGTCTGCTCGATGGAAGTCATCGAGCACGTTGACAACCCTCGAGCGTTCTTGACCAACTGCGCAGCCCTCGTTAAGGTGAGTTGACTGTGGTCGTAGTCACTGCGGAACATGGCGCTGACGGTACCGACGAAGCCTGGCGGCCATCTCTTCCTCTCGACGATCGCCCGCACGCCGCTGTCCTACTTCCTAACAATCTTCGCTGCGGAGCAAGTGCTCAGGCTGGTTACGCCCGGCACGCACACACACTCGAAGTACATCAACCCTGAGGAGATGACCGAGTTCTTCCTCTCGACGCCTCTACCACCTCATGATGTGGCGGCACTCGACAGCGCCCCGACGGGGTCCCGAACAGCGAGCCGACCTTGGATCTCGCGCCTGTACGGCGGCGCACCTCTCCGGACTGAAGCCGAGATCCGCGGAATGGTCTACGTGCCGTGGAAGGGCGAGTGGGTGTTGGTGCCTCGCGGCGCGCCGGGCGCGAGCGTGTGGGCAGAGGCTTGCAACTATCTATTCTGGGTGCGGCGCCCCCTCGAGTAAAATCGAGCCGTGTTCGTCAGCTATGTTCGTCAGGATGTAGATGGTGATTCGTTTACCAGACAGGTCTCAATTGCCCTCACCATCATTACACCACAGAAGCACCGAGCGGGTGCACTTCGATTTTGCGCGCTCGCCCGTGGTCCGGGATTACGAACTGGCGCATCTTGTGCACTCTTCGCATCATGGAAGGTCTTGCCCATGAGTTGTGAACACGAACCCCTCGTGATGTTGCAGGTGTGTCCGCTCTATTCACAACGATTCAGCCGCCTTGCTGGGTGATGCAACCATCTGGTGCGCAGGCGTACGCCCGCCGCAGGCCCGCAGCCATCATGGACCGGCGCCTAATATACATTCTGGGTGTTTCAAAGAGGATCACCCTTGCGTCGCGCAGTGCACGTTGATGCGTGAAGTCTGTGCAGGTCGTTGGTAATTCCGGACCTCGACCGGCTTTACAGCACAGTCAGCTCCTGTGGCTACTACGACCGATGTTAGCAGGAACCGATCGGCCAGAAATACCACACATTTGCATCATTCGCGCCTCGCGCGTGGTGCAAATATGTAGTAACCGTGCACTGTTGGACCAACGCACCCATCACAGCCACCGGTGAATGGGCGGTGTGGATGATCTCGACACGAATTCGAGGAGGCTACTGCAGGTGCCCCTTGTCTTCCGTCTTAACGCTGTCCAAATGGTGAACACATGGCGTACTATTCCGCCATGAGAGAGCAAAAGGCTGCGGTCATCCACTGGGCCTTGGCACATACCTCCGGACGCCCAAGCTGTCACCCACAAACGCATCATACACAAGGCTGTGGCGGACTTACGACCACCGATGATATCGTAAGTTGCCTGTCATGCCAACAATTCGAGGCCAGGGCTGGCCAGGGGGCGGGCAGCGTGACTACATCCACCTGGTCGCCGGCCGGAGGCGCAAACGATCAAACGATCAGTCGGAGTGCAGCGCCCCAAGCAAGAGTGATGCCATCCCGGAGGGCCACAGGCGGTCAGTCCGCTTGCGGAGAGCTTACGCCGACCGCGCCTCCAGCTGTGGTGGTGTTCCAGTATAAAAGGGTATGTTCGAGGACCATGGAACTCCAGCCCCCAGGTTCATTACTTGCCTTCGTCTTCACATTCACTTCTCAAGTCCGCTAGCCGGCTTTTTTTACATTCACGTCTTCATTCTACCATCCCGGCGATGTTCTCCTTCACCCGCATGATTTCTTCCGTCTCTGCCGCGCTGGCGCTGGCGTCCGTGAGCAGCGTTCTCGCTGTGCCCATCAACACGAACGTCACGCCGCTGGTTGCTCGTGCCACGGCACCTAGCCCGGCATTCGTCATCTACACGGACAAGTTTGTGTCCGCGGACGTGCTTCCCCCCGCCACCTCGCTCGCTGTGAGTACCTCTCCCCGCCGCAGGCCTTGACGCAGTTCGCTGACCGCAGTCCACAGGGTTACAACGTCGTCGCCCTCTCCTTCCTCACGCTCAACGGCGCGCTCGACCAGGCCGGCGCATACGCCGCGCTGACCGCCGACGCGCGCGCCGCGAAGAAGGCCGAGTACACGGCCGCCGGCATCAACATCATCGTCTCCGCCTTCGGCGAGACGGACAAGCCGACGAGCGCGGGCGCGGACCCGACCGCCACCGCGAACACGATGGCGCAGTTCGTGCTCGCGAACCAGCTCGACGGGATCGACGTCGACTACGAGGACCTGGACGCGATGAACAAGGGCGACGGCGCGGCCGAGGCGTGGGTGTCGACGTTCACGACGACGCTCCGTCAGACGCTGCCCCAGGGCCAGTTCATCCTCACGCACGCGCCGCTCGCGCCGTGGCTGTCGCCCAACGCGCAGTTCGCGGCCGGCGCGTACCTGACGGTCAACAAGAACGTCGGCGCCCTGATTGACTGGTACAACATCCAGTTCTACAACCGTGAGTGACATACCCGGCCAACTACCGCGAGGATCAGTGCTGACGCATCGCTTGCAGAGGGCCTCTACACCGACTGCACAGGCCTCCTCACCGCGTCCGGCGGCGCCTTCCCTGGCTCCTCCGTCTTCGAGATCCAGGCGAACGGCGTCGACCTCAACAAGCTCGTCATCGGCAAGCCCGGCACGGCCGCCGACGCGACCAACGGGTTCATCGACCCCGCGACGCTCGGGACGTGCGTCGACCAGGCGAAGGCAAAGGGCTGGAACGCCGGTGTCATGGCCTTCCAGTTCCCCGACGCCGACGCGACCTGGATCAAGGCCGCGAAGGGCACGTCCTTCGCGTGAGCGCCCCGGGCATCCGCAACACCTCCGACATCCGCATCCTGAAGACGACGAATCACGACCCCCCGACGAAGATTGCCACTCCATCATGCGGCGGAGGTTGAACCTCTCTGAGATCCACGATGTATCATAGTAATGTGTCACGACTGTAACGTAATGAATTATTTGTTTCGGGGGCCACATACTTTTCGGTGTGATGACTGCAACAACTGGCGATGGGGAAGCTGTACTTTCCTTCACCGGGCTATGTAAGACACTGAGGAGCTACCCAGCTTGTTGTAGCTGGTTTGAGTTGCTCAATGTGTTAACCTCACGATGAGAGGTGGTCCACGCACAGCAGAAAAGTTGTGACCATAAGGGATGGACCTCCCACTCGAGCAGAAAACGTCGTTTGCCTAAGGGGGGACTGCGAGCTCTGTGCGCCGTGCCCGGGAACGTTTGCTACATTCGCGCATACTGCCGATGGGAACACAAGTTCTGAATCTCTCTGCCCATCTATGATTATCCATCCGTCATATCAATGGATATCAGGATACGGGTCTGTTAACTGGAGATCCAAACCATCCGATGATATTGTCCATAAGGTCCAAACAAACACAGTACACCATCTCCCAGTACAACACATCACAACGTCGCAAGCGGCACCGCCCGCGGGATGGTCATCGAAACTTCCTTCCAATACACCCCAATGCTATACGGTTCGACGTCAGGAAAGTCGACACCATCTGCCATCCTCTTCTTCGCCGGCTTCTTCGCCACCTCTGGGTCCTCATTAGGCGCGCCTTCGGCCGGGGCCAACAACCCTTCGCACCGGAAGGGCTTCGTGCGTCCGCTGTATTCGTTGCACTCCATAAGATGCCATCGCGGGATCTCGACGAGCCTGCCCATAGCGCTGTCGGGCAATGCCTCCAACGGAGGCTGACACAGCGTGACTCGCGGGAAAACGGCGAGACTGGCGGGGATGGAGGGGACCCATGGGACGGGCTTGACGAGGGCCGCGAAACACGCCTCAGAAGCAAATGTTGTGGGCGAGGTGGCGGGGAAGACGCGGACTTCTGTCGCGTCTGGATGGTCCAGCGAGGGTGTGAACACAAATTCTGCGAGTTCACGGGGGAGGCCCCAATTATTCCGCCCTGTGTGCGGTATAAAAGAGGGGTTTGCATGCAAAGGGCACGATGGACCTTACCGTTGACGAGTGCTTCTGGGGTGGAGACATATGCTCGCGTAACGCGATGTGATGGTTTCTGGTACGGGTTCACGAACTCGCCTGGGGCGATTGCGAGTTCATCGAAAGGTCCTAAAGGCACATCATAACTTTCAGTAATGTACCTCGACGTCGCTCATATAGGCTTTACCTATGGGACTCTCCGTGTAGCGTATAAGGGTGATTGAACCCCGTCCGCCACGGAACGCATCCTGTTCCGTGCTAGCTTTGTACAGCTGTGTTTCCTTGCTCGGAAAGTAGCTTATGGGCAGCGATTCCCCAGGCTCTGTCTTATGTCCAAGCGAGGTAACAAACCACCATGCCTGATTACAGCATATCGCAGAGCCACCATCAGTCAACAGCTGTCATATGGCGCGTAGATGGTGTGGACGTCCACTCACTTCTGCCTTTACTGCCCACGGCGCCGGTACAGGTTTGATGGTGGAGGATGTCGCGTCGTCGGTACTCATCTCAATCGTTATGGTGGTCAAGATACAAGTTTACGAGCTCGACGCTGTGCTCGTCGTGCATAGCACCCCTTGATACCGCGGGGCAGTGGGCACACCGGTCCCGTCGCTAGCCGCGTGTGCGCCAGAGTCGGAGACCGCGCGGCGCGCGCGAGAAGCGCACAACCACCGAGCTCTGCCCAACTCTTCCGCGACAAGGCAAAAACGTGGCTTCACACACACACAAAATGGCGTCCTTTCTGCAAGACAGACGGGTTGTTTGAAAGCGTTTCTGAGCGCAGGGACCTCTGCGTTGAGCGAGAGAACGAACATTGGTTAGACGCTGGTCAAGAAAGGTGACCATCGTAAGCGCCGGTGGGAAGGAGGGAAGTTATGTAAGCGAGGGTGGCTGTTGGTACTGTACAGCTGTGCCCGATTTGTCCACGGAGACTTTCCCTATACCTGAAGCACGCACGCCGCCGTACTCAACGCCCCCGACTCAAATACATCAAGATGGTGCGTATCCATGCTAATTGAAGTACTGCCGGACGACTGACCGACTCTTTATTCTTCCAGACGAAACGCACACGCAAGGTCGGCGTTACCGGAAAGTACGGTACTGTGAGTTGATTTGCCCGCCGGACATGGCGGGTTTCGATGTTGGAGAAGGCCCAGGGCTGACTCTGGTGGGATGTAGCGTTACGGTGCCTCCCTGCGTAAGCAGGTCAAAAAGGTGTGTAGTATGCTCTGCAAGTGTCCGGCATCAGCTGAACATATTCGCTCGGTCAGATGGAGATCACCCAGCACGCCCGCTACACCTGCACGTTCTGCGGCAAGGTCAGCCAAACGATATGGACTTGCGAAGACGGAGTGGATTCTAATCGTGGTGGATATCATGCAGGACTCCGTAAAGCGCCAGGCCGTCGGCATCTGGAAGTGCAACTCGTGCAAGAAGGTCATCGCTGGTGGCGCGTGGACTGTCTCGACAACGGCGGCTGCGACCGTTCGCAGGTACGTACCATGTCACCGCGCACTGCTTGAACACCAAGACTTATGTGCCTCTCCAGCACCGTTCGTCGGCTCCGGGAGATCACGGAGGCGTAATCTTGTCGGGTCGCGTTTCATGCTCTGTTTTCCTTTGCCCTCCACGCATATATATGTCCCACGCTATGAGCACCACCAATATAGCCAGCCTCATGCCGCCAGTGTATTCTACCATGACGATGTCTTCGACCGACGTGGACCGGAACTCTAAGCTCGAAGCACTCCGTGATCATAGAAACGATTCTAACATTCACGTCCAAGACAAATTACATGATGATAGATGGACAACGGATACAACAGTCTGAACGGCACAAATCCAAGTAGAACATATACGCTACGCGTGAACATCTATGGCGTCGTCATCATCGCTATGGGGCTCCTGGCCCTCTTCAACCTCGTCCATGTCGTCCTCTTCTTCCTCCTCATCCTCCTCATCGTCGTCACTTTCCTCACTCTCACTCTCGTGGAAGGTGAGAGAGATAAACTCATCTCCGAGCTGGCCGTCTTCTGCTGTGATCTGACGAGAGCTAGACGCACTATGAGTATCATCAACAGTATCTGAGTTGGCCGAAGAAGAGCCAGCCGTCGAGGGTGTTGCAGTCGATGAGGACCCAGTAGAAGTCGAGGCAGGGGGTTGGACAGTGGAGGAAGGAGCCTTGCGACCGCGGTTCGCGCGGATGACGTGCGGGAGCTTGCACCCCTTGATCGTGCACTGGCCCTTCTCCGCAAAGTCGGGGCACTCGCGAACGTGCTGCTTGTCGCAATCGAGGCCCTTCTCGCAGTACCCGAGCACGGCGAAGTCGCGGCAGATGCCCTCGCGCGCACCTACATGCACGTGCGGGTAGAGGCAGTTCGCGCGCGTGCAGCGGCCGTTGTTGGCGAAGTGCACGCACAGTGGCGTGCGCTGGGGCGTAGGGTCGTGCGAGAGCGCGCACGTCTCAGCGGTGTGTGGGCAGTTGCCTTGGAGGAAAGGCCAGCAGATAGCGATCTTGTTCGGGTCGTGCTGGTACATGCACGTAAGGCCCCGGTTGCAGGAACCTAGGTCAGTGCGGGGATGAAGAGAGGATGAGCTTGTACGTGAGGTCAATTGCGTAACAAACAGTGATGACGCACCTGTCGAGGTGAAGCGCGGGCAAGGCTTGTCTGAGTATTTGGCTTTTTTGGCCGCGAGACGACGAGACCTAAAAAGAACGGTAAATACTGCATAACAGAGTGCGCCGGAGCAAAGGAACAAACTGGTATGGCCTCCGATTATTATTGAGGGTCATGTTGCGATTCATGGCACGTCCCCTCGCGGAGGTCTTGGGCTTGTATGTTCGAGGGCCGGTCATGAGCGTGCCCGCTTTGTTCCTCATGAACGCCGGGTGTGGAGCTGGTGGCCGCGTCACAGGTCTTGTCATAGTGGCGGAAGCCGGCTTGGCAGGTTTGGGCACTGTTGCGATGCTTAGCGTGTATCTCCTGGGTCGTATACGATAGCAGACCAGAAGCAGCCCATCCGATGCAAGCCCAGAGACGGAGTTCAGACCTGCGAACCTTGTTGCCGATATCGCGAACGTACTCAATTACCAAGCAACGTTGGAGACCAGTCCGACTCCGCCTGCTTGAGTGCAACCAGAGTGACTGCGGCCAGCAGCCACCGATGACGGGCCTAAACCGTCTGACTTACGGTCTTTGCGTACTAGTGTTCGCCCCGATGACTCGAAGGCGATACCGTCGATAACGACATCGCGCGTTTCTTGAGGTAGGCTAGGAGTTGGGCGAGAGGCCGGTCGGGATGATGGGATGGCGGATACTGGGGGCCGGACGGCTTGGGAAGGGGGCTTGTAATTGGGGTTAACATAAACGTTGCCTCGAGGTCGTGTAGCGTTGGTCGCTGGGACTGCAGGACGCGCGACCGGTCCTCCGGTCTTTGCACGATTGATCGCACCTGTAAGATGGTCAGAATGACCTATGTAAGCTCTAGGAATCAACAAACCTTTGAGACGTTCAATTTCGAGCTTGATAGCTTCTGCAGAGGTGGTGGCAGTATTCATGGTGGTGGTTGGAGGAAGAGATGAGTGGAGAGTTATCCGCTCGGCAACCATGCTCATATAATCGCCCAATTTGGTTGCTCAGCCACCCAGCACATTTCTGCATTGACCTTCGCTGTTCTCCCGCGAACCACCACCACCTCGTACCTGGGATTCCTCATCTTGTTGTCTCTCATGAGCAGAATACCGCCTGCACTGCTCTATCTGACAATATACAATCCAACCTTGAAGCCTGCCACGCTTGACCCGGATGACGAAGATGCCGAAGAGCTCGCACACATCCTGTTCCACACCGCGCGCGAACATGCGGTTTCGCGCGACAAGATTCTGAGACAAGTAGGCCTAGCGAAGGCTCTCGTAAACTTCTCAGAGTGAGTGTACGTACGCGGGCTAGATGGAAGGTGGTATAGTGCTAACCGGGGCTTCGGACCATAGGATGTTCAATGCGGGCGTACCATGCGAGAACGTACATTCGCAAGCGAGGCGCATGATCATGCTGTCTCCTGAACCGAACTTTTGGATACATGCCGTGAGTACTATGATTGCAGATGTGGGCAAATGGGACGCATCCATGTTCGAACACCTGGGGGTTGCGGCGAGCCCGGGCAGTGTACTTCGCATATATAAACTCGAGTGGTATATGAGTTACAAGGCACTAACCCTCGAGGTAGTGCTTCGAGGTTGCCAAGACACCGCGTCCCCCACCTTCTACGAGTAAAGCCAAGGAGACCTCCAAGAGCAAACACAAGGGAAAGGAGAAGGAGCAAGCACCCCGTCCTCCTGTCCAGTATGACTATCATGACGGCTCAGTCCACGACGAAGCTCTGCGGACACACTTTCAGCGCGGATACGAGGGATTTAAAGTGCGTGGGCGATATGTGCACGCAGCGGAGGAGGTATCATTATTGAGAGTTGTTAATTCTTCAGCTCCTCCATGGTTCATTTACGTCCGTTCTGTCCACGCTCGGTCAACAAGCACTAGAGCTACAACTAGAGCGCTTCTTCACGATCTGGGCGTGGAAGTGGGACATCGAAGACGAAGACTTCGGCTCCCATCTCGGTATGTCCTGTCGTGACCGAGCCGCCTACATCTACTCAAATACAGCCAGGCATCCCGCTACACCCTTTGCATGCCAAACTGACACCGCTACTGGAGTCTCTCACGTCTACATTACCTCAAGAGCTTACAACCCTCGCTCTCATACCTCCTTATGTGATACCTCCACCTGCTCCTCGATACCCTCCTGCTCTCGTCCACTACGTCTTCTCTCGCATTCCGCCACCGCCTACCCCGGTGTCTCGCAACAACTCATCTGGGGCTGGCGCTTCTTCAATCCCTCCTGTCGTTACAGACAAATCCACCGCCCTCGTCCCTTCGGGGACCGCTAAGCTGGCAACCAATCCCGACCTCGTTTCCACGGTGGCGAGCAGCCTACTCGCCATGCCAAATATGCCCATTATGCCCAATATGCCCTCCATGAATCTGGGATTGGACGCGAAGAACTTCAAATGGAACTGGCCAGGCTATCTGACTTTTGGCAAGTCCGGTGCGAGCTCGAGGCCCTCCTCGATGCCTCCAACACCGTCTAACACAGCGGCCGAGAACGGGGGCTCCTCGCAAGTCCAGTCCGGGAATCACGAGGAAGCACTGAAGCCTGACGGCGGGACGGGAGGAAAAGGGAAGGGGACCCTTGACGTTGATACAGTTTCTCTGCTGGAGGCCATTTCTACGGAGAGCATGGGCTCGTACACTCGGGCTGCATCCCCCACTCCGTCTGCTCTCTCAAGGAGCTCCAAACTTGGGGATACGAGCACCCACGACGTCACAGAACACCTCTCTCCCGTACAATCGACGAAGTCCCCCGTACTAGGGAATGGGGATGTGGCGGAAGCGAGTGATGTTTTTTTGGTGTCTCCTCCAGACCCCCTTCAAGCCACAACTCCTCGCGTGTCTCGTTCATTCCTCGGATCCAGTGTGTATCTGGCAAGTCCCGGCGACCCGCTTGCCACGGAAAGGAAGCGTGTCTTACATCTTACGGTATGTATCTCGACGTTTACGTCGGTATTACTCTCAACCCTCTAGCAGCAGGACGAATGTACCGTCGCGGTTGTGCTAGACATGGACCATACGCTCGATCTTGTACAGCTGGCTGATGACGCTGTCGAGCTGATCGAAAGCTTATCAAAGGTCATAGAGGAAGGGAAATCACGGTGCGTCATATTCTGCCACGGTCCTGAGCGGACATTGACCGTTCCCACAGAGCGAAGGATGCCCAGATCCCGTCTGCGACGAAGATACTCCAGCCAAAGGACAAGTATGTCATTGCAAGCGACGAATATACCACTACATCGTCCGCGGGCTTCACTTCACGGTCCGAACATCTGTATGACGGACAGGAACTTCTTCGAAGGTCTGTCCGTACTTTGGCGCACAATCCAAGCAATCTCACGCAAATGTTGTCTAGCGACCATGACGTTCTCGAAGTCTTCTCGCGTGGTCAGAATCCCCAGCACTGGTATATTGGGAAGCGCGGGCTAGGAACGGGCGCGGACGGGCGCGCGGTAGAAGGCGAAGCATATATGGAGGTCTCGCGGAAAGAGACCACACTGACGGATGTGGACAACGAGCTCGCCGGTGTGGTGAGGAGGTTCATAGAGCATCTATGAGTATCCGCTGGACATGGAACCGCTTTATTTCTATATCGCTATGTGCCATTATCCCAACAAACCGATGGACCACTCACACGATAGCTTTTTGTTTTGTCAAACGCGTCTTTCACCGCGGACCGCAGGACGGGCGCCTATTTATGTGTACGCGGCCGGCTGGGTGGCTGTCTCGTTTTTGTACTTTGCCTCTGAACGACCACTAATGCTATGCTGACGCCGCCATCGCCATCGACCTCTCCCTCATTGACGACGCAGGACACGACGAACAGTCGCAAGCGACAACGCTCACTATCCATGCAATCAGACGCCTCCACGTCCTCGCCCAAACGCTCCGCTTCACAAGACCCCCAATCCTTCCAGTCCAATGACGTCCCCGGCCTCTTACTGCCAGACAACAACCGCGAAATCGACGCGTATATGGCGGAACAAGGAGAGGATAGCGGCCAGGCTGCCGCCCCTACCGCAGGCACAGCGTCCACTTCTGCGCAGAAGCTCGAGTTCTTGAAGCGTTCACAGGACAAGTCCATGCAGGTCGGCGAGACCTGGTACATCGTGCCCCGAAGATGGTACTTCCGCTGGAAGAAGGCCATTACGGGCGAGGAAGACAAGGAGGGCCGCGTAGAGGAGAAAGACCTGGGACCAGTGGACAACACGCCTCTCTGCGATCAGAGAGGGCAGGTCACATCCGACCTGATCGAACATGTCGATTGCGAGTTCGTACCCGAAGAGGTCTGGACGAAACTCTTAGAGTGGTATGTGTTGTATTCTATTGGCTGCTTGGGATTGGTTCTGCACTGCGGCAATGTTTGCACTGGCGTGGTATGGGTTGCATACCGCCACCTTCATTTGAGACGTAATGCGCGGGCAATCGAAGTTTCATGAGTGCCGCGAGCCCTCCGCGGCGTGTTGTATGCTTCAGGTCGCGGTGTACGCGCTTTGCGTGGGTGTCCACCGCTGCCGCAACGTATCCCATCCATACATGTATCTGGAGACCGCCACCCTTATGGCCATGGCTTGGACGTGTCTCACTCTACCGTTCTTTATTGACGCTGTGATGTGGTTGTATCGCAGGTACGGAGAACCTAGGTATCCTTTACCTCGCAAAGTCATCGCACGCGGGCTAATGCAAGAGCCGGTACTCGAACTCCGACCACCATCCTTCAAGGTGCATGTGCTCTCACCCACCAGTATACCTGGCCAGTCTTCGCCGGTGAAGGAGGTCACGGTCTCGTCCACGGACAAAATCCGCGCTGTGCGCCACGCGTTTGCCGCGGCCGTTAGCCCTCAGAAGGCCGCGTCGGGGCAATTTCGTGTATGGAAGACGACCTCGGATGCATCCCCGGACCAGCTATTGTTTCCTGCAGATACCCTGCGCACATGTGGCGCATCCCTTCTCGAAGACGACGAGAACACTGTAGGGGATGAACTCGTCGACACTAGTGAGGTGTTTGTGGTGGAACTCATGAACAGAGAGAAGTGGATCCTCGACGCTTCGGAGGTTGCGCCACCACCAAACGGTGCTCCGCCACCATCCGCCCCGCCACCACCTCCACCACCCACACAACCAGGACCTCTCTTTGGCTCGGGGACCGATTTCTTCACCCAACTCCAGAAGAAGGCTTCACCGGTAACGGACGCGACCACCACGTCGGCATTCAAGCCCAGTCCTGCTAACTCTTTGACTAAGTCGTCCACCCGTCCAAAGGTTCAGCATGATCCGGGCACTCTTGGTCTTGGCAATATGTACGTCGCCTCACAATGGGACCTGACAGTAATCTGACCAACATCTAGGGGTAATACTTGCTTCATGAACTCGGCTATCCAATGTCTGGCGCACAACACGGAGCTCGTGGACTATTTCCTTACTGGGGTCTATCAGGAGGAGCTCAACCCGGACAACCCGCTCGGGATGCACGGCGCGGTCGCGCAAGCCTTCGGTGCGCTCATGTCGCGGATCTGGGATCCTGAGTCTACCATGTCCTCGTACACGCCACGTGAATTCAAGCAGACTCTCCAGCGCTTTGCACCGCAGTTCAGCGGGTACCAGCAGCACGACTCTCAGGAGCTCGTTGCGTTCCTACTCGACGGCCTCCATGAGGACTTGAACCGTGTGCTGAAGAAGCCCTATGTGGAGAAGCCCGATTGGGAGGGCGGCGGAGACAAGGAGCTCGTCGAGCTCGCGAATACGTCGTGGGAGGGGTACATGAAGCGGAACGATAGTGTTGTCGTGGATTTGTTCCAGGGTCAGTACCAGAGTACATTAGTATGCCCCGAGTGTTCGAAGGTACGACATCATTGGTCGACGCACATGTCAAACCCACTAACGTGAAAAATAGGTGTCCATCACATTCGACCCATTCATGTACCTCACGCTGCCGTTGCCCGTGCAGAAGAAGTGGCACCATACCGTCCTTTACATTCCTTGGGATTTGGAGAAACCGCACGTCCGGGTATGGAGACCGTCTACAGAGGTATCATGAGGTATTGACGCTATCTCCCTAGGTGCCAGTAGAGCTAAACCGGCACTCGAGCTTCAAGGACGTTCGGCAACTTTTGGGACGGTGGATGGGTGCAGACCCTGACAATGTATGACATGTCATTTCGCTCTCGATATCTATGGTGCTAACCACACTGCATGTCGCGCTCAGCTGCTCACCCTCGAAGTCTTCAGTCATCAGTTCTACAAGAACCTCGACGACACTGTCGTCTGTGAAGACATGGCAGACAACGACGTCATCGTATGTTTCGAGCTTCCGTGCAATGCCCAGCAAAGCAGAACGTACAAGCCCGACCCAGACGACCCCTTCATCATCCCCGTCTTCCCCTGCGAGAGTCCCCCGTTGAGGCCGACATACAGGTCAGGGCCTAACCTGTTCGGATACCCTTTCGTCACGGTCATCGATCAGGAGCAAGCGAAGGACCCCGAAGCGATCTACGACGCCATCGTCTCGCGCCTGCAGCGCTGGACTGTCCAAGCAAGCCACCTATCCACATGGGAGGCCGGTTCCGCGGACGATATGGAACCCGTCCACATCCCGATCTCGGGTTCACCTGTCGTGAACTCCGTCACCGAGATCAAGGAGAATGGCGAGGTCGTGACCGTCGAGGAAGCCGCCCCGGAGGAGGGTGACATCGCCGACGAGAAGGCGTCCGTCGTCCACCAGGAAGACGAGGACGATGACATGGGTTTGGAGGACGCAATTCCGCGAAAGGTCGGCTTCAAGCGCGACCTCTTCACCATCCGCGTACAGAAGTGCGAGCAAGCGTACGGCGTCGGCCACAGCTCCTTCGGCAACAACCACGGCCGCTACGAGACGTGGGAGCAGCGCGCGTCCGCGAAGAACGGGATCCTGTTGCGCCCGAACGACGCGTTCTACATCGAGTTCGACGACGGCGTGAAGGCGTTCTTCTTCGGGGACGAGCGCAACTCGTGGGAGTACGCGCTCTGGAACCACTGGGACGAGTTTGTGCACCCGGAGCTCGCTGCATCGCGCAAGGCCGCGTCGACGCAGAAGCAGAAGGGCATCACGCTGCAGGACTGCCTCGACGAGTTCACGAAGGAGGAGAAGCTCGGCGCGGACGACCTGTGGTACTGCCCGAGCTGCAAGAAGCACCAGCAGGCGACAAAACGCTTCGACCTGTGGAAGCTGCCGGACGTGCTCGTCGTTCATCTGAAGCGCTTCAGCAACAGCCGCATGCTGCGCGACAAGATCGACACGTTCGTCGACTTCCCGATCGAGGGCCTCGACCTCACCGAGATGGTCGGTGAACGCCTCGTGGGGAGCAGGCTGCGGGAGCAAGGCGCGGACGTCGAGGCACTAGGCTTGGACGACTTGGATGAGCCTTTGCAGTACGACCTCTTTGGTGTTGACGAGCATCTGGGCGGGTTGGGCGGAGGGCACTATCGCGCATATGCGCTGAACCATCTCACAGGGAAGTGGTACCACTTCGACGATTCCTATGTGACTGAGTCAAGACCGGAGGCAGCAGTAGTGAGTTCTTCTCCGTCTCTTCTTGACTCCAATCGCGCTAACGTGAGTGCCTGCAGAACGGGAATGCGTATCTGCTCTTCTACAGACGACGCACGAGTCGTCCGCTGGGCGGTAAGAGCCATGCTAAAATCGAGGAAGCCCGTGCACTAGCCCTCGCGCAGCACAACGCCGTCCACCAAGAGGACCACCAGCTTCCAACGCCGCCCAGTGACGGCTCCCTCTCTCGCGGCGATACGTCGATACTCAGTAACGCGCCCACGGTCCTGGACTGGCCCACGCCGACCTCCATGAACAGTTCCTCCCCAGCCTCATCTCCCCTCCCGCTCGAGGATCGCCCCCCGACCTTCGACGACGCGCTCCTGGACCCCGTCATGCAGTCCTCGCTAGGGCTGGGCGACCTGCCCCTTGTTGGCGGGCAGCTCGAGCTTCCCGATACACTCTCTCGCGGTTCACCGTCTTCCATTGACGCGGAGCCAGACCTTGAGAATGATGACACGGACTCGCCGTTCTACCAGCCCGACGGGGAGGGAAGCGACGACTACGACCTCAGCCAAGACTTCTCACAGGACTCCGTGCGGCTCCGCAACGCCGTGTTCAAGCGCGACGGGTCGCCGGAAGAGGAGGACCCTGCAGACGTGCTGATGACGCCCGTAGAGTCCGAGCTGGACGAGACGGACAGCGCGCCGTACGAGATGTCGGACGATCCCCCGGTGGTGGGGTCAAAAGGGGCCGAGGCATGATACATGATGGACAGACACATCGTTGACGAGAGGACACGAGGAGAAATGTGGTGTACATTGGCTGTAGATCGCTAGAGCCCGATAATGCGTACGTCGCAGAACGGCAAGCAAGCATGTAATTCCATTCGCAATCTGTAACCTTACTCAGTTCACGGCGGCTAGGGGATCCAATTGGTCTACTGGACAGGGGCTAGAGTCTGTAAGGCCGCGATGGCCTTAGCTGTTCTTTGGCTGTATGGGTCGAGGCCTACGAGATGTTCCAAGCTGATAATTCTCATACTGCGCCCGATGCTTCCAGTCGAGGTCGCTCTGATCTTGCCACTGGCCACTCACAACGACACCACGGTACCTCCACTTGAGAACCATAAATACGACACGTTCGCCCATCTGTCATGCTCCCGGCCGCGTCTGGGCCCAGCTCAACTGTCTGCGGCCTGTACTAGGTCATCTGCATCAGGGCAGGCGTGAGCCCTCCAGTGGCCGGAGCGGCATCCCGCCTCCCTCGTCATATGGTTGGCCGGTGGCCCCCCTGCCGTCTGCCGGCTATATAGGGAAGCACCCGCGACCACCACAGTCACTGCGGTCAACCTCAACCGTTTGAGGCTTTCTCTCTTACCATCTCTATCCTGAAGCCATGTCCATCCAATGTACGCAAGGTTCCTCCTCCCGCCGCGGGCGCGGTATGACGGAAGAAGCTAACTTCAGAGCGTGGGATAGCGAAACACTTCTTAAATAACCCGGAGACGCTAGTCGTCGACTCCCTCCAGGGCCTATGCACCCTTAATCCTCAGCTCGCACTCGATGAGGAGAACAAAGGTATGATGCATTGCCTTGAAAGAATCAGACGAAATGCTGACTCCACAATGCACGATGTCCTGCAGTTGTGTACCTCGCATCCCAGGATCGCTCGAAAGTCGCGCTGATCTGCGGAGGCGGATCCGGCCACGAGCCTGCCCATGCGGGATTTGTAGGTGAGCTCAGGAGACCCTATTGTGTGTCCAGTCTTCCGATCGTGACTGATACTGTTCGACAGGGGACGGGATCCTCGCTGGTATGCAGAACGAGAACCTGATCGCACACGCGCCCGACAACTGATCGAGCCTCGGCTGCAATCTAGCTGCCGTATGCGGCAGTATCTTCGCCTCTCCTAATGCAAGCCAAGTTCGGCGGGGAATTGACCTCGCAGAAAACGAGAAGGGGTTAGTACGCAGTTACAAAAGATGGGACGTTTTCTGATGCAACCATTCTATTGCAGAACGGTGATCATCGTGAAGTAATGCTCGTATCTCATCGACGCATTGTCGGTTTCTCATGTCAGTCTAGGAATTACACCGGAGATATCCTTAATTTCGGCCTCGCAAAGGAGCAGTATGCTGCTCAGCACCCCGACAAGGCCGATCGCGTGAAGTTCGTAATTGTAGGCGAAGACGTCGCCGTCGGCAAGACACAGGGGAAGATCGTCGGCCGTCGGTCAGGATCCCAATACTAGTCATTGTCGACATATCGTACTCATCTCCATACAGAGGCCTCGCTGGCACCGTGCTTGTATACAAGATTGCGGGCGCTCTAGCGAAGCGTGGCGCGAGCCTCGATGAAGTGTACTCGGTCGCCCAATGGGTTGCTTCCAACGTTGGAACTATTGGTGTGGGCTTGGAACATTGCCACGTACGTCCACCTTCGAAACATTCCAGAACGACGTGCTCTGACGTGTCATTAATCGCAACAGGTTCCCGGAACTGCCTCGGGGGAGTCTCATCTCGGCCCCTCTGAGATTGAGATCGGCATGGGCATCCACAACGAGCCTGGCCACCGCCGGTTGTCCCCTGTGCCCCCTCTCAAGGAGCTCCTTCCTCAACTCATAGAGTTCTTGACTGTGACAACCGACGCCGATCGCTCCTTCCTTCCATTTAGGAATGACGGGAGCGACCGGGTGGTGCTCCTGGTCAACAACCTCGGTGGGGTCAGTGAGCTCGAGCTCACCGGCGTCGTCGCCGAGGCTCGGCGCGCGCTCGAAGCAAAAGGCGTCAAAATCGAACGAGTACTGGCTGGGACGTTCATGGTATGCCTTCATACTCACGCTTTCGCGAATTCTCTGTTCATATGACTTTAGACGAGCTTAAACATGCCCGGCTTCTCGATCACGACGCTTCTCCTTCCCCACGAAACCGGCCCATCCGACGTCCCCCATCTCGATTCACTCATCCTCTCGCTGCTCGACGAGCCCGCCAACGCTCCCGGGTGGAAGTGGAGCTCCGGTACCGTCCCTCCGGCCGCCGACCAGATCGCCTCTGGGGCGAAGCGTCAGACAAGCGCCGTCGCGCAGGAAGACCTCGTCTCGCTGCGCGCCGAGGACACCCAGGCGTTCAACGCGGCCGTCGAGCGCGCATGCAACGCGCTCATTGCCGCCGAGCCCGAAATCACACGCATGGACAACATCGCGGGAGACGGCGACTGCGGGCTGACGCTCAAGGCGGGCGCGTCTGGTGCGTTCACTCCCGCTGTCCCTGTCCGTTAGCGTTTTCAGCGTACTGATCGCTGGTCGGCGTGATTTACAGCTGTGCTCAAAGGCTTGCAGGCGGGCCGGATCTCGGGCGACGACGTCGTGAGATCCGTGATCGCCATCGCGCAAGTCGCGGAGGAGGAGATGGGCGGCACGAGCGGCGCCCTGTACTCGTACGTTCTCCGACCCTCCAGCCGATCCTTCATCCACTGACGCTCGCACTGCATAGCATCTTCTTCTCGGCTCTCGCACAGGGCCTGCAGGCGCACCATGCCGGGGCGCAGACGCTGTCGCCCGCGCTCTGGTCCTCCGCGCTCACCTCCGCGCTCGCGAAGCTGTACACCTACACCCGTGCGCGCCCGCCGTCACGCACGCTCGTCGACCCGCTCGCGACGTTCATCGAGGCGCTCGCGGCGGCGAAGGGCGTAGACTTCGCCGCCGCGTCCAATGCTGCGGGCGAGGCAGCGCTGAAGACGCGCGACCTGGAGGCGAAGGCCGGGCGCAGCGCGTACGTGGAGGGCGACAGGCTCCGCGAGGAGCGCGTCGCCGACCCGGGCGCGTGGGGCGTGAAGGTCATTCTGGAAGGCATCCTCGGGCAGTGAGTGTAAAGTGCCGGGTGCCCTGTCGCACGTAAGCTGTATCGCTAGAATGTGGGAAGGCTGTTGTATGATTATCCCGCGCGGCCGTTGTCCTGGTCCTGGTCCATGTAGCAGCAGATGGTGTATTCAATTCATTCCGCTCGAGCTTCCAATCTGACCGTCCGGGCTCGCCTTCCATTCAATCTCACCCAGGGGGACATCGGCGATCGTCATTATGCATCGGGTGCTCGATCCTGGGTATCGCAGACGTTAAAGCGTAATAATTCTGCGACGTTTCGCCGACCGTCTCGTAACATACGGCTTCTATACAGGCAGCAGTACAAGGACTCGCACAAAATATCGACACACTTACGTACAGCGTAAGTACTCTCCGTGCTCTGGCGTTTCGTATGGCTCTCCATAGGTCGAAGCATCCACCGCAAAGATTGCACGTCCACTGCGAACCATCCCTCCGGCAGCCTCGGGGATCATCGCTCCCTCCCTCGCCCTCCTTCCAAATACCGACCGCCCCGTTAAGTCCCCGCCGCCGGCCCAATCACTCCATTCCGTCGAGGCACCGTCCCCCGTTTCGGCAACAGGGCGCAACGCGGTCTCCCCTCGCACCTGACCATTGGTCGTCGAGGGCCCCAAGTCAGCAGCCCGCGCCGATCGACGATCGAGCGACGCTTGTTTGCGGTCTAACGGGGTATGGGTGTGTGGAGGTGCTCACGGGGCGCGGTGGTGCGCTATGGTCGCCGGTGGTCGCTGGGCCGTAGCTCAGCGGCGTGGCCTGATCTGGCTACGGCGGTGTGGTGCGAGCAGCGGGGGATTTGTGGGCGGACAGGGATGATGTGGTCTCGGACTCACCTTCACGACGTCCCGGGTAGGCTGCATATCAAAGGGTCACAGGCAGCGAGAGATGGCCTGAGGCCTGAGTCTTGCACTCGAGGAGGGCACTGGTCGCATAACGCGGAGGTATTGACGGTTTGTAGGTGCCTATGACCACTGGGGATCGGTGCGCTGAGTGGCCGCGGTGGTGAACCGCGATGGTGAGGTTGGCCCGACGTTGCTCCGTTACACTCTTGCGGTGTCCTGATCGGTGGCAGCCAAAGGACGTTGCATACTGAACGTCCTCCGTATCGAACCGCTGCATCAAGAGCTTGAGTATGATCCGTGCGCATCAAGACACGCAAAAGATGGGTGAAAAGTCGAGCTGAGACCAAGTGGGCAGCCAAAGAACCAGGACGGCCGCGGTCCCAGCTCGCTCGGCCCCGCGAAACCACAGAGTCTGGAGGGGAAAACAAATCGGTCCAGACACCGACCGCGGCGACACGCTTTCAGTGGCCTCGGCCGCCTTAGACCGCCCCAGCCATAAACACATGTCTCCACCGATCGAAGGACGACTCACCTCCCGCCCAAAAATCTGCGGGGCGTGCCTGATCGCTGTGCGTCGATGCGCCGCCCTGGCGTTGGAATTTGGCTTGACGGCCTCGTACGCGGGCAGGCACACAGAGACCTTGTGGTCCTGGATGGGCGGGTGGATGACCGGGCGCGCTGTCTTGCGCTGTCAGTGTCAAACCCGGGGCCCCAAGCGAGCGACGCTAAACCCCCCGGGGAACGCGCCTCCAGAAATTTCACAACGCGCGCCGCAGATGGCAAAAGCCACCATCGACCCCGTGCTCTCGGAGTCGTACGCGCCCCCACAACCTCAGGCCTTCTCCGACTCGCGCGCGTCGGGGTGGCCGCAGAGCCCGGACGCGAGAAAAACGCCGCTGGGCAGCCATATGGCAGCCTTACGTCCTTGCTCCCACCCCCTTGCGCGCGCAGCCATCGAGGGATTAAAAAAATCAGCGTGGCTTTGCCTGTTCGAGCGGGCGGACGGGTTTTCTGAGCGCGCCGCGCCCGAACGCGTACTGCTGGGCGCGCGCTGATGGCGATCGCGAACACGGAGATTCGAAGCGTGCAGGGTCGGCGGGATGGCCTGTGGGGCCTGGGAGTCCCAAATCCCTGAGAACCTCTAATGCTGCAGAGAATCAGATGTGCAGCGCAGATCCGGCGGAGGGGAGACTAGTGCCTGCGCGACTGAATGGGCGGTGGAGCGCGTTTTACGTGAAACAATGTGCGCGCGTAGGCCGCTTCGCGCGGGGCGTTAGAGGTGGGTGTCGCCCCATGGATATCAGCCGGCGGGATCTGCGCTGCTTCGCGAGCGGGACCGCGTGCACAGTCGCACAAGATATCCTGGGCGCTCGGAGGACGCGTTATGTCAATGCGAATGCGGAGTTCGTGCACGCTCGGTGTTTATTGTAGAGTACGTCGGCGGAGGCGCGTAGAGTGGAGATAGACGGTCGCGCCGTCTTCTGTTACACGCGTCCACAGCGCGGTTGCGTCGTCCGGGGCTCCGGAGCAGCGGCTTATCGAGCGCGTCCCGCTCCCATGGACGAAGTCCGACATGCGAAGTTCGAGCAGGGGATGACCCAGGATGGCGTCGACGATAAGTGCAGCCTCGCACGCCCTCGGCTAGCCAGCAGCAGTGTTGCCCGACAGAGCCCGAGGGGTGCTGACCGCGAACCTGCAGCTGCTCTCGGAGGACTGCTTACGGCGTGCTTACCTGTTCCACATCTTTTTTTCATGACGCAGCCGTCCAGTGATTGCAACCCCTGAGATTAAGGTACATGCTCGCCGTAGAGCGTCGGTGATTCGACCAGCGCAAACCCAAAGGAGACACCTGTCGCCCCAGCACGAACAGTCGTAGCCCCATGGGGGCCCTGGGGTAACGTCTCTTCCCCGCCCTGCCCTGCGCCGCCCAGACCCCGCACACTGGCGCGCTCGGCTCAAATCCCGCCCGTCCAATGAACACCGTCGGGCGACACATCGCGCCCAGGACGCCTGGGCGCGCTCTCGCCGTTCTCTGGAAAACACGCAAGAGTGTACGTGCGCTGCTGCGGGGAGCGTGATGGCCCGCGGGGGGGATCAGACAGCCCGCCGCGGCGCCGCCACGATCTGCCCCGCGCACGAAAAATGTGCCGTTCGCGTCTTGATCAGGGGTGCGAACGTGGGGACGCGCGGGCTCGTGAGGGAACTGGGAGATGAAAGTGGGAGTCGGGCGGAGGGGCGTGGAAGTCGCGCGCGATGGACGCGATAGGACTGAGCGACCCAGGCGCGCTGCCGGCGGGGTTCATTGGTTCGCGGGGCTTCCCACCGCCCATGGGGCATTGGCGAGATGGTTGGATGGCAGCAGGCCGGGGTAGCCATCAAGCGAGCGGACCCTGTACGTGCGGGGTTGGCACGCAGCACGCTGAAGCGGGGGATGCGGGGCTCGCGACGTTACGTCCAGGGTGCAGTGCGGCCGTCGCGCGCGGCATCAGCGCCGCTAGCGGTGCGAGGCTGCTGGAAAATCGGCGGGCGTGACTGCATTCGTCTGGGGGTGCATGCGCAGGTGTCAGTACTCACGAATTCGAATGCGGGCGGCGGGTGCGCCCTTTGCGGCGAGTTGCGTGGCGTTGGTCGCACACTCATCCACGCCGTTTGACAGTTGACAGCAGCAGCCGTGCCGCACGCTGGTGATCGGTTTCTTGCTCGATACATAGCTCTTTGGGGTAGTTTAGCAACGCAACATCGGCCGACTCACGTCCATTGCATCTGGTCGTAAGAACGGAGGCCAACGTCGAGTATTGCAAGGTTCGTGAGGCAATCCTCGGGCGCATTCTGGATGCGCCGGAGAGCAGGCACGGCCGGGGATGGAAGAATTGGAAAGGGTTCAATTGGGAGAGGACTCGGGGCGGAGCTCGAGTACTTGCGTTGCTGCTCAACATTCCTGCGAAACTCCGCCGCCGATCGCCCGCATCCGGCGGCAAGCGACAGGCCCCCGCGTCGACCGACCGTTGCTCTCATCCTTCGTGTATGTAAGAGAAGAATGGACGAGCACACGAGATGACGAAGAGGGAGTCGACGCAGCAGGTGACGTCGCTCATGCCCAGTGGCGCTTGCGACCCTCGGCTACCATGGGCGCCTGCCCGACGCCACTCTCTTCCCACGCACGTCGGGCGGTTGTGCCTCGTTACGCTGTGACTGCCGCGTAACGCCTCGGTGCCGGGCGTCGCACGGCGGCTCGAGCGTGCGTCTTGGATCCGCTCCCCGAGAGCACGAATCGCCTGCAGCCGTCGGTGCATCCGCGCGAAACCTCCGACCGCACAAGCTCCGGGGCCGGCCCAGTTCGCATCTCTTCCGTGTGGCAGTGCGCGCGACCGCTAGGCGAGCCTTAGCCACGGCCCACGGCGTGCACGACGCCCGGGCTCCAAAGGCCCATTGTCCGACCCCGCCGCCGTTTCAGAGCGTCAAAGGGGCCCGGGGCTCGCAGCCGGCATGCCGGGCGCACGCTGCACCGTGGGCGGCCCAGCCTCGTCCCAGGCGTTGCTGCCAATCGCCCGCGTCGTGCGGGTAAACGGAACGCAGGCGAGGTGACAGTCGGCATTCGGGGCCATCGTTCTCCGATCGTGGGATGAATCCCTCCCGGCGCACAACCTGGGGAGGACACCTCAGCGCACGACAGCGGGTGGCGGCAACGGCGGGGGGCGCGCTTGGCAATTTTTTTTCGAGGATCGACCCCGCGCGCCTGGCGGGGCCGCCCAGGCTCGTCGCGCACATTTCGCATCCTCCAGAGGCGGGCGCGGGGCGCAGCGATCGGGGCTCGGTCGGGAAGGCGCTGGACAGGAACGGGGGTCGGGTCATGTGAGTCGCCCTCGTCCAATCCAAGCCCTCCATTTCTGTTCCGCTCGCTCGGGCGCGTCTCGAGTCGCGCCTGCTCGTCTGCAGGAGGCTACGGAGCCCGCACCGCACCGAGTGCTGTATCCCGGCCGGAAGGCTGCACACGGGGCCCGTACTGGTCCCGCTGGCTTCGTTGCGACTGGGAAAGGAAGCTGGGCTTCGTCCGGGGCATGCGGGGGAAGCACTGCGCGACCCCGGGCGGGGACAGCGAGGGGTGCGGGGGAGGGGCGGGGGAAGATGGAATTTGGCGAAGTGTGCCGGAAAAGGGAAGAGGGGGGAGTGCCTGGCGGGCGCCTGGGCGGGGGAGATCAGATTTCGCTGATGAGGCCGCATGGGTCGGTCGTCCCGATTTGGGCGGGGGGACTTGGATCACTCTCGCCCTCCCCGACCCGCCTCGCGTATAAAATGCGCCCCCCGCCATCCTCCATTTCCCAGTGGTCTGTTCTTCCCCACTTCCCCCCATCCCCACCCCCACACGCGTCTTCCCCGCTCTCCTCAACGCGTACAAGCCTCACGACACAATGGCCGGTGGACCAGCAGCAACGGGCGATGGCATCGGTGCCTCCGCCCCCAAGAGCAAGCTCGCGGGCATCCTCATGACCGCCTTCGCCGCCTTCGGTGGTATCCTTTTCGGTTACGACACCGGCACCATCTCCGGTATCATCCAGATGGACGACTGGTTACGGACGTTCGGTAACGCTACCACCGACACCGCAACCTACCCCCTCGGTTACTACCTGCCCTCGAACCGCGAGTCGCTCGTAGTCTCCATCCTCTCCGCGGGTACCTTCTTCGGTGAGTTTGACTTTTTAGCCACACGCGTTCGCATATCGCTGACGTCGCTCCTCCAGGCGCCCTCCTCGGTGCACCCGCAGCAGATATCCTTGGCCGTCGCCTCGGTATCATGTGCTCCTGCCTGGTCTTCTCGCTCGGTGTCGCTCTCCAGACTGGCGCGCCCGACATGGCGACCTTCGTCGTCGGCCGTGTCTTCGCCGGTCTCGGTGTCGGCCTCGTCTCCACCCTCGTCCCCATGTACCAGTCCGAGTGCTCGCCCAAGTGGATCCGCGGTGCCGTCGTCTCCGGCTACCAGTGGGCCATCACCATCGGCCTCCTCCTCGCTGCCGTCATCAACAACGCGACCAAGGACCGCCAGAACCACTCGTCATGGCAGATCTCCATCGGCGTCCAGTTCATCTGGGCGTTCGTCCTCTGCCTCGGCATGTCCTACCTCCCCGAGTCCCCGCGCTGGTTGATCAAGAAGGGCAAGGACAAGGCGGCCGCCAAGGCGCTCGCCCGTCTTACCTCCCTCGACGCCCAGGACCCCGAGGTCGAGGCTGAGCTGAACGACATCCGCGTCGCCCTCCGCGAGGAGGAGGCCCTCGGCGAGAGCTCGTACCTCGACTGCTTCAAGTTCAACAACAACAAGATCGCCCTCCGCACCCTCTCCGGCATCTTCATCCAGGCATGGCAGCAGCTCACCGGTATCAACTTCATCTTCTACTGTAAGCACCCTCCCTTCTCCCCCGCTTTGCGCACGCGCTGACGTCCCACACAGACGGCACGACGTTCTTCAAGAACTCCGGCATCGCGGACCCCTTCCTGATCACCATCGCCACGAGCATCGTCAACGTGTTCATGACGCTCCCCGGGATGTGGGGCGTCGAGCGTTTCGGCCGCCGCTCGCTGCTCCTCTGGGGCGCGGTGCTCATGTGTGTCTGCGAGTTCCTCATCGCGATCATCGGCGTCACCATCTCCGTCACCGACACCGCCGGCCAGAAGGCGCTCATCGCGCTCGTCTGCATCTACATCGCCGGCTTCGCGTCCACCTGGGGCCCCATCGCCTGGGTCATCACCGGCGAGATCTTCCCGCTCGCGATCCGCGCCAAGGCGATGTCGCTCTCCACCGCGTCGAACTGGCTCTGGAACTTCGGCATCGGGTACGCGACGCCCTACCTCGTGAACACGGGCCCGGGCAACGCGGGGCTCGGCGTGAAGGTGTTCTTCCTCTGGGGCTCGACGTGCGCGGGCTGCTTCGTGTTCACGTACTTCTGCATCCCCGAGACGAAGGGCCTCTCGCTCGAGCAGGTCGACCTCCTCTACCAGAACTCGACGCCGATCACCTCGGGCAAGTACCGCACCGAGCTCATCGCGCAGGACATCCACGTGTCCGACTACAAGGGCACCGCCGACGCGCACCACGACGAGAAGGAGGCGACCGAGAAGGTATAAACGCCTCGCCTCGCGCCCCTTCCCTTCCCCGCGGCCGGCCATACCCCACTCCGCGCCACCCTCACCCTTCCCGCCCTCCTGTTCGACTATCTTTATCCCCCGGGCGCGCTGCCTCCCCCCACCGCCCCGCCCCGCCCCACCCACGACCCCCCCAAACGAACGACTGCGTAGTAATGTGTAATGATACTTCACGAGCGGCGGCTGTGTGCCTCGTCTTCCTCTTTCCCCTCCTCTGCCTCACGCATTGTTTTCCTGCACTCGCATTGGATATCTCTCTCCCCGGGCCGGTGCACCGCACCCCGCATAGCATAGCTGTCCGCGCACGTAGTACGCCCGCCGTCTAAGCGGTTCTCTGGTATTGTACGATACGAGCAATATACGGCGTTGTTTTGCTGCTTGTTTGTGTGCTTGTGTGCTCTCGGCCATCAACGGGCAAGTGACCATCTCCTATGCGCTCGCAGCATGAACACCTAACTCGCCTTGCAAGTTACAGGCGTAGCCGAACTTCAGCTCACTTTTGGTTGTGCTCATCTTTCATGAACATAACGCCTCAATGGGTAAGCGACCAGTGGCATTAGTAGGTGGTACGCCCAACGTTAACACGGCGCCTGCCTCGCACTAGTGGCGTCCCAACCTACTCAAATCCACCCCTTCCCTCGCTTCTGGCCAGGCGGCAATCCCTGTGTACCACCGCAACCTTCACAAGTCCAGGAACCGGACTCTATTCAACGGACGACGCCCCTCGCGGACCCATATGTACGCCTGTCATTCCGCGGCTAGCCTGTCCTAAATTTAAATGGGGCATCCCCGGCCGCAGATTCTGGCCTGGAACTTGCATGTGGATCTGTGCATCCCGACACTGTCATTTCAACGCCGGCCGCGGCTCCTTGGGCGCTGCCCCGCCGCCGGCCGCGGGTGCCTCAGGCAGATGGCTGATTTGCGCAGCAGCCTACGCGGGAAGCACTGGGCGCTCGCTATGGCGACGCGTGTTAATTGAGGCCGTGATTTTGGTGCGTCCTCAGGCTCTTCCTCTCGCCACATCGAATTGCCAGCCGAGCACCAAGCCACACAGTTGTTGTACAAGGATTAACCTTGCGACAGTACGTTCATCTACCTATGTTCCGTAATGTTTGTTCTAGGGCTGCGGATCTGACGCGGGGTCTGTCACAGACGCAGTGCACGTATGTGGCTCCTCGACACGGAAGACGGGACGTTCCACCACATCGACAGGCCGCGCGAGCACCGCTATGCGATCCTCTCCCATGTGTGGGACCTCACCGGGGAACAGTCCTTCCAGGACCTCATCGCCCTCCAAGCAGAGGCCTCGAAGAAGCAGTCGCGCCTGAAGCGCCTCTTCACTCCCAGCGCCGCCACGCCCGCCGGCGGCGCGCTGTCCCGCGCCTCGGCGAAGATCCGCGGGTGCTGCGCGCTCGCGCGGCGGCACGGGTACCGCTGGGTGTGGATCGACTCGTGCTGCATCGACAAGACGAGCAGCACCGCGCTCTCCGAGGCGATCAACTCGATGTACGAGTGGTACGCGGCGGCCGACGCGTGCTTCGCGTTCCTCGCGGACGTGAGCGACGACCACGACCCGCGCCTGCGCGACTCCAAGTTCCGCCGCTCCCGCTGGTGGACGCGCGGGTGGACGCTGCAGGAGCTCATCGCGCCCGCGACGGTCGTGTTCGTCTCCGCGGAGTGGCGCCTGCTGGGCACGAAGGCGAGTTTGGCCGATTTGGTGGAGGAGGTCGCGGGCGTCGAGCGCGCGGTGCTCACGCACGCGAAGTCGCTGCACGCGGTGAGCGTCGCGCAGCGCATGGCGTGGGCGGCGAAGCGGCAGACGACGCGCGTGGAGGACAAGGCGTACGCGCTGCTGGGCCTCTTCGGGGTGAACATGCCGACGATCTACGGGGAGGGCGCGAACGCGTTCATTCGGCTGCAGGAGGAGATCCTCAGGCAGGTCCCGGACCAGAGTATCTTCGCGTGGGGGCCCCTGCTTCGCGACGACGCGGTTCTATACAAGAACCTGGGGCCCTATTCGGTCAGCGACGACGGGCGCTATTGGCAGTCGAGGAACCTCTTCGCGTGGTCGCCGGACGCCTTCGTCAACTCGGCTGGCATCTCTTCTATTCCTCCGGAGACCTTCCAGAAGCGGTTTGGCATCCCGGCGGTGCTCTCGGAGTACAACGTCACCAGCTATGGCATGCGCTCGCGGTTCCCCCTCATTCCCATACAGCACGGCTCAGAGAAGACGACGTACCTCGCGCTCTTAGGATGCGAGGACGTGGACGGGCGCGTTATCGCGCTTCTTCTCTATCCGCAGCCAGAAGCGGCTGGGCGATTTTACGTCGGCCACTACGTCGGACGCCCACAAGTGCCCCCGAACTCGTACTTTCGTGCTGTGAGCTTATCGGAGTTCCGCATCCAGCAACTAGCCAGCTCTATCGAAGTCATGGACGTCTGCATTCCGTACCGCGCCTCTCCGACGGCGCAGCGAGCACCTCTCGCTACTCCAGCCCTGCCGACCTTCAAATGCCCCTGCGATATTGTCGTCCCAGCCTGGCTCGTCGCTGGGATCGAGAAGGCGGGCTTCACTGTCTCCATCGCCGGCGAAGACAATGTTCTCCATATCTCGGAGGTTGCCTCACCGCAAAATCCCATGATCGTCCTGAGAGCGGCAGGCGAGACCATATACGTTCGCATCGGCCGATGTCAATGTCGCGGACGATTCCTGTGCGTGTCGGTCACCGGAACGGCTCCAACACTCACCTCTTCGACCACCCCCTCCCGGTCTAGTACTCTCGTAGGATCGGTAGACACGAAGTTCTCCCTCTCCACCGTGAAACTGCAAGACCTGCCTCCCCGCTGTCCGGCGGATCACGTAGCGACGTGGGAGAGCTGGTCGAAAGACTTTGCTTGCGGCGGAAGGATTCTTCATCTCAAGTTCGACACGTGGATAACTCGTGCGGACATGTATTCCCTCGCGATCGAGGTCGGGGCTCTGGAGCCGTTGCTCACATCCGAAAGCGCTGCTGCTGAAGCAAAGGCCTGTGTCGCAACATGTCCCACGGTGAGTTCGACGCAACAACTGTTTGACTACTATATTGAATCAACGTATTCTTTCCAGTCGAAGAGCTTTGTCCCACAGTGCGTGCACGGGTCCTTATAACCCTGCACTCGTCGGCAAGACATCTCGATATTGACTCGGCAACACCATCCGTACGTACGACACAGGGATGGTCCCACATCATGAGCATCTGCTCAGGTCACAATGTGGCGATAGCGCGCTAGAGCAATATCTAATTGCTTCTCGCATCATTGGTCGCCGTGTTACCAAAGGTCAGCTGCATTTGGATATCGCTTTTCTTAATAAACCCTGACCGCAATGTAGTCAAGGGGAAACCCCCGCGCTGCGTCTCCCAGGCGCAGAGAGGAGACCGGAGCGACGAGGACAGGCCAGTATTACAGCACTTCAACACGCCGGCCCTCCCTTTTGAAGTTCTGGAGATGATCCTCCTCCAGGCATGGCTGTCGCTCCCGACTTCCGAGCCGGTTACCCGATGGGCGTTCTTCCGAGAAATGTCCCTTGTGAACCGCCAGTGGCGCGACACTGTTCTCCAGGTCGCGCGGCGGCACGTCATGATACGTTGGCTGTCCGAGGACGACCTGTCCGCGTACGGAGCGATCGGCCAACGGTCGCTGCAGCCACGCTTCCCGGGGCATGGCGTGGAGGCCGCAGTGATCACCGAGGGGCTTGCCACAAACGCACAACCGTGCAACGCGACAAGCAGCGCCACCCCGACGCAGGAGGCGAACGCTGCACCATCGTCTACCACGGATTCGGTGGCCACACTGCATCTCATGGCGTCCATCTTTCAGCATTCGAACATCTACCTTTATGTTCCACAAGAGACGCTGGAACCCATGTGCCAGTCGTTATCAGACGCAAAGGCTCTCGAGCGATCTCTACGGGATCGTGAATACTTGACGCGTTTGCGCAAGGCCGTCCCCGATTGCAGACGTCTTTCCATCGGCACGTACACCGAGTTCGAGCGTGCCACTGGACCGTGCGCAATACTCAGATACGCGGCGGAATTCCCCTCGCTGACGCACCTCGACTTCGCCTCGCCCATGCCGTTTTTGCCGGACTTGCAAGACCCCAGCGACCTACCTGTCCTCCCTAAAATCCGCTACTTGCGGTTTGCGCAATATCCCCGCTGCTACTGCCCGATGGCCATGAATATGGACATGGGCCACGGCCCGGCTCTCGCGGTACGCTGCCCTGCTGCGCGTTTGACGGCCGCTTTTCCTGGGGTCGAACACCTGCACATCGACACACCGCACATCTTGAAGTATATCACGCCGCTTGATGCATTGCACACGCTCACCCTGGAGGTCCCGTGGTCTGGCGCGGGGCAGCAGTGCTCGATCATGGCATACAACCTCCCGGCGGCCCTCAACCGGGGGCTGTTGAGTGCCCCACCCCGGGCGGGCATTCGACGGACGGTTGTATTGCACTCGCCGGGGGCGGAGCCGGTAGGGTGGGGGATCGCTCGGGCAGCGTGTGAGCAGCGCGGGATCGGGCTGGTCAGACGGGCGGGCTTCGAATAGCGTGCATGGGTGTGGGTGCGGATCAGTCGTTCTGGTGTATATTCCTTGTGTCCCGATAGACGTGTCGTCAGTAAAGCTTTCCAATGGTATATAGGTCTGTGCGCCATTAGGCGTTAAGCACTGTTCCCTCGTACAAGTTCCTTCATGTGGGCGTTCCGGGCGAGTATCCGGCACTCGAACGGTAGTAGGTGTCTGTGGGGATGTCAAGCTCGCCGATCAAGATATAATTATAGCTGCGGGGACGTACGAGACGGCGAGGCTATTGGTCTTCATCTCCAGCTTCTTCGGGTTTCCATGTAAATCGAGGGGCGGGGTGATGTTCAGCGTGTGCAGGATGTAGGCGCAGTTCAGGAACAAGGCGGCCTCGGCGAAGTGGAGACCGGGACAGATCCTGGGTAACGGTGTGTAAGCGGTGGTTCCTGGGGCGGCGAAGCGTGCAGGTCACTCACCTTCGACCGAAGCCGAACACGAATTTCGCGGGGTCCCGGATGGCCGGATTTAGCTGCCCGTTCAGCAGGAACCGTTCGGGGTAGAAATTCTCCGGGTCTGGGAAATACGCTGGGTCTCTGGACATTGCCCTGCGGCGAAGTCACCGACGGTCAGTGCGACGCCCCGGAACAGTCAAGGAGGATTCTACTGACCATTGGTTGACGATGATGAGTGAGCCACCAGGGAGGTAATACCCGCCGTACTCGTCTGCCTCCGTCGAACGGTGCGGCACACCGATCGGGGCGACGACGTGCCACCGTAGTACTTCCTTCATGAGTGCGCTCACGTACGGCAGTGACTTTTGGTCGGCAAAGTCGGGCAGGCGGTCAGGTCCGACGACGGCGTCTAGCTCCGCTTGCGCCTTACGCTGCGCCTCTGGGAACATAGCCATGGCCAATACAAACGCGTGTACCGCAGCGTTAGTCTGTAGGAAAAAATTGCCGGCCATGTATGAGGCGTGCGACGCCGTGTTGGAGACAAGCGACGCACCGTATCTGAACCAGCTGTGCGACATCGTTGCATTGATATTGCGGCAGCGGGATCTGTAGAGAGGTGCACGCACCAGCATAAATCGTAGCGGTCACATTCCTTGATAGCTCGTCTTCGACGCGCTCTTCCGTTAGTCTTGTGATGATCGACTCTTTGACGCCGCTGGTACCCTACCGCACCAATTAAATCATGCGTGCGGGAACGTGTCCGGAGGGCGCTTACCATGGTCTCCTTAGCAGAGTCGTACAGATAATCCCGGATACTCGCGATCTCCGCTTTCCAGGTTGCGGCAAGTTGCATGAACCCGGTGCCGGGGAACCAGGACGGGAGCCGCTGCATGCTTGGGAAGGCCTCGACAATATGCCGACCAGGGGTGCTGATGTCCTCGGCAATCGTCGCGAGCCTCTCCACCAGCTTATAGTACTTCCGTTCGCCCTGTTCGGGGTCGAGCCCATAGACAATGCGGAGGACGACCGCGGCGAACGAACTGCATGATCCCGGCGTCAGCACATGAGCACCATCACCATCGGCGCGGTGCCAGCGTGTGCACGCTAGCATAGAGGGGGCACGTACAATTTAATGTGTGCAGAGAAGTCCGCAGGGGTATCGAGGAGGTTGCGGAGGAGGCCGCGCGTATATTGCCGCTGGATGGCGAAGTAGCGGGTCATCATCTCCGGCACGAACGAGACGTGCAGCTCGCGGCGGTACCGGCGCCACTCCGCGCCGTAATCCTTGAACACGAATATCCAGTCCAGGTTGGTCCTAGGTTCGGGCGGGTTAATGTCCGATCAGCTCGAAGCGGCGCGTGTGCTTACATCTTCACCATCGCGGACTGCGGACGGTCGGAGTAGTTGCCCGACCGCTTCTCGAGCAGCTCACATGCGGCGTCATACGAGTTCACGAGGATGATAGACTGCCCCAGGACACTCAGATAAGCAACATCGCCTGTGCAGAAATTTTGTCAGATCGATGGTTGCAAAGGTGAAGTTTAGGGATTGAGACCTACCGTATTTCTCTGAGAGACTGCGGAACTCGCGCCCCAGGTGGCTCTTCGGAAAATCGAGAGCGTTCCCGAGGAGGGGCAGTGGCCGCGGGCCAGGAGGAAGCGGCGGGCGCTTGTCCTTTCCCGTGAAGAGCAACCTGGCTGCGACGAAGAGCAGGACGACAACGAGCAGCAGGACCTGTGGCGAGGATGGGACGACCTCCAGCATGGTGGCAGGTTCGCTGCCTGTCTGCCTGTAACGTTTGATACAATCAGCATCTGTCTGGTGCCGCGCACATCCGCGGGGACGAGTGGCATACCTGCGATGGAGCGAAAAGGCCTCGAGACACGACGTTCCGTGGCTCCAGGAGACCATGGCAACCCCAGCTGGTCGCGGTGAGGGGGAAAGGCGGCGCGAGAACGACTGAGTCGCGTCTCTCAGCTGGCCGCGCGCAATACTGATAATGTATCAGCCTGAGACAGTCTGGGACCGAGGCCGCTTCCTCATGGACACGCGACGGAAATTGGGATGCTCGACACGGGCGGGGTGAGCCCGCCCCCGACGCCGCGCTGCACCCATCTCGCCCCACTGTGCCTGCAAGTTTGTTCATGTGGCGGCCGTCGTCGAGCCCAGGCGGATCAGATGCGTGCAACGCGGTGAGCTTCTCGAGCGGTGTGCGTAAATGTCGGGCGGCTCCGCTCGGGCACGCTTAGATTGCCATGCCAGCGATGTCAGCGCACTCGCAGCGACCGCTCCCGTGAACAAGCAGATCACGAAACTTTAAGATCCAACGGGCTTTAAACGTAGAAGTATACGTAGTACGGCGGCTCTGTCACTAGTGCCATCCTGTGCCATCAAGCCTAGCGCCACCATTCACCAACTCAAAAGACGCTTGCAGCGGCGCTCCAGAGTCCCTCATGCTCGTCGCCTTGGATAGATGTCACTCACGACGAGATGTCAAAAAATGCACAGGAGGCTCTATAGTACAGGTGTTGTACATGCGAAAGGGATAGTTAGACATGTTCTGCGTAGACGGAGGAACGACTGCGGATTATTACGATGTTGCTTTGTACTTCCTATTCTGGAGGTATCATGAGCTTGACACATTCTTTCCTGAAAGGAAGACGGCGTGGGTGGCAGGTGACTGAAGAACTTGATCTCCTGGGGCTCTAGATAGTAGCTGTCCAAGTCGAGCTTTTCGTTCGGGTGCTGATCGGAAACCGCCGCCTTTAAGCGGACAAGGGCACCGCGGCGAAGACGGTATTGATGATACTGTGCTGAACAGATCTGCCGTGTGTCGGCAGTGTCTGAGTATGTTGGCGAGATGTTTTCAGCATGGATTGAGCTCCGCCTTGGCCTCATGAGTGCTGCAGATCCGGTACTTCCTCAGTACTTCCTCAACACTGGCAAGAGAGTGTCTTTGTTTTCAAAGTATAAGATATGGGTAAAATGGGGGGTTGGACTGGCACTCACTACATCTCAGAAAATTGGATCTTTTGCGAGTTCGAAATTATCGTCGAGCATGGTAAACAGCGTCGCGTCTGCGTTTGCATAGACAACTGCATCTGCGACGAGGTCCGTCCGCTAGTACATAGTATACCTGGTGCTTATTTCACAGGCTGCACTGGCATTAGATTGCCGTATCGCACGAGGATCAAGTGACTTACCTAGGAGGGGATGTATTATAGTCTGCTCTTGAAGTTTAGCACCTGCAGGTACTGTCGACGACGAACAACGTGTTCTTGGTAGAAGAACGGACCGACATAAACTGTGCGAATATACAACACAGATTAGATCTATATATGCTCAATCTAATCTTATCTCTTCGCTCGTCTTCGATGCCGCTCAGTGCTCACAACACCGCGACGACGACCTCCGTCCTCTTCCTCTTCTACTCTGCTACGCCGCCGCCAACATACCCTGACCGAGTTCTACTATGGACGGATTTGACGACCTCCTGGCCCCCTCACATGACGCGCTTTCAAATCCCTTCGCAGATCCTTTCGCGAAACCCAGGTCCAACTCACCCGACCCTTGGTCAAGCTTTGGACAGGACCCTTCACCATACAATGAAGAGGCGGCAGCGTTTGGCGGCTCGTCGTCAAATGCGCTGCGGCACGATGCGTTTGCGGACATCGGCGGATTTGAAGACTATCGCGACAGCGCGCCAGACCCGCTCGACAGTGCCGCATTCAACTCGGAAGAGGCCAGCACAGATGACTTGCAGGAGTCTACACCGACGGCCCACGCGACGTCGCCTCTGGCCCGTGGTTTCCGGGAAAGTGTATCGGAGGAGCCCGTACACCAACCTCCCGAGCTGCAACCCCCGCTGCGGGAACTCACCCCGCCAGTCGAGGAGCCTACGAAGGCACCTACACCACCTCCAGAACCCAAGACGAGTCCTACTGCAACATCTGCTCGCCTGCCTGGCCATGTCTCGCGAGGTTCGGTCGCGTCCTCAGCTTCCTCTCATGTTGCGTCTATCAAGGCTGCGCCCGTGTCATATAACCCGCTTGACCAGCCTTCGAATGCGTTTGAACGTTCCATCGCTGGCCTTTCGATAGGTGGCGAGGCGCTGGGAGGATGGGGGGACACGGGCGGATGGCAGAGTACGCAACACGCGTTCGGTGGAACGGGTCCGGTCTCGAGTATTGCTCGGGAAGAGAGCGTGTCGGACGATGACGATGACGATGACCGGCCAATTGCACAGACGATGGCAGCACGGGTTGCCTCGCGGGAGCGTGAGCAAGCACCCACGTCGGTGAGTTGAGATATACTTGGTGCCCGAGTGAATGCGTCCTCTAACATGGCACACAGCCCTCCGAGGCGAGTTCCTCGTCGCCTGTGAAGAAAGACAACGGCATACAGCCCACTTTTGTAATCAGTGTAGATGACCCGCAGAGAGTCGGTGATCCTATCCGCGCGTACACCATGTACACGGTTCACACCAAGGTATGTCGCTTTCTACATCTATTTCTGGGTGGTTATCCTCAGTTGTGTTACAGACCACCTCGCCCATGTACAAGAAATCGACTTTCTCCGTCCTCCGGCGGTACTCTGACTTCCTGTGGCTGTACGAAACGCTCTCCATGAACAACCCCGGAGTGGTCGTGCCCCCAGTCCCGGACAAGAACCCCTTCGGCCGGTTCGACAACGAATTTGTGCAGCAGCGCCGGCTCGCGCTCGAGAAGTGCATCCAGAAGATCGCAGCGCACCCAGTCCTGCAGAAGGACGCGGACCTGAAGCTGTTCCTGGAAAGCGATACCTTCTCCCTCGACGTTCGTTGTACACACTTCCGTCTTGCTCGGCTTGTGCTGACAGCTGCTGTGATTGCAGATCAAGCACCGCAAAGCGGAGATTGCGCAGGAGAAGGGTGGCCTTATGAGCGCGATTGGCCAGACGATCGCCGGTCCTCGGTTCCACGAAACTGACGAGGTAATCTTGACTTCGCCTTCCCCGCAGTTGTGTGGCACTGACGGCATGGCAGTGGTTCGACAGGCAGAGGTCGTACCTGGACAGTCTGGAGACACAACTTCGAGGTCTCGTGAGGTCCATTGAGGCTGTAGCCAAGCAGCGCTCAGGTACGTCGTCTGTGTGGTCCCCCCTTCTCGCGGGCGCAACTCATCGGCTTTCGTAGACGTGGCCGCTGCCGCGGGCGATTTCGCGCAGACAATCGCAGACCTGGCTGCATGCGACGTCGGAAAGCAGCTGTCCTTGTCGCTGTCAGGGCTGGCAGAGGTCGAGCGGAAGGCGCAGGAGCTCCAGTCGTCTCAGGCGAACGACGACGTGATTACGATCCTGAGCACAGGTCCGTCCCACCTTCCCACCCACACTCATACATTGAACCCTAACAGGCCACCCACAGCGGACGAGTACACACGCCTCATCAACTCCGTCAGGGTAAGCCTTCTCCCGCGTCGCCTCACTGTGTTTGTACCCGTCCACCTGTCTCACCCTGCCGTCACACACAGCTCGCGTTCAGCTCGCGCATCCGCGTGTACGGCGCGTGGCAGACCGCGGACGCACACCTGAAGCGCACGAAGCAGACGCACGAAAGCAACCGCGCACAAGGCAAGCTCGGGCCGGAGATGCTCGGGCGCTCCCTCGCGATCGTCGCGGATGCGGAGCGGCGTGCGCTCGACGCGAAGAACGAGTTCGACCACGTCTCGCGCCTGGTGAAGCACGAGACGGCGCGGTTTGAGCGCGAGCGCGTCGAGGACTTCAAGGCTGCGCTCGAGGCGTTCCTCGAGGGCATGATTACCAGGCAGAAGCAGGTGCGTTTATATACTATTATTCACGTTGAAGGCAACATACTGATGATGGTACTAGCTTATCGGTGCATGGGAGAGCTTCCAGCAAACGTTGCTGAAGCGGGTCACGCCGCAAGCGCAGCGTCCGCCAGACTCCCCGATCGCCTTCACCACATAGGACGGGTTACGCACGTCGTTTTCGGAAACACATTGTTATCACTATAATGTCGATCGTGGATGAGCATCAGAATATACATATCGGTCTTAGCTGTATACGATGTATATGACAGGGGGGTGTGAGGATGTCCACTACGAACAGCAGCACTATCGATCGCCGTAAGCGACAGCGGCTCACTCCCAGTATCTCGCCTGCTTCGCGTCTCCCTGCTCTGCGCCCGCGATCTCCAGGAAGTCGGACGGGCGTTCGCGCTTGAGCGGCCTCCGCCTGTTGTTCAGCGGCAGCCGCTGGTACGCCGAGTCCTGGCCCGCCGGCTGCTGGTTCGGGAACGGGTTCGTCCACTGCCTATACTCCTGCTGCTGCTGCATGCCCATCCCGCCACCCATACCTCCACCACTCATACCTCCACCACCCATACCCCCACCCATGCCTCCGCCCATTCCCCCGCCCATACCGCCGCCCATGCCCGCGTTCATCTGCCCGACCCCGGGCATGCCGGGGTACGACGACGCGGCGGCCATGGCGGCGACGGCCTGCGCCTGCTGGAGCTCCATCTGCAGCTGCTGGTGCTTGAGCTGCGCCTGCTGGCGGACCTGCTGGGGCAGCGCGGTGTTGTTGAGCATGCCCTGCAGCTGCGAGATCTGTGCCTGCAGTTGCGGGATGCTCTGTGCGAGAACTTGCGCGACGTCCATCTGGTCGTTGTAGAACTCCCCCCCTTCGGCGCCACCGCTCTCTGTGGTCATGCTGTCGGCTGCCTTACCGGACGTGCTCTGTGTTTCGGAGGGTGAGCGTGAGGTAACATGGACTGATGGATAGACGTACCTTGTCACCCTCGGCAGCCCCGTCAGCCTGCGCACCCGCCTTCGCCGCCGCCTCCGCGCCCTCGAGCGCCGCCCGGTCCTGGCGCTCCGCCTCCTGGCGACTACGCTCGACCTCGGCGTCGATGAAGTCGTGCACGCGCGCGCGCGTCGGCTTGTCGACGACGAGCTTGTCCAGGCTCGGGATCTTGCGCGCGCAGTTCGGGCACAAAAAGTCGCGCTCGAGCAGGTGCGTCTGCACGCACTCCTCGCAGAAGAGCGTCCCGCAGCAGGGCGTCTTCACCGCGTCGCGGAGCAGCTTGCCGTCGATCTGGCATGCGAGCGAGGGGTCGGAGGGCGGGCGTTCGCGGATGTCGGCTTCGGTGAGCCCTTTGTGCCGCGAGACTTGCTTTTGCCATGATGCGCTGGGAGAGGGATCGGTGTTAAGCGCGAGTGTATAGTGAGGAGGAGGGGACGTACGAGTCGGGCTGAGCTACGACGTAGCCACCCTCGGGCGTGACCATGACTCCTGCGCCCAGCTGGCCCGTGGTGGGATTATCGACTGCCTTGAGGAAGCTACGCGGGATACCAGTTGTGCGCTTGATCCGTGGCCTGTGGTCGAATTCGCGGTCGTTGTTCGTCGGGCAGTCTTGGATCCAATGACCTTCAGGGTTCCTGTGGTAAGCATGGGTAGGACGCAAAACAGCGACAGTAACGCACCTTTCTGCCCACATCGGTAACAAACATAACTCGGCGGTAATGGGCGGTCAGAGTGGTGGTGTGACGGCTGGAACGGTTTGCCTCCTCGCGGAGTGCCGCGCGGGTTGTTACTGTTGTAGATTCGTGTGGCACTGTGACAGGACAGAGGTGCGCGAGATGACACGAAATAAACGAAGTTCATTAGAATATATTCTACTATGGGGACAAAAAGAGCGCTGGCGCGCGACACCAACTGGGACATCTTTTCCTGGGCTTCCTCCCAGTTCGCCGTTTGGGCCTCGAACATGGCGGCCATAGCGGCGGCCTCGTCATCTGGGTTGTTGATGTTCATAGGTGCCTTGTGAACCACCGTCAGTATAAACCAAGCCGTGTTCGCAGCGCGTCCTTCAGCTAATGGGTGCTGCATTCCGAAGGTTGCAACTTTCTAGATCGAACGAGCTGTCCAGTCTGAGTATGCACAAGAGGGATCGTCTTTCTCGTGCAAGTGAAAGTCGTCACTCTTGCACAGTAGACAAGCTCCACGGGGAAGACAAGGCAAACGCGCTGCGAACACATTCATACAAGACTCACAGGTGGGGGTGGCCTCTCGGCAGGCTTAGGCTCCTCTTTCTGATCCCTTGGGTTGTTATGATCGAAGCGTTTCGACAGATGTCCACCCGGTCGACCCCAGTTTCCGCCGCCTGGAGCACCAGAAGCCTTGGACATTCCGTCCGAGTTGCCCGTCGCACCGCTGGTGGCTAGATACCGTTGGGCTGAACCTCTGCCAGGGCGAGCAGGCACACGCTTCACAATGACTGAGGATGAACGGGGGATGACTTGCGAATCATCCCTGTACTCTGGGAGCAAAGAAGCGTCAGTCAGGCTGCTACACGCGTAAAGCGCAACGTCCAGTAACCGCCAGTTCTGCGCCGCCATAGCGCCGTGCAAAACCGCAGGATTGTACCATTACTAACCTTCACTGGCATTGTCCAAGACAACCAAGTCAAAGTCATTTGCTTTGCTGAGATTGTTTGCTAATATGATCTCCTTCTTCAGGTCGAAGACAGATATCCCAGTACCGTCGAAGGTAACCCGCGACTCGTCCTTCTGGGACCGGAACCTATAGAACACAGACGACGCCATCGCAGACTACGCTGCCAAGAAGATAGAGCTAGCGATACAAGTTGTCTGGAGCAGCACAGAAGAAAGTCGAAGACGACAGTTGACCAGAGAGGACGTGGAACGGAGGCAAGGTCGTCACCGCCGTCGAGAGCAGCCACAACTGGCTGCGGCAAAGACCGAACGCTGACGTACTGGGGTCCTGGGTCGCAGGGGTCCCGTCCGACGCGTACTTGGGCGCTAGACGCGTCGAGCGGCAGGAGCGCGCCGGCGTGGAAATATTCGCTGGCCGGCATGTCCTCGGCATGCCCATAAATACATGGAATCGGACGATTGAGGTTGGCCCTGTCCTCGACGTTCCTCTCTAGCGCGTCGACCCCCTTGGCTGTAAACGGCATGGCAAGCGCGAAAGAGGGCCTGCGGCAACGCGCCGTCAACGGAAATGGCAACAGCAATGGCCTCCAGGTCAGCCGGGTCGTCGTACCCACCGCCGAGGGCAAGAAGAAGGATGAGGAGCTGGACAAGCACACCGAGTATGTACGCGCGCCCTACCTCCATGTTTGTTGCTAACGCGTGATGCACAGCTACGAATTTGGCGGCCCATGGGGCGTGCTCGCCATCATGACAGGCTTCCCGATATTGATGTACTACCTGTGGATCTGTCTCGTGTTCTACGATGGACAGCTCGTGCGCCCTACCTCCGTCGACGACATCCAGCCTTTCCTATGGCGCATGTGGGAACATATCCGTGTGGTACGTAACATGCTGGCCTACTTTTACATAACGCCCGCGTGGTGTAGAGTTACGTGTAGATACGGTGTACTGACTTTGTGTGCATAGGACGCCAGCCCGAACGCGTACGCGTGGAAGGTGTACACCGGCCTCATTGTCTACCAGCTCTTCCTCGCCTGGGTCTTGCCCGGCTACATGCAGGAAGGCCTCCCGGTACCCTCGCTCAACTACCGCACGCTCATGTACAAGTGCAACGCGATCAGCTGCATTTACGCGACCATGGCCACCGCCGCGGTCCTGCACTACACTGAGATCTTCCGCCTGACGGAGATTATCGACAACTTCGGCCACCTTATGACGGTCGCGATGATTTACGGCTTCGGCGTGTCGTTCTTCATGTACTTCATCACCGTCGCGACCGGGAACCAGATCCGCATGTCTGGCAACTTCATCTACGATGTCTTCATGGGTGCGGTCCTCAACCCCCGTATTGGCCCCATTGACCTCAAGATGTGGCTTGAGGTCCGCATTCCCTGGGTCATCGTCTTCATGATGTCCGTCTCGGGCGCGTGCAAGCAGTACGAGACGTATGGCTACGTTACCCCTGTAAGCTTATACCTTTTTATATCGTAATGCTTGCGCTCATTCCCGTGTGCAGAACATGGCGTTCATGTGCCTGGCCACTTGGCTCTACCTGAACGCGTGCGGCAAGGGTGAGGAGTGCATTCCTCAGACCTGGGACATGTTCCACGAGAAGTGGGGTTTTCTCGTCATCTTCTGGAACTTCGCTGGCGTACCCTTCGTGCGTATGCTCCATTTACTCTCGTATTTTTGTCCTGACCATGCACCCTTTAGTCGTACATTTATTCAGTCGTCTACATGGCCAGCCACGACCCTTCCAACTACCGCTTCTCGACCGTGACCTACATCGCCCTCTACACGACACTTCTTACCGCGTACTTCATCTGGGACACTTCCATGTCGCAGAAGAGTCGATTCAAGATGCAGTCGCAGGGTATCACGACGTACCGCAAGACGTTCCCGCAGCTGCCATGGGGCACGCTCAAGAACCCCACGTTCATCCAGACCGCGCACGGCAACCGTCTCCTCACCGATGGCTGGTGGGCGTACTCGCGCAAGCCGGTACGTGTCATATGTATCCTAGTCTAGAAGTGTATACTGACTTTTGATGAACAGAACTATGTCGCGGACTGGACCATGAGTCTCACATGGGGTCTCTGCCAGGGCCTGTGCTCCCCCATACCGTACTTCTACTCCGTATTCTTCATCGCTGTCCTCATCCACCGTTGCGGACGCGACTTCGAGAGGTATGTCTTCGCGCCGCTCCCGTTAGCGAACCTCGGCTGACATGAGGTATTCACAGGTGCGCGATCAAGTACGGAAAAGACTGGGAGAAGTACTGCTCGATCGTGAAGTACAAGTTCGTCCCGGGCGTGTACTGAGCTCGACCTACCTACTCTCGCATGTCATTGCTAGCCATGTATATACCCGTAGACAAAAGGGGCCTTTGCGAAGGCATGATAGATGCATCGTGGAAAACCTAATACTACTCAATCTCGATGTCACTCATCCTTACTCGTGAGATGGGACTAGCCAGACAACGCAAGAGGAAAGAGGAACGTCAAAATCAACGAATTCAACGAGTTCGACGCCGGCATTGACGTCAATAGATAAGATAAGATCCAGCAAAGTTCATCGCAACATGCATGATGCAGGAACGCGGTCACCGCGGCGGTGGCTGAGAATATCCCCTGCTCCTCTCTCCTCCCGCCCCGTCGTGCTGCAGCTGTCGTCTCCCTCTTCGTGCACTGCCGACTCAATCTGGTGCCCCTGGCTTTTCTAGGACCCTCAGACTTGCGAACGGGTGCATGAGCGCGAAGCCCGTCATGGCGGACGCGACTGAAGCACCACCGGAACGCCAGCCGCTGCTACGCCGTGGAGATGTCGACGCGACCGAGGTCTATCCTATCATACAAATGATCAGACGTGTGAGTATCTACTCTGTATAGCGTGGTTGATGACGGACTGAGACCTGGACGTAGGATGTCATGGTAACTACACCGACCCTTGTTACTGTTTTGAACCGGTCAACTGAAGCGTTATCGCCCTACTCTGTAGCATTTCATAGGTACGTCGTCTCTGTGACACTACACCGGTATACTGCTTAGCGTTTTCCAGATACTCCTCTCTCGCATGATGCGGTCAGTACCAGTTCACTTTGCTTTCGTCACCAAAGGTCCAGAACTTCGGAAGCTTCGGGGCGACAAGCCTGATAGCTTCCAATTCAAGAATGCTATATTCCTCCACTACACAATAACTGACCAGAAGCACACAGCTCATCGCCCCAGACCTCACATACACCCTCATCCGACCGCTCGAAGACAAATACGGCGCCATTCAACGCCAAGGCAACCTCTCCGTCGTCTTCGCCCTGCTCCTCAACCGCGTCTACTTCATCCGCGACCGCCATCTCACCACGGTCGCGCTCTCGAAGACCCGCGCTGACCTGTGCGAGATCCTCGCTACCCGCGCGCTGCGCGAGCACGCGGAGAACATGCTTGAGCTTGCACTGGCACTGACGACCAGCTGGTCGGTGTATGCGGGCGCGCCGGAGTTCCTGCTGCAGCGGGCGCGGGAGGAGAACGACGACGATTTGGAGGACCAGGTGGGGAATGCGATCGAGATGGCCATCTTGGGTCAGGCGAAGCGGTTTATCAAGAGCTCGGCGTGCCAGAAGGTTATCGACGGCATTTGGAGGTAAGATGCGCGTGCGCACTGAGAGGCGGGTCCAATTAACACGTGCTGCAGTGGAAAGATAGTGTACCAAGCCAGCAGCAGTCGCTCGATACTTTCAGATGTAGGTGCAATGATAGGCACACGATCAGTTCACTTACAGTATGTTGGCAGACATATAAACGGAATCCTATCCACTTTTACGACCCTCATAAAGCACCTCTGCTAGACCATTATCGGTAATTAACTTCCCTCTCGATTGTTGCTTTGGCTAACGCCTGTATCTCAGCCTCAAAGTACCCGCAATACGCTCCGTTCTAGAATACATCAAGTATGTGATTTACAATGTGCCTCGAAATCCCGGTTCTGATACTCCTCTAGCTTCCTCACACTATTTGTTCTCTTCGTATTTGCACTGGAGTATAGCGAGCTGAACAGGATCAATATCGCCGAAGTCCTCTTCATCATATATGCTCTTGGTTTTACTCTCGAGAAGGTTGCCGCCATGCAAGAGCATGGAATCAAAGGTCCGCGCCCTCCTATCGTCGCTTGATAGTACTTTCTTATAAATTCTGTGCAGTATACTTCAAGGGTACTTGGGTAAGCACACCTCTTGATGACTGACGCTCTTGACCTAACATATATCGCAGAACGGCTTCGACTTAGCATTCGGTCAGTCAAGTCGTGCGATCCGTACGTTCAATAAACTCACAATATACAGTCACTCTGTACTGTACATATGCTGTCATGCGATGCATCGGGGTGTACGAAAACAGTGCGTCGCCCCAGAGCATTCCTGCCTTTCAGATCTCTCACCGCCCTATAGAGCATTGGGCCAGGGAAATGGGTATTAGCTGCCTTGCGCTGATAGCCGTACTCATGTTCCCTCGGTATGTCGCCCAAGTAGACTTAGTTCATGGCCTTCGACTGACCCGTTCTTCCAGTCTTGCGTTCGTGACATTCAAGAACAACGTCATGGTGCTCTCGCTGCGCGCAATGATGGTGCAGTTCGTTGTCCTCATGGGTATTGCCGCTTTCTGTTTCGGAGGTTTCTTATATGCGCTGTGGACGTAAGTATTAATGTGCGGGTAGTAGTTCTTATTCGCTGATATCATTGCCGTTAGTCTTGGAAAAGACCACGCACACGCAAGGTGAGTTTTGAGAGCCGACTATCACCTTCGATGCTTACACCGCATCACTTCTTCAGGTATAGCCTGGGGTGAGTCTTCCTCGGAACAGCGTCGCGGTTTCGGGGTGCTTACACGCCCACAGGACGATTGCTTGGTGGATGCTAGACCTCTGGTTTGGACTGGATGCCAGCGGCTTTGACAACGCTAGTACGTCCCTCTTCATCCCATCCCTTCCTTCATTCTCATACCTCTTTCTCGAGTACAGCGCGATTCCACCCTATCTTCGGGCCATTTCTGATGGTCACCTACGCTTGCCTGAGCAATACACTACTCCTTACTGGTACGTCCTCAGTCTTCTAGTCTTCCAGCGTGCAATTGATCAATGACAACGCCGGACAGTGCTCGTTTCTGTGAGTGGTTAATATAGGCGCGTCAGGGAAGCGGGTCAGCTGACTAAGTACCAGATTCTCTCGCATACGTTCTCCACCATCAACGACGATGCTGCTGCAGAGGTGAATTTCTGTTCACCTCTCGCTGTTTGGCTTTGCTAATGGCATCATAGGCAATGTTCCGGCGCGCTGTGTCTACGCTAGAAGGGTACGCACAACTGCTGATTCATCGCATCCTTTCGCCGGGTCTCTGAGCTCTCGAACAGTGTTAAGGCGGACTCTCTCTTCTCGTATCAGCCGCCGATCAACCTCGTCGCCCTTTGTATCATGTTGCCCGCGAGTTACGTTCTCAGCCCGCGCTGGTTTCACAAGGTCAACGTCTTCATGATCAGGTGCGCTGTTTCCCGTGCCGCCGTCTAAATACTTAACGAACTGTTACTGCAGGCTCACGAGCTTCCCGATACTGCTGAGTATCGCGTGGTACGAGCGGCAGGCGAAGCACTCCGGGTCGTTCACATTCTACGAGACAGTGTCCGCGGCTGCAGAGAAGCTCTTCGATACGTTGCCTCGGCATCTCAAGCGACTCAGTGCGTCTACCTTGCGTATCGGCGGGGCTCTGTAAAACCTAACGTTGAGCGCAGCATTATTCGAGGGTTTGACTGGCCCCGATGCTGACATCGACGCAGTAAGCGTTTCGTCACTCTAAAACCAAAATAGGATAACCTGACCACTTCTCCCTAGATCTTCGAGCTGGAAGAAGAGCTGGAAGAAAGCGCCCTAGACTTGAACGAGACGGACGACGTGCCCCCAATAGACCCAGCGCACCAGCGCCGCTTGTCACAAATGTCGCGTCGGCGCGCATCCCAGTCCTCTTCTCACGGCCCACGCCGCCCTTCCATCTCGGGATCGATCGCAGGCCGCTCGACCGCGACAGCTCCGCCCTCACCCCTCAAAGCAGAACAGGCCGGCCCGTCCTCGCCCCCCAACCAGTCGCAGCAGCCCGGGAGCCAACCGGCTATGAGCCACATCCCACTCCCAGGGCGCGCACGCGTCAATTCCGTGCTCGCGCGCGGCCTCGATCTTGCACAGAGCGTGTCAAGCCCCCTCGCGCAGATATTCCAGCCGCTCATCGTCGATGACGATTTCATCTCCGGAGGGGACGACCAGAACTCGTCCGAGGCCGCCACGTCTGGCCCAAGCGGCAACGGTATGAGCGCAGGTCAAATCAGCTACGGGCCCGCGACGCGCCGCCGGCTTTCGTCTATGCACGTCTTGAGCCCGCCGCGGCGGGGGCGCACGTATTCCTCCGCAACGCCCGCACTGGGCCTCATCCCGGGCCACCGGGAAGCCGGGGCGGACGGCGCGGGGCCGAGTCTGAGCCCGGAACGTGGGGGTTTGACAGCGCTGCGCAAATTCCCGACAAATAGCCCTCTGCGGTCGCACCTGGGGCTTATGGCCACGCAGGCGCCGCTCTCGGAGAGCCCAGACGAGCGAGGGGAGGCCCAAAGTGCGGTGTCCTTCAACGAGCCCAGGGAGACCGCAAGTCAGGCTGAGGCAGAGGAGGAGAATGGTATGGGCGAGGTGACCGATAGAGCGGCATGGGAGCAGAGGTGGGAAGGCATCGAAGCGAGGCAGCGGCGGATGGAGGAGATGCTCATGGAGATCGCGGCGAATCTGCGCGCCCAGCGATGACCGGCCGACTGGTGATGTTGGTATCCTTACTTACGATGACATTGACGTCTTACTGCAGCCTTGCTATCGCATTGCGCAACTATATGGCTGGGTCTGCTGAGACCAAACACACGTGGTGTTCACGCGTTCATTTCCGTCGTGAGCTAGAGTTGGAATCGTCTGGTAAGTGATCAATCAATTCCCTCGACATCGCCCGCAGCATCCCCCTTCGCCCCTTCCCGCCAATCTCTCGGTCTATTGCCCACAATTCAAGCCGACCGCGACGCTACCGATGGCCAATACAAACCCAGTGAGTACATCGCCATTGATATCTGCACTCATACAACTTACTCATTAATTGTCGTCTGCTCTTTTCCACCTACCTGGTCATCATCGATCGACATCGTTACCCAGCGACCGCACAGTGTAGGCTCGCAACTTGGACAGCCCGTAAGTTTCACTTCCGGTTTATTTGCAGGCCGTACGATCCGGGCCGAACTAGGAGAGATACAGGCTGCTGAAGCAGGCCGGAAGTACGCAGCAACCGAATTTCTCCGCCCCCCTCTCATGTCTGGGCGTTTCCAACCTGAAAGTTGTGGACGTTTTGTCCCTCCTTAACCTGAAGATATGCCCGCAAGGACAAGCGGCCGCTGGACCCTCCTCCTGTCGTCCTATGCCAAGTCTGGGAGATCCTGCGCTCCAATAGCGGCCCTCCAGAAACTTACGAGCGGGAGCTTGCACCTCAAACAGTGGTGAGCAATCCCCTTCTGTTCATGTATGTACTATTTCTCAAGCTACTGCTAGACCCTTGGCACAATCTGTCATGTGGACCTCTTCATAGTAGCTGAAGAGTGCAGAACCTGGGAGCCTGCACCAGAGGCTCCGGCATTGGCGCCTCGCCATATCGGGTCCTACAACACTACCGTGCCTCCTCTATCGAGCATATTCACTTTCCCATCTACCGACGCCACCCGAGAAGTAGCAAGAGCCGCGCCGCCAGAAGCCCTGTCGATCCCGGTAGGCCTGATGCGCCTTTTGCGTCTTCCAACTCAATCGCCACCGCATACGGCGCCCCAGCGTCCCGCCACATGCAACCACAGCGCCAATACGCATGGTTTGCAAACCTTCGCGGGTGCTTATGGACCTAGTATGCCGTACCCTCAGCCTCTTGGGGGCCATGGATCAGATTCGGACGTCATAGCATGGTTAGGACCTCATCCAATCCGGGAGAGCTCACGATGCACGGAAATGCTCGCTGGAGGGACGGTCGTCCAGGCAGAGGACGTCGACTTTGGGGGCCAGGAGGCTGTGGTGTTCGTGTTCCCCGTGAGTCCTCCTGTTTTGTTGACGTGGATGGAGACGCAACTCTAGACGCATGAACCAACATTATTTCAATGCCTGCTATGTACAGGATCTTTCAGTGAGGTGCGAAGGCACATTTGTGCTGCGCTACCGCACTGGAACCGTGTACTCGCAGGGAGGTACCCAACTCCAAAGCCCGATCCTAGCGGAGTGCTTTGGCAGGCCGTTCAGAATATATGCAACAAAGGAGTTTCCAGGCCTAAGCCCCTCGACCGAGCTCACCAAGGCACATTGTCTTTCCATATGTGCGCACACTGAACTCACGTATCCGGGTCTTTAGCACCTCTGGAGGCAGGGCGTACGCGTCATCATACGCCAGGCAACCGGAAGACTCAACAGGAAGCCCGTGCAAGGCTCGGACACGCCCAACAGCAGCGGAGCATCGGCTGTGGGAGGTGGCGAGGGTGCTGCATCCGAGCCGATCCTACCCGAGCCGACGCATCGTAATGGACAATAGGTCGGAAAGTCCACGTCGACACGGAGCGGAACGTGGAAACGCACCTCGGGTCGAACGAGGTTAACGGACGCCGGCGGTTCGTCGTCAAGAGGAAGCGGCGAGGACGGCGGGGAGACACGGGGGTGAAGCTCGAGGCAAGTCACGCATCTCCCACTCTGCGAATGCACGGTCCCCGTATCCCACAGGTACGTTGCGTTGGTGACACGTTTTTCTTAGGAACACGTTGGCTCATGTCGCTCTATGCATGTGGCGGTTTCACAGTCGCCAGTTGGTCTTGCACATATTTGTTCATTCTCACCTTGGGCGGTAGCCGGTCTTTGAAGCATCGCACATCGCGGTTGCTGATAGTAACACCACCCGCAGCCCGATGGCAATACTTCACGTCGTATGTGTACTCGACGTGCCGCACATCCCGACCACCCACCATTGGCAGCTGCAGTACCGGAAGCCGCATTGCCGATTCCTGACTCCCCGTAGAACGTCAGCGCCGCAGAGATGGACGCCGCTACGTGTTCACCGAACGTTGAACGTTCGCGGGCACACACTGTGCTATGTATAGTCACCCGGCAAGATTGACGTCCAGCGCGACTGTTCGCTGTTCGCACAAGTCAGTGGTCATAAGCGTGTAGACGGTACGTCTACCTGTCAATGTCGCGACGTCTCGAGGCGCAGATCCACGTTCGGCTTGCATTATGCCGTCTTTCCCACTGCTGACATCATGTCTCCCTGAAGGTGCACAGCCGGCGCCAGCCCCCTCCTGTGCCTGTTATTCGAAGGCCTGTGGGCACGGCCTGAATATAGGCATTTGACAGGGGCAGCGTCTTTGCGCTCGGGCCGACGTGCGTCTCGCAACCTGCTTGAGGCTGTGTGGCTATAAGCGTCGACAGAGGTACTTAGCAGCTGCCAGATCGCCTTCTGCTGCGATGATTCGACCTGTGCTTGCGCATGTTGCGGGCGCTTCATAAGCAAGCCGTAGGAGGCGGATCCCTTAGGTCAATCCTGTTCGTGCATCTTCAGATCCTGTTGGGCGTGCCTTTAGTCTGTACCTGGCAGTAGGCGGAGTGACGAATGTCTTCACTTCGAGTGTTGGTTAGTTGCAATGCCCTGTACTCCGTTCGGCCGTATTGACCCGACCTGTCAGGAGCCTTCAATTGCCCGTCGCCGTCCACCCGTCTGGATGTGACAGTTATCATCGCGTCGGAGAGCTGCTCCCCGGTGGCAACACGGCTAACAAGACTTCCCATGCGGCATGGTTCGGTAGGCGCACGATAGGTACGTGAGCTGGTCGTCGTGCGATGACCCTCATCGAGTCTGTCCCTATGTGTCTGGGAAGTGTTGCACTGAGTGTTGAGTTTTTAAGTATAAAGAGGCCCTCGCGCTGCCCCACACCCTCAGCAAGCCAACGCCTCACTACCACTCCAACAAAAGCCTACAACCCCAGTCCACCTCCCGCACCACCTCATCCACCACCATGCGTACCACCCTCGCCCTCTTCACGCTCGTCGTTATCAGCCAGACTGCATACGCAGCCATCAAGAGCGCACTCACCTCCGCCCCGTTGACCGACATCGGCAAGTCACTCCCCGTCGCCAGCATCCACTCCGTGGCCCCGGTGGCCAACAAGACCCTCAGCAGCGGCCGCACCAGCCGCATCCACGCCCGCTTCGGGGCGCCCCCTGCGGGGACGTTCCCTGCGACGCTCCTCATGTGCCCCACCGCCGACTGCATCTCATGCTTCCCGGCCGACCTCAGCACGTTCCCCACCAACATGTGCCTGTCCGAGTCCTTCTCCATGCAGTCCGTCGCGATCAGCCAGCCGAGTGACCAGGGTCTGCCGGACGGTCTCTTCGTGGGCCAACCTGGTTGCACGGAGTTCCAACAAGTCCCCGCGGTCAACCAATGCTTCAACCTCGACCCCACCGTCCAGAACACCGACGTCGCGCTGAACTAGACGCCGGGTTGGGCGGCGCGCCGTAGCTTCAAGATATGCTATCGGGGTATGTCATCTTTACTCGGCTTGGTAGCGACACTGCTGACCATTTGAAAAGCAGCAGATGGCGCGAGGAACCCTCCAGGGAACACGCGGGCATAGCCTCGCACAATACTGTCGGCCGTCCTGTTCCAAAACATCCTGTGTCGCCTTCGCCTTTCATGCTTCGTTCTGCAGTTTGTATAGGGATTTAGGGTACTCATTTTGGGCATTTGTATAATGCATTATATGTCTGCTACTGGTTGGGGTGTGCTGGGGACCGATGAGCGTAGTAATAGTACAATGAACGCGCGAACAAACTGCCCTTTCTAGTTATGCTACCGCAGCGCTACCGCAGCACAAGCGCCGACGGCGTTCAAGTTACGGCAAACCTTGAGCTTCCTGGGGTATTGTACGAGTCCGAGCCTGGGGACGCACCTTTTCTCCAACCATCTCACAAAGAAGGGGGCCGCAGCGACCCCTCCAAATTCCTCACGAGCGTACCTCGCAGCTGCGGCCTACATAGTCGGGTATTGGGTCGATCGCGATGCCATCCTACCCCCACTATCTACCTCCATCATACGAGAGTATACAACAACCGTAAGCGATGGTACTTCTACATCATATATCGTAGATATTCTGACGAAGACGGTAGCAATACTCCGCTCACCACGCGAAAGGATAAACCGCGTACTACGGGTAAATTCAAGGTGCTCTACGTGAGCCTTGCGGTCATCGTCCTCGCCCTCTTCGTCGCGCAGAACCTTGGGCTCGTACGCTGCCCTCTCGACGACGTCCCCGCGGAGGAGAAGGCGAAGCTTCGCCGGCAGTGGAAGCGTGACTTGACGAAGTGGACCCGGGAGCGCGACAGGTACGTCGCGGAACAACGCACCTGGGAGCAAGAGCGGGCCACACGCCGTGCTGAGCGCGAGGAGGAGGAGAAACATCGGCTGGAGGTCGTGCGCCGGAGCCAGGGCGTGTACTGGACGGAGCCGCGCGCGGAGCGTTGTCATTCGTACGGGATTCGGGTTTACTCTGCGAACCTCAGAGACATCCCGGGTGACCTGAACTGGCTGGAGGTATGCGAGAACATGCCGCCGGTCACCATACACGGCCGTGAAATCAGCAAACCCTCCAAGTGCGAGTGGAATGTAAGTCTTCCATGACTATGTGATCGAGGGTCTGGACTGACGTTGTCATGATCGCGGCGTTGTAAGGGAGGAGACGTGGTCGGCACCTGGTACATCGACTTTGACGAGCCCAGCTGCAAGCCTTACTGGAATGACTTCACTGACCTCGTGCGAACCCTCTAATCACGAGCTACCTGGTGCATTGCTCATTGGCATGCTCCTGGTATAACAGGGATGCAACGTGGGAAACACAGGCTTCCAGGTGAGTATGATCTAAAAGTAATACGCATAGGGATTCATGAGCTGATCAGACGTACTTCATTGTCACAGCGATTTGGAGCTCGTCTCGATGGCATGAGCAACGGCGCAGATTGGAACTTGATGTGTTCCACGACGGCCGCCACGATTCACGGTGTTCACTTTGATCAACCTACGACCTGCGAGGATAGGGTGAGTCTTTCCATCGAATTACAACGGCAAAAATATCGACGGTATGGCTCCCAGGGTCGATGGGGCGAGGTGGGCCTCTGGGACGTACCCAACCCCAGCTGCCGTTAGGATGTATACGCGAGGCGCTCAGCGAAAAGAATGTCTTGGAATGAGTACTTCGTCTGGATCCTCTCTTCGTACCAGTCTTGTAACCGTGTCGTGTATTTATTCCCGAAGCTTGCGAGGAGCAGGCCTCTTCGAAGTTCGAACTTGGAGGAGTACCGTTCAATTGCGTTCAACTTGTTCAAGTACCATCTCAGGCTGAAGTGTCCCGGCGCCTTGCTATGTAATGCTATCCCACGATGGACAAATAGACGCTTGCGCCGTCCTATAAATTTCTCCGTCGCCGCGACCGTGTTCTTCTTTACAGTCATCTCGGTCTCTGGAGCTGGCGTTTCTTCACTCTGTGGAACGTTCTCACCCGGGCCTCGTCTCAGGACGCGGTTTACTGGCCGAGTATAGCGATCTCACGAGCCCCGGACTGGGCATACCGTCGACTGTTCGAATATTCACTGGTCGCGCGGTTAATCAGTCTTAGGCACATTCTTGTCTCGTCTCGTAGCTGTCTTCTCTTTTGGAATCATAATCCAGTCCTTCAGCGCACTAGCTATCACGCCCACGCACCATTGGACCTGTCAAACCGTACCAATATTTCTCAATGTGTCAGTCCAAGTCCTCTGTTTCTCAGGGTTGCCACGGCACACTGGGGATACGCAGCCTTGCTAGGGAAGGTCAACTATCGTCCCATGACTTGATGATGCCAAACTGAAGTATTGGTCCAGCACACGCGCGCCGAAGCGGACCTTGCACGTCGACGGCCTGCCAGTATTCGATCTACGCATGTCCCGGTAGTTGTTTTCCCAATCCTGTCTATCATGCCAAGCTGTTATATGCCGTCCGACAGCTGGCAACAAAATCCAGCGACCGCTTCCGCCGATGTTCACGCAGCATGCGCGCCCATAGTAATGAATGCCAGTGTTCGAAGTCTGCGTGATTGACAGGCAGAAGTTCTCACTGACGTACCCGTTGTGTAAGGCCGTGCTATACGGCTGCGCTCAGGGGTTACGCGCCCAGGTCAGTCGCCCATCGCTGCATCCATGCCTACTTGCAGAACCTGATACCCCTCTCAGGTTCTCATGTTATGTCAAAAAGCTAGGAGGTTTCTCGCCGAGGGGCTCGCAGAGACATCGCCTGGAGCCCCTGTATCATCTTCACTTCTCCGGTGCCTTGCCTCGCCAACTTCTAGGGCGTTCAACAGCCCTGTCAGGCATAAGATCAGCTTGCCGGTGCAACAGAAGCACACTCTGTGATTTGATAACGTCTCGGTCGTTGCGGGCGCAGGTGGTATATAACCGGCTTTGCTCAACGCTGTGGACAACTCACCAGCCATCCATCCAACGCCAGTACCACCGCAGCGATGTACACCGCCGCCATCTCCGCCTTCGCCTTCGTCCTCGCGCTCCTCGCGCACGCCGTCCACGCCAGCCCCGCCGTCACAGTGAAAACGGACATCGCCTCCAAGTTCCCCGTGCACGACCTCCGCTCGGCCGTCGCGCACCCCAACGCCACGCTCTCGCCGGCCGGGCTCCACCCCGCCGTCACGCAGGCGGAGTTCCCCGCGTTCCTGCTCATGTGCCCCACGGTGTCGTGCATCAGCTGCATCCAGCTCGATATGAGCACAATCCCACACAACGAATGCCTCGGCTCGGGCGTCGAGGCGATGTCGGTCGCGATTAACCAGCCAAGCAACGAGGGCCTGCCGTTTGGGGTGTTCGTCGCGCCGGACGGCTGCACGAGCATCATCCAGATCCCGGCGGTCAACACCTGCTACAACGTCAACGGCAATACCGTCAGCGAGTTTGCGCTCGCTTGAGGCGCGGGTTGTTGTGTCTTAACAAATTAGGTGGGTTGAACAACACCTTCCGAAATTCCTCGGTATACTCACAGAGCGTTGCCCATCATTCAGCAGCTCTACGAGCTTCGCAGGAAACGCTCTAGTCGGCGATAGGTAGCGCTAGGGAAGCTGCAAAAGTTCCGGAGGGTTGGGGACGGCTGTACACTGTACTTATTCGGGTCTGTCATATCAAAATCTGGCTGCCTATACCTGCCCGTGCCTGTTGCCCTGCATCATCTTTGTTCAATGTTCAGCCTGATATTCGAGCATGAGCGCTTTCAGGTTGCCGACGCGACGGTAGACTTGTCGAGGTTACCAGTTAGGCGCCTATGTAACCGTCTTGCTTTGATCTCAACCACACACATGACTTCCGAACGCTCATGTTCGGCGTGCAGCGCGGAGATTGGGAAGTGTCGACAGTCTGCGTTCTCTTCTCTCTGTGCCCCGCCTCTGTGTTGGTCTCTGGTTGAACCCGCTGCCACTGGCTCCGAAGCACAGCCTTCAACGACGCTCTGTTATGGGATGCACAGATGCTTCTGCAGCTATATTATTATCATCGCACTACTGAGGTATGTCATATGTCTCGTCATGTATGTATCACGGCTAAGAGTTCATCCAAAGTCTGCAACGGTATCATGGGGTCCAGCGCTCGACCCAAAGATGGGCCGTTTTAACAGCGCTCGCGCCGGCAGCAGAGGCACATCTGACGCACGAGCGCAGTACTCCGACTTGAGCGTCATGTAGTAATATGACTACCATGACCACGCTTATCTCGCAGCAGACCTCAGGAAGTTCGGGAAGGGAGCCTGACCTTCTTGTCCCCATCCATCATGTCCTTGACAGCGTGGCTGCTCGTCTTCCTGAGCATCGGGCTTCTCCTCGTCCGCCGTCGCCGCAGGCGTCTTGCATTACCTCCAGGACCGCCAGGGATACCGGTAGTGGGTAACGTGCTGGACTTCCCGCAGTCACACTATGGAGCCAAGTTCGCCGAGCTGGCCGCGAAATACGGTGCGTCGCTGTCGCCCGATCACACGCGAAATATGGCTAACTTACTGCCATTCTCCAAGGCGATCTGGTATACCTTGAGTTGTTCGGACAGCCCGTCGTGGTTGTGAACTCCCACGATGCGGCGATAGATCTGCTGGAGAAGCGATCGGTCAACTACTCCGACCGTCCGCGATCAGTTATGTCTGAATTGTGAGTATTTTGTTATTCGTCCGTTGATTGGTCACCGACGAGTGTACCTTCATTCCTAGGACCGAGTATGACGACTGGGTGTTCGTGCTGATGCACTACAACCAGAAATGGCGGCAGCATCGGCGTGTCGTCGTCCAGTCTTTTCAACCTGGCGATGCGCTGGTGTCAGCACAGCCTATCGTGATAGCCTCCGTTCATGAATTGCTTGAAGGACTCCTCCGCACGCCCGATAAATTCTCTGAACATCTCGGCTTGTCAGTATTTCGCTTTGGTTTTTGCTGTAAAGGGAAGCTGGCTATAGTAACTAATGTTCCATCTTGTCCGAAACAGTACGCTCGCAAAGTCCACAATACGTCTCGTTTACGGGATACAACTGACAGACCCCAACGACCGCTTCTTCGACATGGCAAGCACGATAGTTCAGATTGGGTCAGAAATGGCCGTACCTGGAGCTTTCTTGGTGGATGTCATTCCCATCCTTCGGTTTCTACCATCGTGGTGTCCTGGAGCTAAGTTCCTGAGGACTGCGGAGGCCTGGAAGTTACAGGCGCGGGCTTATAGGGATCAGCTGTTCGCCGCAGGCAAGGCTGCCTTCGTGAGTGAATATATCATAGCCCGTTGACGACGGACACTCATCGCACACAATACAGGACCGTGGTATCGTTGATTCTCTCATCGGGAGAGTCTTTGAGGAATCGGACAATATGCCTCCTTCTGAGACGAATGCTCCCGGAAAAATGGAGGAAATGCTTCGCGGTGCGGCAGCGGCAGCGTACGGAGGTCAGTATCTATTTTTGGGAGCCCACTTTCTCCGCGACTGATGTCTTTCAACAGGTAGCGCAGACACGGTGGGCAATTTCTCTGACTTTCCCGGTGTACATCGTCTCACGAGCGGGTTAGACACACGCCGCCGCACACGTGTTCTTCCTCGCCATGGCTCTACACAAGGACGTGCAAGAGAAAGCCCAAAGCGAGCTCGACTCGGTCGTCGGCCCTGATCGACTACCCACGTTCGCCGACCGCGAGTCCCTTCCGTACATAGCCGCGCTGGTGAAAGAAGTTCTGCGGTGGCATGTAATTGCCCCAATCGGCGTCGCACATCGCTCCGTTGCGGACGATGTGTACGACGGGTACCTGATTCCCGCTGGCACGTTGATCGTTCCTAACCAGTGGTAGGGTCTTTCGTTGTGACCAATGTTGCGCGGTTCCCGGCTTATTTTGATATAGGGCCATGGCCCGGGACGAGACGCAGTACCCAGACCCCGACAACTTCCGCCCCGAGCGCTTTTTGCGGAATGGGAAGATTGATCCTAATGTGCGCGACCCGGCAACCTTCGCGTTTGGCTTCGGACGAAGGTACTTTTACACATCTTGTCGAAGAGCTAGTTGCTGAAATGATTATTAGGATTTGCCCCGGCCTCCATTTTGTGGACATGGCGCTGTTCATCAACTTCGCCTCGATCTTACACGTCTTCAATATTGGCCCTCCGGTGGACGAAAATGACGCTGTCTTGCCACTGAAAGCGGAGTTCGCAGAGACGAGCACCAACTCGTAAGTTCGCGCTATATCCATATTCCTGAGCGAAGCAGAGAAGCGAACCTTATGTGTTTACAGACGGCCCGAAGCGTTCGGATGCACCATTCGGCCGCGATCTCTCAACGCTGCGCAGCTCGTCCACTCTCTCGCAGAAGACGCGCGGTGATCACAGGACGCCTATGCGGTCTCGCTCACTCTGTTCCGCATCCGACGGAGGACCTTGTAATATCACTATCCACGGTCCGGCGCTCCGCTACCACTTTCTGTCGCCCAAGCCCCTTTCTCGTGTGTACTCCGTTCCCTCTTCTACCTCTCTCATTGTATATGCCGGACTTCCTTTGAGCACTGGTCTTGGCAAGAAGCGTTCACAGCGCTCCCGGCGTCCCTTGCCTATCCCCGCGCGTCTTCTTCCTTGTCATGTGCCGGACATGTCGGTCTCCGAACCCTGAGTAAATAATCGTATGCACGTTTCGGCCTGGTCGGGAAAACTACGGGTGCCTGGTGCCGAGCATCGAGTCACTTATATTGTGGTCTGATTTGATATTCTGGTGCGCCCAACTCTACTCTGCTATCATCATTGCAATGCTTATTCCCTCACTGTAGATTACGGAAATCCTGAATGAGTCGGCGGGGATGCATGCGCGCAGACATTGCACCCGATCGTTCTACGGCCCATCATTGAGCACGATGCCAGCTGCGCTCGAGACCACGTCGGACTCGAGACCGCGACGCACGTTTAAGTCGCGAAGCCTTTGCACTCCCCTGCAGCGTCTACCCTAGTGACATTTACAGTCACGAACTCAGAACCGCCGTTCGACGACGACGTCCACGGGCCTGATGTCATGTCGGAACGCGGCTCAGGATTGTTCGACAAAGAGTCTTCTACTCCTACGACTGGGTATGTGCTTCACTAACTGGCAGCCTTGTCAGACAGTTCATCGATTAACGTGATGATGTCTAAACCTGTCAGTGAGTTTTGTTGCGTTCTAAGTCACAAGAAGGTAGTTAATCTCCTGTACAGCTCATGCTGTTGATCGCTCAGGAGCATGGCACGGCTGTCAGAGAACGATCGCCTTCATAGAGCGGAGTATCTAGGCCTGGTCAACAGCTTCTCCGGGCTTTGACAGGCGTCGGGGCATTTTCCTCAGCTTGCTGATCAGGGACGAATCGGGATTTTAGCCAGCTGGGCCGGTCCCGCAACACGATGTCGATGAGGCCTTTACTGGTAGCGTGGTTCCTCGTCTCGACCCCGTCGATGCTAGGGTGGATATTGTCCATCGCAGAGCGCTTGGGGACCGATATCTTCATGTTTTCAAATTTCGTTCCGTCCGCGGCCTTCAAGCAAGTATGTGCTGATAGAATGATAGATAAATGGGGAATTATCGACCGCATGGTCGAAGCCATACCCCCCGTCGATGCACGTAGCCCCACATCATATTCAATATTTGACCGAGTTTGTACCTGCTTGGTGATTGTGTAAATATTGTCTTTGGCGCTAATCCGACACCGTTGCTTTCTGCCATCATCTGCTCAGACCGGCACCAGCTACTCACTCGTGCTTTCAGGCGGTATACACTCCTGGAAGTTTCCCATTTCTCGGGGAAACTTTGAGTTCGCGTCTTTGGCCTCACACACTGCAAGTCTCCAGTGTGCCGTGCCAGCGTCGTGATTGTCGCCCTGAGACGACTTCGTTTTGCTTCTGCGTGGTGATCGCGCGAAGGTGGACTAAGTATAATTTATGTCTTCTAGAGCTTGAGCTTGTCGTAAGAACGCGAAGTCGTTGGACCGGACCTGCGCACTGGTGGTTGTACACACGCACGTTTGCGTCAAGCACGGACGTCGCGACGTACGTACGAATACCCTCCTTTTTATGGTATCTGCATCTAATGCGATCGACGGTCTCATTCGTTCTTGTCAGATACTACCAATGCAAAGATGGCGCGCAATGCATGGCGGAGCCGCTGCTGGGATTTGACAGATCCGCCAAGGCTGCGAGCGATGGTTCTGCCATCCCGAAACCGCATCCAGGCCACAGAAGCAGACGAGCTGGGCGCACCTGGCACCTTTTAGGCCGTCTGACTCTGCGCGCGCCTCCACGACTGCAAGGTATCACCGATCGTGACGTCTTCTCGCCGGTGTCACGATCATCTGGGCTACACCGCTCGTTGGTACTACAAGCCATGTGCGCAAGCTACTCTTCGCTCGTCGTCTGGCTTTGGACACATGCGGGAGCTACCTCATTGTCAGTACCGCGTTCGTCGGACAGGAGAGGAGGTATAAAACACCTCTGTTCACTGACGAGGACCTCAGGAGTCGGACACATCCAATTCCAACGCAGACACAACCACCACTCACCTCCATCGACACCATGCGTTTCTTCCTTGCCATCCTTGCCGTCGCTCTCGGCCACGTCGTCAACGCCACTCCTGTCATCGTCGCTACCGAGTCCACTGGGGTGACGACCCTCGCCGCCTCCTTCCCCGTCTCCGAGTTGAGCATTGAGTCCAGCGTCCACTCGAACACCACTCTCGCGGGCCGGGCCCTCCACGGCCTTGCGGCGCGCCAGGAGTTCCCCGCCAACCTCCTTCTCTGCCCGACGCTCAACTGCGCGAGCTGCCTGTCGTTCACTACGCAGGCTCAGGCCGAAAACACCTGCTTCAACGCAGGCTTCGTATTCGACTCGGCCGCCATCAGCCAGCCGAGCAACCAGGGCCTCCCGTTTGCCGTCCTCGTCGGTACCCCCGGATGTGCCGCAGTCGCTCAGATTCCGACGGTCAATGAATGCTTCAACCTTAACGGCGGGCCCTTCACCACCTTCGCGTTCTTGCCTTGAAACTGACTTGTTCGTAAGTTTGTTAAAGCCGCTAAGTTGCCTAGGAGGCTTTACTAATTGATGCGCACCCAGGTTCAAACGATTGGCAAATCTAGGTCGATGGGCAGATGGAGCGAGGCGCCCCCGATGCTTGTGGGGTGGTCTGGTGGTTGGTGCGGTATAGGCGTCGCTTCGGTCGGGTGTGTATGCGGTTTATGGGTCCAACGGGGTTTCGCGAATCATATCTGTGGGCTTGATGTTGATTTTTCGAATCTAACCGGTGTCAGATTCACGTTGTAAGAGCACCTCCGCCGGCCATTTCGGAGACTGTTTGACGTAGGTTTCACTTGAACCTTTACCAAATGTGCTAATATGCGAGTATATCTCTCGGGTTTCGACTTAGCCCGAACATCCTGAGCTGTCTTGATTCATTGAGAGCTTTCCCCCTCCTTGAAGCGCGGCACGCTTATCTACGTCACATATACTTCCCCACGCGGCGCCCACGTTTTCCCTGCCTATGGTAATCATGGCGGATTCCTGTCGGTGTCATGGCCTCTATGTAAGCTATTTCCCTTGGTTCTAACCGTAGTCCGTGTGAGCATGCTGGTGACAGATTTACTCACTACTCGCCATCTAGCTTTTACGTGCATTTGTCAAAGCCGCGTTCGTCGGACTGGCATGTAAGTATAAAACACCTATCCACACTGACGAAAGACTCAGGTATCGTGCGCGTCCGGTTCCCGACACAAACATAACATCCCTCACGGCCGCGCACTTTCATCAACGTTGCACCATGCGTTACTTTCAAGTCTTTGCCCTCCTCGCCATCCTTCTCGGCTTCGTCGCCGGCGCCCCATCTATCGTCACCCCTAAAACCGCTGGATCCACCATCGCCGCCTCATTTCCCATCTCCGAGTCGAGCGAAGCCAGCACCCACCCGAACACGACTCTCGCAGGCCGCGCCCTTCCCGGCCTTGCGGCGCGGCAGGAGTTCCCCATTGACCTCCTTCTCTGCCAGACCGCCAATTGCGCCAACTGCACCACGTTTCCTACTGAAGGCCTCCCCAAATTCACATGCTTCAAGGCTGGCTTCACGTACATATCGGCCCTCATCAGCCAGCCGAGCGGCCAGGGCTTCCCGTTCGCCATCCAGGCGGCTACACCCAACTGCGGTTCGCGCTCTCAGCTCGTGGCGGTCAACGAGTGTTTCAATCTTTCCGGCGGGCCCTTCAACTCCTTTATATTGGAGCCGTAAAGCTTTCGGTGAGCAAGTCGTAGCCTTGTCAGGAGCTTGAAAACGTCTGGACTATTTCGCTTATCACTACGCACGTCCAGATCCAAACGTACTGAATCGGACTCGGATTCTGGTTGGAAGGGTGGTGGCGTAGCCGGGCATTCTTCCTGCTTGCACCGGGCTATGATGGCTCCTACGGTATGGATGTAATTTAGTAGCCGATCGTATATGTGGTTTGCAGGTGATATGCGAGTCATCATGATGTGGCGACTCCCCTGGACTGCAGTACAGTGTTGTGCACTGGCACATGCCGTGGACGCGTATATTCAAGGACAATAGTACTTACAAGCTAGCCAAGGTACTGATTCTACACCATCCGATGGTAGTTTCACTGGAAGCGTCTCACAACTCGCGGAAGCGGCGGCGGCGAGCTTGATGCAGACGCGAAGCCGATGTGAGTGGACGCTGGGCGGGGTCCGAAGGTCCGGATCTGCACTTGACCAACCGAGTAACGTTCCCATCCCCTACTGCATCCGAGAGCCAGGTGAGCTGTGGCCCCTTGCGTACGTTTCGTAACTATGTCCAGCGCCAGAGCTTCGCGGACGGTAACACCGATTTTGACGTGTTCTGGCCGGTTCCGTGGGCATACTGCTGTATTCGACAACCCTGCTATGTCAAACTTTTCGCGAGAGGTGCGCTCACATGATTTCGTGGAATAGCTCTGCGCGAGTGCATCGCTCGTTCAGTAAGGATCGTGGTCTTCGGAACGGCGAGGACATAAATCAGCTTCCTATATGTGGGCGCAAGAGTCGGGACGTATCAATCGCGTTCGTTGCAGCGAAGACCGCTACACGCCGCCCCAAACACTTCCGTCAACACCATGCACTACTCACACATCACCTTCGCCCTCACTCTCGTCGGCCCCATCACCAGCGCCACACCCATTACCCTCGACGCATCGACCTTCGCTGCTTCATTCCCTATCCGCCAGCTGAGCGTTCCCGGCACCGGCATGCGCCCGAATAGCACACTCCCGAGCCACGCCTTCCGCGCGCTCGCGCCACGGCAGGAGTTCCCTGCAAACTTTCTCCTCTGCCAGTTTGTCAACTGCCAGGGCTGTTCGTCTTTCCCTATTCAAGGGGAGGTCGAAGACACGTGCATTGCGCCGGAGTTCGAGTACGTGTCGGCCGCGATCGCCCAGCCGAGCAACCAAGGCCTCCCTTTGATCTTCGACGTGGGCACCACTGGTTGCCAGATGATCGCTACGATCCCGCAAGTCAACGTATGCTTCAACCTCAACGGCAATTCGAGTCCTTTCTACAGCTTCGCCATCGTGGCCCCGCCGCCGAATAACTAAATATCCGCCGCGAATGAGGTATGCTATGCGCTGTTGATGCTGTTTGTATTTCGCATTGACCAGCTCCCGCGTATATGGTAGAGCAACGATGGTGATTGGGCGCAATTGGCACGAGGGTTGAGGTGTCCTAGGCTGTAAAATAACGATGCATTTCTGTCAAGGCGCTCTTGGCCCTGCTCGTCGATGTGTGCATTGGCCGAGTCCGAGGCTCTTCTGGTACCTAAATCGCACTGGGAACTGGTCAATATTCTCCATAAAAGACGAGTCAATCCAATGCAGTGGAGTTGAGCTTGGCGTACATTAACGCCGATTTTGACGTCTTCTGGCCGGTGCCGTGGACATGCTGGGTCCAGCCCCTTGCTATGCCAAATTTTCCGTGGGAGTTGCACTTGGGTTCTGCAGCACAGCACGGTGCGCGTGCGCCGCCTGTTGTACAGTAAGCTTCGTGGTCTTCGGAGTGCCGAGGAAGCTAAATCAGTCTCCTGTGAGTTGTGCACAGAGCCAGGACGTACCAGTCGCGTTCAACGCAGCCGAGACGCCACACTCCTCTGACACAGTCGTCCAACCCATGTATCATCCACTCTTCGCCTTCTCCCTCGCTCTCGTCGGCCTCACCGTCACCGCCACGCCCATCTCCCTCGATGCATCGACTCTCGCCGCTTCGTTCCCCATCCGCCAGCTGAGCGCGTCCGGTGTGCGCCCGAACAGCACTCTCCCGAGCAGCGAGTTTCGCGCGCTGGCAGCACGGCAAGAGTTCCCCGCCACCCTGCTCCTCTGCCAGCTCGTCAACTGCCAGGGCTGCACGTCGTTCCCTATTCAAGGAGAGATCGAGAACACCTGCATTGCTCCGGGGTTCATATTCGACTCCGTCGCGATCAGTCAGCCGAGCAACGAAGGCCTCACCGATCTACTTTGCGACGTCGGCACCACCGGCTGCGCGTCGGCCATTGCGCTCCCCGCTGTCAATGTGTGCTTCAGCCTCAGCGGCGGTACTTTCGACGAGTTCGCAATCGTGACTCCGTCGCCGAGTGACTAGAGATCGGCCATGCGGGAGGTAAGTCATATGTTGGGGACGCTTTTTTGGACCTTTCACTAACTACTCTCCACGTACCCAGTAGAGTGACAATGGTAATTCGGTAGTTGTGGCAGGCGGGTTCAGGTGACCTGGGTTGGGTAATGATATTGCATTTCTGCCTTAGCGCTTTTGTTCTGCTGCTGGTTGCGTGCATGGGCTTCCCAGAGTTGTCCACGATACCTGTCGCCTATCGAGAGCTGGTCAATTTTTTGAATCTCCTCGTGTGAGAATTCAGCCACGGCAGCGACTATCGATAACGACAAGTTGGAACGTACGTTGCGATTGGTCCTTCGTGAGCATTCCGCACTCGAACGTTGGAGCTCGCACTTGTCCCTAGCGCCTGCCCAACAGTCGGATCTGCACGACGCGCCTCGGAAACGAACAGCCAACCCCAATTGCATCCGCAGGAGCAAGCGCGCGTTGAATATCATGATATCGGGCTGGTTTTGTTTGCACGCGGGCCCAGTGCTTCGTGGACGGTATCACCGACTTTGACGTCTTCTGGCCGGTGTCGTCGTCATCTAGGCTATGGCGCTCGACCAGATCACTTGCCATATAAAGGTTCGGTGAGAGAGGCGTTCATTTTGTGTGGGAACGGGCTGAGTATGTACAGAACCTGGGATGCACTCAGTACCGTGATCGTCGGGCTAGAGAGGAGGGATAAACTCACTGTGTTGGCGCAGAGGTCGGGACCCGACGACACGTCCAGTCACAACACGTCGCCACCACTGCACAATCCCTTGCACGCCGGCAGCCACGATGCGCACCTTCCTTCTCACTTTCGCCCTAGCCCTCTTCGCCTACACTGTCAACGCCACACCCGTCGTACCCGTTACGACGAACATCGCCGCCTCATTCCCCCGCTCCGCTCTCACCATCTTCGGCAGCCCCCCGACAGGCAGCACTCTTCCGGGTCGCAACTTCACCAACGTTCAATCACAGGGAGAGTTCCCCGCCGACATACTTGTGTGCCCGGGCACCGCCTGCACAAACTGCTCGGTGTTCGCCCTGGAGGGCCGGCCGCTCGTAACCGACTGCTTCGGGACGACGATATTCAACTCGGTCGCGGTGTTTCAGTCGAGCAATCAAGGGCTCCCGTTCTCCGTCCTCGTTGGGACACCCGGATGCCAGCAGGTTACACAAGTTCCCGCCGTCAACGAGTGCTTCACCGTCGGGGGAGAGATCGACGCATTCAAGTTCGTCCTATGAGTAGCAGGAGACGACTGTGGAGAAAGGCGGACGCAGGTATGACGCACTGCGAATATCATCTCAGTCGTCTCACTGAACATTGTGCACGTACAGCTTTCGGACAGGTCTGCTCGCGGGGCAAGTGGGGCGCTGGGTCCGGATATCCCTAATACTTGCGATGGTTGGCCTTCGCTTCGGCAGTGAATTGATTGTCCTGGTGCTCTAGTGGTTCCGTCGCGATATTGGACTGTGACGTATCAACGCTCTCAAGAGCCCGCTAGAACCTCTGTTGGCAGTGTCATGGTGATAGGCAAGTTTTGAAGGTCCAATTGAAACCTCTGAGATGGATTTCTCAGGCTACAATAACGAAGACAGAGGATCGTCTGGCCATGTGCGCAAGCTATGAATCGTGTTGAGCGAGAGGCAAGGACTCGTCCGGACGCAGACGCCCGACTCCGGTGCCAATATTTGGCGGTGCTTGTATTTGTTTGCGCGGCATAGACGGTAACGGCGCTTAATTGCAGTCGGGACTTGGAATCGTCGCGCGATGTTACCAGTCTCTCTCTCTCCTGCATATCCCGTCCGCTGTTCTGTACAACACAAGCGCGACATGCTGCTATCTGATATTTTTGAAAGCTTACCTCAGAAGGTAGGCGGTCGCAGGAACCGTCGCCGTGATTCCCGAAGTCGCTTCCTGCCGCAATAGTATCCTCCGTGATGACTGCCACGGCCGCTAGCATGATAAGTCGACAGGACGGAACGGGATATAGTACGCACAACTGGCAGAAGATTTTCCAGTCACGGTAAGCGCAATTAATTAGCCTGCATCCAACGGTGAGCACTCCAGAGCTCTCCCGGTAAGGCGACGTCTATGGAAACTGCAGGAGCGAACGGGACGCTCCATGCCATTCGCCGGTAAGTAATGGTATGTCTCTGTCGTGTATCACTCTTCTTTTAGCCATAATTCTTACAAGGATTTTGCACATTGTATTCCCCAGCGTGCCGGGACATGCGGTGATGCTCAATGGCAAGGCTACCGCTGCTTTGCGCATCGAATCCGCGAGCAAAGGAGTGCGCTGCGCCCTTCATGCCTGCTATGTACACTGGTCACTTATCAATATTGTAAGCAGGAAGCGAATACCTTCCCGTAACGCGGGAGTGAGCAGGACATTACTCTCTCGAGCAGCCATTCTAGGCATCGTGAAAGCTAGCGGCCGGGTAAGTCGGAGGCGGTTCTTATACTTTCAGCTCGATATACTCAACTTCTGGCATAGTAGAACCTCTTGAGCGGTATTTCCAAGACATCGCCTAGCACCGCAGGAAGATCCGCAATCCGGAAATGGTTTCCTCACAGAGGTGCCGGTGAAGGCAACGTACGTTGCTCGCACTACAACTCGAACACTAGGTGCGTCCATGATGTCTAGGACTGACGTCACTCTATTTCAGCGTGGGCAACCTTCCGCTTGACCGATTCAATACAAAGGTCCCGGGTTCGCCCAAGGCATCAGTACACAGTCTGCCCACGCGAAATTGACCCCTACCACCAATCGCTTCCTACCACCATCGTTTTCATCGCGCCATGCACTTCTCCTTTCAAGTCGCTCTCGCCCTCATCCTCTTTGGCCGCCGATCCATTACTGCCACCCCTGTCGACCCCGAGATTTCGACCATAGCTGCATCATTCCCCATCTCCACTCTGCGTAGGTTCGGGATCCACTCCAACATCACACTCCCGCGTAAGGACATCCCCGCGATAATCCGTGCGCGGCAGGACTCCCACGCGACTTTGCTTCTCTGCCCCTCCCCGAACTGCGTGAGCTGCTCTCCAGTCGACCTCGACAAACCCGAGTCCAAGTCTGTGTGCTACGGGGCGGGGAAAGAGCTCTCGTCGGTCGCCATCTCTCAGCCGAGCAACGAGGGCCTCTCGTTCGCCATCGCGGTCGGCACCCCGACGTGCGCAGATTTCGAGCAGATTCCGGTGGTCAACACATGCTTCAACGTCAAATAATGGTGGCAGATTCGGCAGCTGGAAGCTCATGTCCGAGTCGACTTAGACTCAGAACTGGCTGCGATAAGCCCGGGGTACGTTAGGTATCGTGAAATTCGTCTCATCGGGTATGCTTATACTCAATGTCTACAGGTTCCCGTCAGGCACTTGGCATGTATATAATTGTCCTAGTCTCGGAGTGTATCTCCGAGTAGCTACCAGGAGTAATTCGAGGTCATTCGGCGTATTCATGCTCAATGCTCGCTGGAGGTGCGGGCGCCATGTTTTAACCTCGTTCAACATCAAACGATTCCTGTGGTCGTCGGATGAGCCCCTCCGAGGCAGAGGTGAGCTTTTGTTCTGCAGATTTTCCGCAGTATGCTCACGAAGAATGTCAAGGGGCCGCAGAGATCGACTACTCTCACTCGCGACTCCCTCGCAGCGGCGCTGGAGGGCATAGACGGGCACATGCGGCTTCTCACAACTCGGATGCGGCGTATGAGTCCCGCGGTCATCGATCTCAAATTGGCATGACCGCACACCTGTCGAGTCGATGTCTACGGATGCTGATGCGATCTCCCGAACGTGACGGATAGTCCGTCTGTTGCTTACATCCCGAGGTAGAATGGACCCAGACATTGTCTCCTGGCGGTGTGCTGACCGGAAAGCTCACCATATGCCGACGGAAACCACCACGTTTCGAAGTATGGAGGAGTGGGCATTCACCAAAAAGATTTTGTGAGTCTTGGATGAAGTGGCACTTTATCCCACACTTACAGAATCCTTACACCGCGGGCGGAACGTGGGGCATGCCACGCGGTCCAATTTGGTGCTACTGTACCCGTGGAGAACTTCCTACTAAAATGATCAGCGAGCAGGCCGTTCCCTCGCAGAGTGCCTGGCGCTCACGTACTCGATGCTGCAGACGCCGTCAGGATTCAATATTCACGGGCGCGTCCTGCCAATCAAACGTCGGCTTCGCCAAAGCCCTGATTAAGCCGCGCACAGGCACCATCGCTTTTTACATGCGCCCGGACAGGTGAGCCTTTCATTGATCTTCTCGGGCCTTTTCAATTGCTTGACATCCTTATGGCAGAACCGCATGGATAACAACTCCGCCTTCCCACTCGGCGTTATCTCCCGTCAGGACTGTGTCGGCGGAGCCTGCTACGGCCATCGAGTCTAGAGCTGCTGATACCTCATTAGATGCATACTATGTATGTAAGCCTCGCGTTTTCCGGGATGAGTGTCCGAACGGCATGAATACCCAGTCTGCAGATCATATAGACAGTCTTCCCTCTGGGACGAACACTGGTATACGCCTTACCACCCGGAACTCGATGGGCTACTCCTTCGCCGCCATCGCTCAAGTCGCTCTCCTCGCTCAGGCTGTCATCGCCACCCCGGTATCCACCGAGGTGTCCACAATCGCCGGCCCCCTTCCCCTCGCCGAGCTCGACGCGTCCTCCCTCGGGTCTCCCAGCGTCGCGCTCCCACTCGGCACCCTACGCCCGAGCGTGGGGCCACACCCAGACGAGATCGACATCGTGTTGCTCCTCTGCAGGCTGTCGGGCTGTCAAGACTGCAACCTCGTCGACCTCATGGGACTCAACGCGGATACATGCTTCGCGCAGAACTTCCAGTTCGTCTCTGCAGCCGTCATTCAGCCGAATGCGGACACCCTCCCGGTCAACACGACGGTATGCACGGCCGGGTGCACACAGTGCCTCGCTCTCCCGGCACTCAACACATGTTTCAACGTCGCTGGCTCCACATTCCAAGCCTTTGCTCTTCTTATCTGAGCTAGTATCAAAGTACGTCGTGCGCTAGGCCATAATCTCTCGCTTAGCCTGAGTTTCTCACACACAATCCTCTGCGTAGGCCCGGGGTCCTATCGTTACTACGAACGAAAGCAATGGGGATTCAAGTGGAGGACGCGAGGATTCTCTTGGGCTTTATGAACGGTTCTACTACTACTATGGGTCATTATGTGGACATTGGGCGAGTAGAGCGTATAAGACGCTGGCAACTAGCCTCTTCAACGTAATTTTTGTAACACAGGCGCGCTTCGGTGATTCCTGTTGGTTAAGTTCCGACATAGACGCGGCCCGAGAGGGAAAACGTAAGAGACACTAAGTGCGTAATATATTCTTAAGGACCCGGGCTTGCCGAAGTAGTGCAACCTCACGCTTGTCGTGAGTTATGAACAGTTATCCTACCTGAAGCTCCCATCGGACGCTGTCAGGAGCGGGCGCATCGTGCCAATCAGGCGTCGATTTCGCTATTCCCACTACGCCGAGAACAGCGGACCATTTTTACTACACCCGTACGCGCAGGAGAGCCGCCGCCGATCGTGCTTCTTGTACCTTTCATTTCTTTGGAGCGCCCCTTGCCATGTGCAACGGCAGAGCCATTGTTGGTGCAACTCCGACTTTTGACATCTCGGGATCATGACCGTGGAGACTGGGCCCTCACCGCCGCAGGAGCAGTACGTGTATGTTCGTAAGCTTCGTGTTGTCCGGGGTGAATGGTGCGGCATATGTTCCAAGTATCTGTGATCACGGTAAGTGATCAGAACGGAGTCGCCTCCAAAAGACCCCGCTGCATACCTCGAACTACCCGGGATAGCCACGATGCGCTACTCCCTCTCCGCCCTCGCCCTGACCCTCCTCGGCCGTCCTGTCACCGCCACCCCCGTCACCCCCGACCTGGCAGCGATCGCGGCCTCCCTCCCCATCGTCGAACTCGGTTCTCCCAGCGCCGCGCCCACTTTCCTCCAACAAGGCAGCTTGCGCCACAACACGACCTTGCACGCCGACGCGCTCGACCCCATACTACTCCTCTGCCCCGGGACGAACTGCCAAACCTGCACAGTCGTCGACATGTCGGGCCAGCTCACGGACACATGTTTCCTGGCGGGTTTCACATTCGTCTCCGCTGCGGACGTCGTCACGAACCAAGTCCCCCTCCCGTTCACTCCCGGGGTAGGCACATCGCAATGCGCCAGTCTCCTCTCGCTCCCGACGGCGAACACGTGTTTCAATATCGGCGGTGGCCCCTTCAGCACGTTCGCTCTTCTCGACTGACACGAGACAAGGGGTACGCAGTATGCCGCCATTCTTCTGCCTCAATTTCGGGACAAGCGGTCACTCACAGTTTTCCGGGTAGGTGTATACGTTCGGCTTGCATTGGGAGATCCATGGGCAGCATGACGGTTCTCTTGGACATTCTCTCGGGCGGTTCTGGGGCTATAGATCATCGGTTTGGCATAAACGGGGTATTCTGTGTGTAATATTTGCGATGAGTACAAGCACGACAAAATCTGGTATAGGCAATACGCTCAACGCTGCGTACCTCAAGCGCAGCCCTTTCGAGTGCGCCCGCTTTCTGGAAAAGATGCGTATAGGCGTTTGCGGACGCATACCCGAGCTATGATAAGTTAGCGAGGACGCGCCCTTGTTACCTCCAGAAATGTGGGGTGCACGCTTATGCCAGCTCGCGTACTCCACACGAATAACTCGATTCATTCCGGCTGTCATGAATCAGTCGGACTGGGAGTTACAGCGACGTACTGCGCATCCCCCGCGATACTCACGCCCTCCGCCCCCTTCTCAATCCGCGTCCCCAGCTCATCCAGCAGCCGCTTCAGCTCCTCCGCCTCCTCCACCAGCAGCCTTACGCTCGGCTCGCGCGGCACCTCCACCCCCTTCTCCTTCGGCGCGTCCTTCAAGCTGCGCTGCGCGACCGACTCGCGCACGACCTGCGCCCACGTCGTGCCCTGCTGCCGCAGGAGCGCCGTGAGCTCGTCCTTGACCTGCCGGCAGACCCCCGGGCCGCCATACCCGAACGACGTGTACAGCTGGACCGCGGACGCGCCTGCGCGCGCGTACTCGAGCGCATCGGCCCCAGAGGCGATTCCGCCGCAGCCGATGAGCGGGACGGAGGCCGGGAGGAGGGCGCGCAGGGTGCGCAGGGTGGCGAGCGCGTATGGCTTCAGCGGGGGCCCGGAGAGCCCGCCCTGCTCGAACTTGTTCGCTGCAAGGCTTGTCAGCGCGGGTTGCCTGAACGGTGGTCGGCGCACGTACGATCTGACACGCCCGTGGGGCGCCGCACGGTCGTGTTGCTCACAATCACGCCGTCCACGCCAGAAGTCGCGAGTACTGCAGCGGCTATGTCCGCGACCTCGGTTTCGGTCAAGTCGGGGGCGATTTTGAGGAGGATCTTTGGTCGACGGCTGTGTGCTGAGGCGGTAGTGACTTCGTCTCGTGCAGCTGTAACCCCAGCAAGCAGTTCTTGCAGCAGAGAGCGACTCTGCATGCCTCTGTACTACGCGTGAGGAGCATTTCGTATTGAAGGTCGGCGAGAAACATACCGGAGCCCAGGGGTGTTCGGACTCGACACGTTCACGACCAGCGCGTCGGCGTACGGGCCAAAAGTGCGCACCCCAGTGACGAAGTCCGCAATGGAGTCCGGAGGGGAAGACTTGTTCTTGCCCAGGTTCACAGCGAGCAACTTGCCCGGATATAGTGACGCGTGTTGCGCGCCATGGAGAGGGTCGTCCGCTTCCGCCGCCGAGGAATAAGGAAGGAGCGACGGGAGCCGTGCACGAAGGCGACCGAGCAGGGCAGCATGTCCGTCCGACGGGAACCCATACCGGTTGATAAGCGCGTCGTCGTTTGGCAGGTGAAACACGCGGGGCTTGGGGTTGCCCGGCTGAGGCTTTGGCGTAACGCTACCAATCTCCACCCAGGAGAAGCCCAGGTTGAACAGGCCTGAAACCAAGGTCACAAACGCGCGTAAAGACAGGTGGAAACACGCGTACCGTCGATAGCTTCGCCGTTCTTGTCAAATCCGGCTGCCAGGCCGACCGGGCTGGAGAGCTCCTCACCCCAGAGCTGAAATGCCCTCCTCGTCTGCATTGTGTTTCCACAAGGGCCTGAAGAGAGTACGTACCTCGGATTTCAAAACCTCGTCATCCGGAAAGGAGTCGCGGGGAGCAAGGCCGGACCCAAGCACCCTGACCGCAAGCCGGTGGCCTGCCTCAGGATCGAGCGTGTAGCGTAGCACCGGGGTCACGATGTATTTGTGCAAGGACGCGCGGCAGTCGAGGTAGTAGACCGCAAAGAGACCCGTTGATACCACGAAGAGTGAGGCATAGGCCGCTGTAGGAGCGTAGGAAGGTGCAGGTTGTTGAGCCGCGGACGACGCAGCACGGCGAACAGCGAATCCTGACGATAGTGGGTGACGGGGAAGTGCGCGTGCAGACGCAGTGCGAAGCATCGCGTTCACGAGAAAGCCAGACGACGTCCTCGGCAACGACGGCGTTGGGTAGAGTGAGGGGAAGTGTGAGAGTAGTGTAACGCCAGACGAGCGCGGGTCCGGGAGTAGGTTGGCGAAACGGAGAAAAAGTAACTCTCTGTCGGGGAATCGAACCCCGCTTTCGCGCGCACAGGAAAGTGACAGGCGCGTGTACTAACCGATATACTAACAAAGACTTGTAAAGGAGACCTTTCTGAAAGCTGGAATCTGCTTAGCCTATTTTTGGTAAGGCCTGCCACATGTCTACTGAACGCCAGCGTATCTCCGGTGGCTTATGATACCGCCATGCCGCGCGATGGAGCAGCATATACGCCTACATTCTTCGGCAATTGATGCATAATGGACCTTTCAAAATCACCGCTCATCTGTTTGCTCATGCTACTGAGTGAGCCGCATCCCATGTCTCCGGCGATTACGACTCCGGAGGACAGTTTACCGGCTAAACATTAAAGTCATGCATTTAAAATGTGCGCACCGAAGGAGCTGGAACCAAAAGGTAGTGACGACAGTGGGATTCGAACCCACGCCCTTTCGGACCAGATATGCGAGCGTATGATCAAATCCTGCAGGATGAGAGAACCACCTTAGTCTGGCGCCTTAGACCGCTCGGCCATATCGCCATATAGGCCTACTTGTCTGGCACTCCAATGTGAATCAACGAGGAGAATTTCAATAGGACAGGTTAGCGTCAGACGATGTGGCTGGGGTGGACTGAGATCAGGATTACATTAAGGTCAAGCAATTCTTGGCCCTAAGTGATGATTTATTTCATCCCCGGGAGCATCTACTAGAGTATTTTTAAGCCAGATTATTGCTCTTTGTAAAGGGTCTGTCTCCAGCACCATATAAGCGGAAGTATCACCGCGGTGTTGATGTTCATTTGAGTCCACTGCCAGCGACGTTTTCTACTCCTTCGTGATCAGTACTCAGTGGTCAACGTTGGGCCAACGGTGGAAAGAAGTCATTGCAGCTCCCTTATAATATCATGATATTAAAAGGCCTTCTGTTACCCGCTCTAGGCTACTTTGTGTAGCTTTGTGTGAGCCAGCGGAAAGAAAGGGAGAAAGGTTCGTACGACGGCGCCATTCATCATTACCATATTGAGCGTCGCACCAGAGGCTCGGGTTAGGGCCTGGGCCGGACGGCATTCCACGTGACTAAACACGCCCATGTTTTCGCGACGGTTACCGCGATGCAGCGCTCCTCTCTCCCCGTCCTCCCTCCGCCTCCCCCCGCCCTCCTCGATCGTGTGATACTCCCTCGTCTCGCGCCCAAAACAACTCTCGTATTCTGCACGTATGTCCGAGCAGCCCCAGTACGGCCTCCTACTTCCCCCCGACTCGAAGAGGCGCAAGGTCGAGGGAGAGGCACCCGACGCGTCGCAAGCAAAAGGAGACAGGATGAAGGGTGGGCTGGATAAGGCAAAGGCAAACTATGTACGTCGCGTCATTACGCACTCGAATTCATCTAAAGGGGGGAACATCCGATAGCTCTCCGGCCAACTCCGTCTGCGCCTGCAATACGCGAGACTGAAAGTCGAGCATGGATGGGTATGTACGCGTTTTGAGCTCAAGTACCGCACGACGTTCTCACGCATATCTCAGCAAAGACAATCACTGAGCGAGGTTGAGAACCTCTACTTCCGACATACGCACCTGACGCGGCCGTATCCCGTCATCTCTCCCGGGGGCCGCCGCAATGGGCGGACTTTGTCTTCTACTGCCGCAGCAGCAAGTAGCTCCGTTCACCATCTCGCGTCGTCGACAGATGCGCATAATCTGGACGCACTAGCTTCACAAGGAAGCGCACATTTCGTCTCCGGCACTGGCACGGGTCTACGGCCCAACGCAAGCCTAGCGAGCACATGTAAGGCAACCTTACCCCGTATAACTGTGATCGTTTATAACTGGGATTTCATAGCATCCAGCTCGAGCATTGAAACTCCCGTGAACCCCTCCTTCCCGTCCACGCCCATCCTCGGCGGCGGGCGTACCGCGACCCCGCACGCCCCCCACATGGGCCTCGGCCACACCGTCACCCGCTACCCCGTTTCCCGCTCAGACTCAACAGCAACAGTGATCATCGACTCCGCTCCAAGCCTTCACGCTAAGCCGAGCCACCCCCCTCACACGACCCCCTCCACCCCCTTCCCCGCACACCTGGCCCCCCAACCGCCCACCGCGTCCCCGTTCCGCGAACCCTTCGACCCGATGGAGCCGACGGAGCACATCGACTCGCAGCTCGCCGCGCTCCGGTCCATGATGACCACCTCCGCCATGCCTATACCCCTCCCTCCTCCACAGGCCACGCCCGCCGCCGCGCCCCCATCTGGCGCCGCGCCCGTCACTGCCAGCCCCGGTGGCGGCGCGGGGCTCACGTACGACTCATTCTGGTCCTCGCACGCCTCGGCGACGTCGTACCGCGCGCTGCTTTCGAGTCAAGCAGGGTACCAGGCGTCCGCGGGGGACCGGCCGGCCCAGCTGCAGGCGTATGCGAGCGCGCCTGCTGCGCTCGCCCCTGCGTCGGCTGGGACGGCGGTGCAGAGCGGGTCGGGGGCACATGCGCGGCCATGACATGTCCGGGTTGCGACGTAGGCCTTTCTTTCGTATGGGCTTCGAGGGTTCGCGCGATGGTGCTTCACTGCTATATCCATACTACATGTACCGCACTCGATAATTAACTGCATCTCAATCACGACTGGAGACCTCCCACATTTAAATTTCCTTCTGCGTTCTATGGATCCCCGCAGCTTAAGTAGTAGGATGTTTTGTCGAAAGTATCGGACGAGACGCGGCGGGGAAGTCCGAGTCCGAGACAGCTTCCGAGAGTGCGAGGAGCTGAGAATCCGCGAGAGGCTAAAGACGTAGCTAGACCGAATGCGATCCAATGAAAATGACAATGAATAATGCGCTCTTAGATACTATGATAGATGTCCAGCCAAATGGCCGCACTGAGACTCTTAACATGCGAATCCCGCCGGCGCCTATTCCCCCTTGCCTCCTGGTCCTCCCTCCGAGTCTCCCTCCCTCTGCTTTTCGTCCTCCCTCATCCTCCTCTCTCGTCTCAACCCCTTCTTCCAGCGCAACATCAAGCAATAAAAGAACTGTCCCAGGGAGGATTCGAGCTTCCGTCTTCTTCCACAACGTGATGATCTAACCACTAATCGACAAGGACCGGGAGTAGTTGCCGATGTAATGATTTTCATGGGTTCTGGCGTTGTGGTATGAATATCATGAGATTGTGCTACTCCAGTGCCCGAAGTATACAACTAACCTTCGCCTCTCCACTAGATGACTATGAGCACTGCGTCAATGAGCTATCGTGCTCCAGTACCTAAGCCAGCAACTCCTCTCAGGCGGGCTCGCCGAGCCATGACGAATTTCCCCTTCGCAGGGTCATACCCCCACAGGTTCGAGTGAACGTCCCAACCCTTGTCCGTCAGCAACATGCTTCCCCCTGGCCTAGTAGTACCAGACTCCGGTAACAGGTACGCCTGCGCTTCGTCCTCGTCGTTCGGATCAAACACGTCGATGTCCAGGGTATAGACGTTGTCCCAGGTGCGCGGCGCGCTCTCCGCCCACTGCTCTGGCCCTGATGTGCAGGGCCCGGCTCGGCCTGAAAGCCCCGGCTTGGGCCCGGCTTGGAGGGCTCGGGCTCGAGAAATACTCAAGCCGGGCCCTCATTGGCGGCTCAGGCTCGCCTCGGGCCCGGCTCGGCCTGAGCCCCGGCCTGCGAGCCACCAGGGGGGAGTCTGAAAAAACGCGTTATAAGTGAGTTTCAGAGCTCGAAAAAATCTCGCAAGTACAATTTACTGACGATGGTCGGGCGCTTACAGAGCACCTACCAAGCCGTCGTCGTTGACGGCCTGGGGGCCCGGCTCGGGCTCACGAAAACTCAAGCCGGGCCCACAAGCCCCAAGAGCCCTCTAGCAAGCCCGGCTCGGCTCGGCCCACTTGGGGCCCGGCTCAAAGGGCTTGACGGCCTGAGGCCGGGCCCGGCACATCACTAGGCCTCTGGGGAGGGACTGAGCGTGAGCCGGACGGCCTCGACGGGGCGCTGCGCTCCTTCAACATAGTGGAAGAAGTCCTTGGACGCTGCCGTGCACGACTCGTCGTCGAGGAGCCAAGTGTGACTGTTGACGTGATCAGGATGGTCGATGTCGTGAACAGCCGTTCTACGGGACAAATGCCCTCCTCCCACCACATCCTGCACCGAGTCGGCTCTATCAGTCGGACCGGATTGGGGAGTGGAAGTCTGAGAAGAGTGCGAGTTGTCCCCAGGGCGAAACTCCACAACGGCTCGCATCCTCCCGTGCGGGTTCTCCCCTGGATCGGAGGTGCATGTGCAGCTGTCAAACTCGATGCAGATTGTGGAGGAATCGCCTTTGGTCAATAAAAACCTGTGTATAGGCGGCGTCTCTGCCGGGGTCTGTGAGGGTTCGACGACGCATTGCACTGTGAATCCCCCGTCCTCGAGCTCGCGCTTACGCCAGTCAGGCAGGATAATGTTGTAAGTCGAGAATGGATTGTTCGAAGTGTTAGAGGACGGCGCCTGAGTCCACGGGCTGCTTGTCATAACACGAGTTGGCAAGTATACCTCGGCCACTTCGGGGGGACCCCACTGAGAGCGAACTTCGTCCGTCAGGGGCACAGTACGATAGACCGTGTCGGGAGCGTCGTCTAAGGTTATACCGATGTAGTAGCCGTTAGACATCCAGGTCCGGTTCGCATGGAAGAAGAGGCCGACGAGATTCCCATCGCCGCCTACGCAAGAGAGGACGCCGATATGGATGGAGTTTTCAGCATCTTCAAGAGGAGGTAGGAGGGGAAGTCGGGTCCGGATGCCATATCCTGTGGACGTATACTCCGGGAACGGAACAGAGAGCCCTCCAAGCCTTTCGGCCAGTGACAGGTGCGATTCGGGCTCGACATCAGCAGAGGCAGCAAAGTCGTGCGGTGAAGACGCGAACAGGTTCCGCTCTCGCGGCAGTACGTTGTCGAGCGTGAAGAACTCGCGCGCAGGTTTGATTCGGGATGGGTGCGCGGTAGGACGCAGCGCTGGCCCCCACGCGAAGATCGTCTGGTCCGGTGCCTGCTTCAAGATCTCCTCTTGCAACCTCGCGAACGCATAGCGCCCCTCGCCGTAGATCGTGGGCATCATGACACCGAAAAGGCCCATGAGCGAGTACGCTTCGTCCTCCACACGCGTGGTGACGCGCGTCGCGGCCCATGACATGCGGCGCGCGACGCTGATCGTGCGCAGGGGCGTCTGGTGCAAAAGGACCCCGCGGTCGATGCCCGTCACCTCCTCGATTACGGTCGCGAGGCTGCTCAGTGTCCCGAGTGGGCGCCACTCGCGCGAGAGGAAGACGACACGAAGAGGCGCGACGAGCTCTTGGAGCGTCCAGCCGCGCGTGAACCACCTGCTTCTCCGGAATTGTGAGCCAGGGGCGCGAGGGTCCTCGTCACTGGGCACGTCGTAGAGGAATGCGTAGCAGACCGTCGATTGCTCGTACCACTGGTACATGGAGTTGATCGCCTCGGAGAGCTCGGCGCTACTCGATTTGTCGATGCAACAGGAGTCGATCCAGAGCAGATCGTACCCGTTCTGACGGGCATAGACGCAGCAGTCGCGGATCTTCGCGGAAACGAGAGAGAGCAACGGTACGGGATTTGTGTCGGCGTTCTGGGGAGACCGCTGCAGTTGCTTGAGGATCCGCAGGACGTCCTTGAGCGACTGCTCCCCTTTCACGTCCCAGACGTGTGACAGGATCGCGTACCGCACCGTCGTGGGATCATGATGCCATTCGAATGCACCCGTATGGGTGTTTAGCAACCGCATTCGACTCGTTTACGACGGCACACTGCACCGACCTCGCAAATCAGTGGATTGCGTGTATTGTGGGTGAGTTTCCACATACCTTGACATATGTTTTTAAAGAGTTTCATGAAATGAATCTCAGCTTTCGTGGTGTTTAGGCAATGAAGGCACTTCGGAGAGGGATGAACATGGATCGGAAGAGAGCGAACAGGCGCCAGACTCCCTGTACCAAGGGGCAGCACAGCCTCCCACTATATCCTCACGGCAATCTAGATTTCCGTCAGCCTTTGAGCCGCACGATCAAACAGCGTTGGCCTTCATCCGCGCGGGTCGATGCGTATTTTCTCAGTCGTCTTGTTTTCGGGTCATTGCACCAGTACTCAGTACTAGAGATTGGCCAAGATGGAGATATCGAGTTTGAGGTATGTGAACGGAGGATACATAGCCAAGCCTGTTCCGCTGACGACTCGGAGGCGTTCACACTGTATAGGAGAATACTGCCGAAGCGGCCGTGGATTACGAGGATACCAGGAGGGTACCACCACGCGCACCTAAGCATTCGCGGTCAATGCGATAGCGGAGCGCGGCGACCTTGGTCCTTCAGTGTGCAGCGTCCCGGCGCACGCGCACGGTGACGTCAGGACGATGCGACGCCAGCCAAGGTGGGCATGTCCATGCGAAGCTCCGTGGTCCATAGCACGCCCCCTGGCCAGGACCAAGCGGCGCGTCCCCAGAAGCATATATAAAGCAACCTCGCGAGCGAGAGAACTCATCAGCACATCCACCCTCCACACCCCACTCACAACCGTCTCAACCTCAACTTCTCCCCTCGACATCACCCAGCTCGACGCCAACGACGACAATGAGCACGAACAAAGGCCGTCCGCCGGGCGCGCGCAGGAGCGCAGACTCGTATGACAGACAAACCTCTCAAAGCATTGCTATCTCTCCAGAGACAACGTTAACGTACGTCGCGCGCCGCCCCCGCCCTCCCCGTCTCCCTCGAGCAGCGCACTGACTTCCCCGCGCACACAGTACCAATCACAATCACACTGATTGTGGTGCATCACAGCCCACCCCCACGTGTGGCGGGACCAATCCCCAGCGCGCTGTTCACACAACCGCCGCCGCCGTCCACGCCTGCGCACAGACAGCTACAACCTTCCGGGGCGCGTGGTGCTGAGGCACTCAAGCTTCAGGCAAACGGTGAAGAAGTCGGAGCCGATTGTACGGGTGAAGAAGTCTGAACCGTACGAAGCAGCGGTCAAGCACGAGCCGGTGGCGAAGTGCAAATCGGTGGTCAAGTCCGAACCGGCGCCGAAGTACGAGTCGGTGGAAAAACTCGAACACACGTCCTCGCCACCATCGGGACCCCTTACCAACCGTTTCCCTATCGCGATCGCGGGCAGGAGCTTGGTCGATATCAGCTCCCTTCTGACGACGCCGCCCCATATCCTGAAGAAGCAGATCCCAGCATACACGCTGAAGTCTATACACGGCTGCGGGTTCTCCGTGATTACGCTCAGGGTTTATGTACGCTCCCCTGATCGCGCCCTGTGGCGAACGTGGCAGGGAAAGATGGTTCTGACGCAGTGCCTTTCTAGTGGCCAGGATACGAGGTTCTGAACTACAAGCAACAGGTCTGCGTGGCGGGCAGGACCGACGGAGACATTGCGCGTGATGTCGCACAGGTGTTGGTGGAATTCATGAAGGTCAGTGTCGCGGTAGCGTGGTGGAACCAGAGCTCACAGATGCATTCAGAGCGCACTTGTCTCACCGTGTAGTGCTGCACAATTCGCGATCACCCCAACCTCGGGGTACATGAACTTGGAGCGCCTATGCCTCTGCGCCATCCATCAAGTGAAGAACGAGGGCGAAGAGTGGATGCTGATCAGGGCGTCGTTTTTTCTGTAGGCCGATGCCTCCGAAACGTACATCGACTCCTCCGGCTCATCCACATGGATGCCTCCACAATGGTCATCCATGCCTCCTGGGGACCCACGCGCTCCCAGTCCCACAACATAGCGTGGTCCCTAGTAGTACCGCCGTAAAATTGCGGGTTTTGAATTTAATGCACTTGTGCAACTTTGTTTTGTCTCCCCGCGAGCATGCCCTCCGTTGGATAGACTTATGTTGGATAGACTTATGAGGAACTTGCGAAGAAGAGCAATACAATATCAGAGGTGACAATGATTATAAATATAGAAGTAGAGCAAAAGCAGGCGTCGATAGCAAAATAGTAGATGAAGTCCAGCAGCAAGTGTGGTGTTTGGTGAAGTAAGATACTTGCATGTGAGAAAATTGCCACCGATGGAAATAGCGACCAAAGAGAATGACAAAGTGCATGTCATTATGATGAAGCCGACACTACATGACATCGTAGTAAGTACTGTACCTCCAGGACCAAAGCGGCGGGGGGTTTGGGGTGTGACCGGCCGGACACGACCGTCCAAAGCGGCGCGACCGGCGGTGCCTGTGACCGCCCGGTAGGCAAAGCGGCGCGGGGCCCCGCAGGGCCGCCAAAAACGCCTTTTTGGAGAGTGACCGGCGTCGGCTCGCCGCCGCTGAAGCGGCGGGGGCGACTGTGACGCGGGACACACCCCCTAAAGCGGCGCGGCGGAGGTCGCTGTGACCTGTGACCCGCCGCTTTGGTCCTGGAGGTACAGTATGCTACATCGTCGTCCCCGAAGGGGACATGCATCTCGGAGGTTCGTCACGTAACAACCAATCCCGTATCCAACTCGTCAACACCAGGCATCAACCCCACAGGCAACAGCTTAATCATAAGTAATAAATATCCTCCCCCGCCGGGACTCCCCGTCCACACGAACCGCATCAGCAGCGAGCCGACGCGGCCGTCGTCCATCACCCACCCGCAAGATCCGCCACACGCGCTCAGTCCTCCGCGCAGTCCACGGCGCCCCCAGTCGCAGAGTTGTCGCCACCCGCAGCGGCGGCACCGCCGGTCGCCTTGGGCTGCTGCGTGATGTCGACGAGCTGCTGGCCATCGGGGATCGGGCCGGCGGGGTTCGCGGGGCACGAGCCCGCGGGGCTGACGGGCGCGGTGAGGCCGAAGGGGATCGTGCCCGGGGCACCGACCGCGAGACCGCCGACGAAGGTGGCCTGCGACGCGCCCTGGAACTGGCACTGGAAGAGGCCCTGCAGCTCGGCGTTCTTCGGCGCCTTCTGGCAGTACACGACGGCTTGCGATGTGGGCTATATGCGGAGCAGGGCATCAGCATTCGGATTCGGAATCAAAATCAACGACGACAGATTGTGTCGGAAGAAGAAGGGAAGACGGGTACGTACCGTGTTGCGGGGCTGCTGAGCAAAGATCTGTGCGAGCCTGATCATGTCCGCATCGTTGTTGAGCTGCTTCGCGAGGTCGACCATTGCGTCCGCGGAGTCCTGCTGGGCGCAAGGGTCTGCCGCCGCGAGGAGCGTGCTGAACGCGGTCACCGCGATCGGGTTGCACTTGTCAGCGCCACCGGCCTTGGTCTGCATCAGGATCGAGCGATGAGCACATGCGTTCCAAGGAGAAGTCACTGATGGTACGTACGCAAGCATCCTCCCAGGGAGTCGCGGACGCGACGGTGTCCTGCGCAATGCGCTTCTTCATCGCGCCGCGCCGTTTCTTGACAGCGCAGGTAGACGCAGGGGGCGCAGCCGCAGCCGATGATGCCACCGCAGTCGTGGCGGCAGGAGGCGCGGCGGACGAGGCAGCGGGGGGCGCGGCGGCAACAGAAGACGCAGCAGGAGGCGCGGCGGCGCTGGATCCGCCCTTGACGTTCGCGAGACCGGGGTCCTGGGTAATGTCGCTGAGCTGCTGCCCATCGGGGATGGGGCCGGTCGGGTTCGCGGGGCACGAGCCAGCGGGCGAGAGAGGGGTGGTCTGGCCGAAGGGAATGGTGCCCGCCGCGCCGACCGCAACGCCGCCGACGAATGTGGTTGCCTTCGCGCCCTGGAACTGGCACTGGAACAGGCCGTTGAGCTCTGCGTTCTTCGGCGCCTGCTGGCAGTACTGCACAGACTCGCTGGTGGGCTATGGTATCGCAGACCGTTATGAGGCGGAGGTAGTCAACGAGATGAAATGTATGACATACCGTGTTGCGCGGCTGCTGGGCAAAGATCTGGGCAAACTTGATCATGTCCGGATCATTGTTCAGCGTCTTGGCGAGCGTGATCATGGCGTCCGCAGAGTTCTGCTGGTCGCAAGGTCCGGCGGCGGCGAGCAGGGTGGAGAAGGCAGTAACGGAGATGTTGCTGCACTGGTCCGCGCCACCAGCTGCGTTCTGTAACGCGGCCAATCAATGTCAGCGTGTGCGGGCCTGGGAGGAAGAGGAGGTACTCACACAAGCAGCCACCCACTTCTGGGTGGAGGCAGAGATCGTCTGCGCAATCCGCTTCTCGAGCGGGACTGCGCTCACAGCAATCGCAGAGAGAGCAAGGACGAGGGATGTGGAGAAGTTGACCATGATGAAGGATCGTGAATGAAAAGCTGAGGGAAAACGCTGCCTGAAAATGAGGAAAATAAAGTGAAGAACGAGTCCGAGCACAGCTCGAAGGAAACAAAGACTGGAAGAGAAGACGAAGAGAGAATGAGGACTCGGACTGGGCGCAGCCCGAGGTTTATATATCACCGCAAGGCGGAGGACCCATGCCGCATGTGTGATCTCCTCTGTGAAACATAGGTAATCCCGATGCTGTGCGTAGAGACGCTACGGGCGATCAAGACAGAGCATTAGGGAGCGAGTGTAGTTACAGGCTGATGAGGGGCGGGTGCGTTGATGGAGGTCGCCCTGTAGGCTGTGTGCAGCGCAATGGGGGTTAGATCTGGAGAGAAAACACGGTCATGTGGGCGTGTACTTGCCTCACCGTGACGGAGTAATCGTCTAGCCCATAGATGGTAACGATGCTACTAACAGTGTTTTAGTGATATCTCCCCTCATCTGTTTTTACTGCGCAAGCTGTTCAAGGGGCGACGGAGGCGAGCGTTGCACATGGCTCCAGAGACCGAGGTCACCGTCGTTGCCAACGCCTAGGCATCGTCGTTATTTTTGCTTTGAAGATGGATTGTACCTCTTTAAACTTTGCTCTGGAGACTGTAATATTGGTATCGGAAAGCTGCCCGGTAAGCACCATCCGAGATGCTACTTACCACGTCCACTGGCCCAACTTGACTCGACGCCACATTAAGTTGATTAAAGATCATTGAGTGATGTGCACATGCCACCTGGAGGTATGGATTCCTACGCGGCGCGTGTCTGCTGCTGTCGCTTTGTAAAAGACCCAAATTTGTGAGTGTTGAGCGAAGAGGGAATCGGATACTTGATTGCATGGATCTAAGAGCTCGGCGTCGTTCAACAAACTGTTAGTAGAAATGACACCACCAAAAAGGGGGCCTTTACTAAGAAGGGGCCAATGGGGAATTGAACCCGGGACCTAGCTGCTGCTTGCCCTAAGCGCTCGCATTGAAGCTCGGTGGCCCGCCAAGTTGCCGCCAAGCCTCAGCTAATTAGCACCTCCTCCTACCTCCTCCTCCCGACGTTGGACCTCTCAGACTCCAACGCACCGTCATTCGCACTCAATCATGGTATGCCTTTAGCAGAACCTGAAATTACCAAACGATCCTCATACTCCACAGTTTGGCGATATCGAAGACCTGGTTCTCTCTGGCAAGCTCTTTGCCCCGGCGTCCCGCTCGAACTCCCCCGTCCGCTCGCGATCGCCCTCGCCCGGCCCCGCACCATGGCCCAAACAAGGAGAGGACTTCGACTACGACTCCGATGCAGAGCGCCGCGCGGAGGTCGAGGCGCACATCGCGTCGCAGCAGCAGCCAGACTCCATCGGCATGGGCCCCGGCCGCACCGGCGTGAAGGGCGTCATCCGCGACCGCGCAGAGGCCGAGTCGCTCGCGCGTGCAAAGCGCGCCGAGGAAGTGAAGGATCTCAACCGCGCGATGGAGAAGGCGAGTCTGGGCGGGAAGACGTGGGCGGAGGAGGACAGGGAGCAGCGCGCGGAGCTCGCGCGGCTCGAGGGCCCCAGTGTGCCCAAGTCCGCGCGCGGAGGCCGGTTTGGACATCTGCGGGAGGTCGGGGTGCGCAGCTTCGTGCAGTCGGTAGAGGAGGGCCCCGACGTGTGGGTGGTCGTGCACATATATGATCCGGTGCGTGCTAGCATCTGTGGCGGGACCGCGTCTTGCAATGCTCACTTTCCGCGTTTGCAGTCGTTGGATCGGTGTGCTGCTGTGGACGAGACGCTCTCCCGGCTAGCCCGATCCTATCCCTCCACGAAGTTCCTACGAGCACGCGCCGGTGCGATCGGCTTTGCCTCGTCCGGCTCGAGGCCTAGCGCGGGTCCCGTTTCCTCACTCAATGCATCGCGTCTAATGTCCCAACAACGAGGCGTACCAGCACGACGAGACGATCACTCCGACGACGAGGATGAAGATGAAGATGACGAGCGCGGGGACGCCGACCAGTGGGAAGACGACGAGGTCGACACCGATGTCCTCCCGACCCTTCTCGTCTACCGCGGCGGTGATCTCGCACACTCCTGGGTCCGCGTGGACTGGGAAGCCAAACAGGGCCTCGAGGAGTTCCTGAAAAGGTGCGGTTGCTGCGCCTTCCCACCTCCTGCGCCTTACGGACTATGTTTCTAATACACGTCTCCTGTTCGCAGACATGCCATCCTCACGTCTCCCCGGCACTATGGTGGCGTGAGCGCAGGAACCGCGGGCGGCTCCGATGACGACGACTTTGACGATGGGGAGCTCGTATTTGGGAACAGCGATGACGAGCGGTGAGCTTCGCACCGTCACCGAGCAGGTCTCAGACACATTTCCTCTCGGATATATCTGATTATGCTTGCTGTTCCTGGTGGAAACATACCCTGTCGATGCATACGCTACTGATTCTGCTTCCATCCTGCATTGTATACTAGATCGCTTCACATAGACACAGAATACAGATCCTGTTGACACTAGCCTGACCCACGGTGAACGTAGCGCAGATTTGGTGGGGCACTTGGTCGCCGTCGTTGGTGTCTGTTGTGGAGCATGCGCGAGAGCGAGAGAGGCTGACACACAGAGACGGATGGGGAAGACAATAAAGCATTAATGTATAATATAGCGCAGAAAACGAGCATCGACGAAACAAAGCGAGCAAAATCGGGATGAGCAACAGAGCGACACGTAGAGCAAGATGCGGGATGCGGGATATGACAGGAACGTAGACGAGACACAGGTGCAGACGCGCAGAGGGAGACTCGGGGATGGGATGGAAGTGATCTAGCGCAAACGGGAGCCCTACGAGATCTCGAGCTCGATCGTGAAGTCCTCGCCCTTCACTTGATGGATGGCGCGGAGGCATAGGCGTTCCAGGTTCATGTACCCCGAGGTTGGGGTGATCGCGAATTGTGCAACACTACACGGTGAGACAAGTGCGCTCTGAATGCATCTGTGAGTTCTGGTTCCACCACGCGGCTACCGCGACACTGACCTTCATGAAGTTCACCAACACCTGCGCGACATCACGGGCGATGTCTCCGTCGGTCCTGCCCGCCACGCAGACCTGTTGCTTGTAGTTCAGAACCTCGTATCCTGGCCACTAGAAAGGCACTGCGTTCAGACTATGTCTCCAGGCCACTTTCCCCACAGGGAGTGATCGGGGAAGCGTACAAAAACCCTGAGCGTAATCTCGGGGAACCCGCAGCCGTGTATAGACTTCAGCGTGTATGCTGGAATCTGCCTTTTCAGGATCTGGGGCGGTGTCGTCAGAAGGGAGCCGATATCGACCGAGCTCCTGCCCGCGATCGCGATAGGGAAGCGACTGGTGGCGGGTCCCGGTGGCGGCGAGGACGAATGCTCGGGCTTCGCCACCAACTCGTATTTCACCGCCCGTTCGGACTTGGCCACCGATTTGGACTTCGCCACCGGCTCGTGCTTAACCACTAGCTCGTGCTTAACCACTGCCTCGTGCTTGACCACTGCCTCGTACGGTTCAGACTTCTTCACCCGTACAATCGGCTCCGACTTCTTCACCGTTTGATAGGACTCGTACTTGAGAGCCGATACATAAGGCGTGAAGGGAATTAGCATAATGAATAATTGAAGAAAAGAGGCAGACCGAGGGTCTCTGTCGGACGAGGAGCCACAAGCGGAGAGGACTCGAGAGCAGACGAGGGAATTTTGTGGCGAACAGAAGTCCCCGAAATTTCACATATATATCAGGGGCACATAGCTGGTGGGCAAAGCGGCGGGGGACCTTGAAAGACATCCAAAACGCATAGCCCGACGGTGTCAATGGGGTTCTTTGAAAACGGGGTAGAGCAATGCGGCGGACCAGGTCAACGTGTGGCAGTGGACAGTGCGCATGGTCCACAGCACGACGCACGCTTGGATAGACTTCACATACGGGTGCTCGAGGGGCGGGGGAGGCGTACGCGAGACAAAGCTGCAGAGGTATATCCGCCGCACGGCGCCTGCCAAAGCGGACAAAGCGTGAGCGCGTAGTCTACGAGGGTATCAAAGCGTACACATCACTCAGCTTCAGTGTGGACATGTCCCTGCGAAGCATATCGCGTAACGGCGTGGATAGAAGCTAGACATCCAGGAGCCCCGCAGCACAAAGCAGCGTGTGTTTGAAGCTGCCACTGGGTGCCAGGTTACAGGAGCGTACTGATGTTGCTTAGTCCCGCCTAGATCTGAGGCGAACGTCAATGTAGAAGCTTGCAGCAGAGATTCAGAGGATATAATTCGCATTGCAAGACATCCCAAAGAGACTTTGGCACGAGACGTAGCCAGGCAGAGCGTTCCGGGTACCAGCTAGGAGACCGAGGGGTCAAAGCAAGAGTTTGCCAAAGGAGATTTGACGACGTCGTCCAAGTTGGCGTACATCCCTCAAGTCTGTACTTGGAGACGATGCTAGTGAATCTCAGTGGGAGCGTAGCAGGAGAGACACACATTCGACGTCGACAACCGCCCCAGCGCGAAACCTACGAGCGCTTGATTTGCTAACAGTACTTGCGGTGTACACCCGCTTTAGGCAACTGTTGTATTCGACCACCTTAACGCAACGTGCCAGATGGCGGCATGTCACGACGAAGATTAAATCAACTTAACTGTGATCACTTGGTATATAAAACCAGGCAGGCAAGGACTTCAAATAGTAGTGTAAACCATTGGGGGGTTGTCAACCGTCGCAGCGGGCAGATGGAGCTTCAAAGCAGAGGTCGTTCTCGATTTCAGGCCTGGGGCGTACCCCTTGGACATTCTTCGAGATCTGTGCCTTGGAGGAGAGGTAAATAGGGAGTCCATACATGGTGCGCATAGACACGAAAACGCCATCGGATGATGTGGTAACACTGCTGGAACACCGGAGGATGGTCTTCTCGCTGTACCATGAGGTCTATAGGAAGTGCCCGATGGGAGACTCTCAGCGAGAAGCGTAGGTCTTAGGGAATATAGTGGGCACGTTTCAGGGACACGGATGTAGACGTCCGTAACTTTGACGTGTATCGATAATTGGCATGCTATGAAAGGATGGATGATTGCCAATATGGGAGCACCGAGGATGGCCTATAGAAGCCGAAGCGAGGCTATCAACAGCTGTACGTGGTCACGGCTGGCGTGTAGACAGCGAAGTCTATCCGGGAAATAGGGCTGAAACTCCATAAGGGCGCGCGCCAGATCAGCACGGAGCTTGGATAATAGACATGTTCCTTCGCCGATGTACAAGGCGTCCTGGGGATGTCAATCGGTAGGTTCTCATCCTCGCGAACCCTGGTCACGAGCCTCGAGCATAGCGTAGAGCGGTACCTTTCTCAAGGCACCCGAGTAAGAGGACGGCGGAGAACACCGCGAACACCGAAAGAAAGAGCGGAACGCTAAGCACGATGCAAGGGTATCAGTATGTGACCAACAGTATTCCATATGCAAGTCGGGAATGCCATCGACATCGAACACGAGGAATCTTCGGCTTTCTGAGGCAATCCGAGACCTCCAACGTGGTTTGAGCGAGAAGTAGCGCCTGTTGCAGTCACATATAAAAGGTGAGCTGGTTTGTGGTGAAACGGCAGTGAACACATCCTCACTATTACTCTTCGCACAACATGCAGCTCTCCGTCATCTTCGTCACCATCGTCACGCTGGCCACCGCCGCCTTCGCCAGCCCCGTCAGCGAGGTAGATTCCTGCATCTCCTACATCGTGACCCTCGGTGACTAACGACCACCCTTAGACGTCCGGCGCCATCATCAGCGAGGCCGAGTTCGCCCACTGGCTCGCCACGACCGACGCCGAGCTCACCTTCATCGGTGACCGCCCCAACCCCCTCGCCAAGCGCTCCGCGCAGGCGACTAGCGTCACCTACTGCACTAAGCGCGTCGGCGGCATCTGCGGGGGCACCTGTAGCGTCTACACCGGCGGCGCCACGTGCCTCGACGCCACGGGGACGAACTGCATAGCCGCCACGAGGGACGTCGGCTTCTGCGACAAGACCGGATGCGAAGGGAACTGTAACGCGATGTCGCTGTGCGGTACTCCCATGGGCAACGGGTTTTGCTCCACGCCGAACACGCAGTCTATCCTCGTCTCGTCTCTCTAGGCTGCGCCGCCAGGTGAGTACTCGGAAGCCTTGACCGCGGATTGAAAAATGGCTTATCGTCTTCCGTATAGGGTCGAAATGCGACCTTGAGGTTTCAGTTCATCTCTTGGGGCGTGTGCGAGCCGTGGAAGGTCAGAATCGTTTCGATGTATGACTAGCAGGATCCAGGGATATAGGGCAAAGTTTCTTTGGGTTTGTCGTCGTTGGTTGCTAAGGGTTTAGTTATCTCGAAAAATGTTGTATGCGGAGCTCTGAACAACGCATGGCGCAATGCCAGTGGTCGTCGTCTTGATGTGTCATTTGCAGGAGGCCAGTCGAGCGTAAATGGTCAAAATTGCGACGTACATATTCAATACTACTCACCCATTCAACACTTTTCTTAATGATGACCGCAATTATACCTGGGTATTTCCCGACAGTGTTACGAGGTCGCAAGGACGCCGCGGCCAGGCAGCGTTGGTGCTCATGCATCATGCCAAACAGTGACACTCGGCATCAGCCGGTCGCAGTAAGTCCGCTAAGCGCCAAACGCCAGAGGGAGACCCGCGACCGGCGGTCAAGTGGACTTGAACTCGAACCACCAGCCTGTGACTCTCTCGCGCATACACTGGCATCTCTGTCTCCATAAATAAGTGGAAACAAGTGAGCACCATAAAAATCACTGCGTGAGACCCCTTCCTAGTGTGGGGGCGACGAGTATGCACGAGGTGAGTCAGTGGATATTGGAAGCAGGGAAGAGGATGGCTCGTGCAAGCTGGTAGTGGTCACGAGAAGACCTCGTCGAGCATCGCATGGCCGTTCACTACGCTATGTGGTGCGATCCCCAGGCTACTTCATGCTAAGACATCTAGTATGCACTCGTGGTCGGTGTATGAGTTCGCATATCTATACCTCGCGCGCTGAGCGCACGAAACCATCTCGTCAGAGCTAGTGGTCCCGCTCGGCGAGCTTACCTAGCTGCACCTCGTTCAGAGCTCCCATATGATCTCGTACGTTGCTGCGAGATGATGTGGCTGTTGAACTTCTGTGTCTACGGCTGTGCCGGACCGGGAGTGGCAGTGATAGTG